ACTGTTACCGCCAGGTCAGCTAACAACTCCAGCATACCACAGCTACTCCAGTGCCCCTCAGGAAACCAATATCCAACCGCGAGCTCGAGAGTCCGCTTCCACCAGATAACAACACGCCCCACTACTGCACCACCTGCACCACGACCGCTGTGGGTCACACACCGCTAACCTATTAAATTACCAGAACATCCGGGGCGCATCTCCACTTTCTGTCTTCAGAATCCACGAACAGTGAGTCTGCCCGAACGGGCAAATACACACGCTTTACCAGGCACCATACCCATGGCACCCTCCGCACGAACTGTCCACTCCAATGTTTTCCTTCTACACAAATTCCTATTACTCTATGTTACATACGTTCGGTGGCCGACCATTAGTGATGTGCCACTTGCCACGAACCATTCGTGGCGAACTCCAGTCAGCTGACACATGCCTGCCAATCTCCGGCAGACCCTCCCTCCCAGACCCTCCTACTTCCTGGACAGCATCCATGTTGAAGGCAGCTTCAACATGGATGCTGTCCAGGAGGTGGGAGGGTCTGGGAGGGAGGGTCTGCCGGAGATTGGCAGGGATGTGTCAGCTGACCGGAGTTCGCCGCGAACGGTTTGTGGCGAACGGTTCGGGACATCACTACCGACCATTTGGTTGAATCCCACCGAACTAACTGCAGTAGCATCACGCTGCCCTCTAGCGACGTCTAAGTAGATTACCCTGTTAGATAGATATTGAACTGTTCTCCTATTGAGAAATAATTTGGTTAATTTCTCCTGTCCGTTACAATTTATCTGTCCATATATATGTCATTAAGTTACGTTGTCTACGTTATTATACACCCATCACTTCTGGATCAGTTTTATGTTGTCACTATCCACCTGTACATTATATGCATAACTTAAGTAGTTACCTATTTTCCCATAATTAATTTGTCCAATCTGTCCACGTTGATATCATCAGTCAGGTACAGTCTCAATACACTGTCTGCTACTTGAGCCATCTTCCTCTCAGAACTGGGGATTCGTAAGTCTGCATTTTCCCATCATGTATGTTATGTCACGACCTTACGCATTTGGTTAATGAAATCCGTAAATTACGTCCATCAAATTCTAAGCTCCCTACCACTTCTGTATACCACTTCTATATTCCTAACTTGTTTAATTTAAAATTGGAGTCTAAAAAGACTATAACCATTATCCAAATCAGGATCTACTTTATTTTCAACGTTTATTCTAGCAACCAAAAAGACTGTTACATTCCTAAAACAGGAATAACCTTTCTCTCAATGGTGTACCAACCCAATAGGTATTGCCACAGGAAACTTCTCAAATAAAAACATCTCATTATCCATTTATCGGCTCCACATTCCTTGTCTACTCATTGATCCAGTCTCAGGAGTTTTTCTTGCACTATGCCACAGTGGACAATGCCATACATGCCATCTTGAAGGCTGGTGCAGGTGCTTGGTTGGGCAAGAATGACATCTCCTACGCTTTCATGCTTTTACCAATACACCGATCCCTGTGGCATATGCACGGCATAAAGTGGAGAGAAAAATACACACGTTTGACATTTGGTGCAAAAAGCAGTCCCAAACTTTTTGACATATTTGCAGACACACTAAGTTGGCTCCTACTCATTATATGAGAATGTCCATCAGTTATCCACTACTTAGACGACCTTCTTAAAATCAAAGTCCCACATGCCACACCTACTAGTATCAGCAAAACCATGGCACTTTTCTTATCTTTAGGGGTTTCGCACTCGCAGGACAAAACAGTAGGGCCTTGCACTAATTTAGTTTTCCTGGGGATTTAACTGGATACGGTTAAACTACAGGCTAGTTTACCTCTAGAGAAGGTACTAAGGCTTATAGAGTCCGTGGAATCTTTTCTTGTCAAGAACAAGTGTACCAGGTCTGAGCTTCAGTCCTTACTTGGTACATTGAACTTCGCTATAAGGATCATTCCACAAGGCCGAGCTTTTATCTCCAGATTCTTTTTATGCCTTTTTCCCCTTCTAACTACTGACAACAGTACCATAACACTGGACGTACATGCCATAGCTGATCTTAACATGTGGCTCAGGTTTCTGTCCCATTGAAACAGTAAATCTAGGTTTATCCCCCCCATCTCAGAACATTCCCCCATAATCTGGACCGATGCAGCAGCCCACACTGGCTTCGGTGCGATTTTCGGCAATTCCTGGTTCAGAGACACATGGCCAGTTGAGACTCTTGGCCTACCCTCATTCCAAACAACATCAGCCTTGTTTGAAATTTACCCCATAGTGGCCACCACCAAGGCCTGAGTGCACCTAGGGGAGGGTAAGGCAGTCAAATGCTTCACAGACAATAAGGCAGCCAGTGACATCATAAATAATGGCAGATTCTCATTCCTCATCATAATGAGACTCAGACGTCTCACGTGGCTAGCAGCCATGTTAAATTTCCATATTACATGCATTCACATTCCCGGACGCACCAATAAAGCCGCTTACGCTCTGTCTCACTCTAAATTTCAGGATTTCTTCAAAGCCCACCTGATGGCCAACAAAGTTCCGATCCTAACTCCCTCGTTCCAAGACCTAATCCTGGATTTACCTGCCTAATGGCACATGGCAGATTCCTGGCTAGCTCTGCCCTTTCTGTAAACACCACACAAACATACAATAAGGCATTTGCCATTTACTCCAAATTTACATCTGACTAGAAAATTAGATATACATTCGCTGAATTCCATAGTGGCATTAATTTCCTTTTTCCACCTTAATTTAAAACTTTCAACACCATAAAACTTTAACTGACTAGCATACAACACCATATATTAAGTGCCTATCCTAGTTCCAAACAATTCATGTCTTCTTACCCTATAAAGAACATTCTCAGAGGTATACAATGTCTGGATAATCCTTCGACTGTTAAAAGACAACCCATAGACGGTTCCAAATTCCGGGCACTATCCGACCTCCTAGACACTACTAACCTTACCATTAAGACACACAATTCCTAGTATGATTGTGACATACACCCCCTTGCCTGGACGTTCGCCACGGGCTCCTGGAGGAGTGTGGAGGCTAGCCTCCTGCCCACTGACTATGGGCCCTAGAAAAGACTGGTATAAAGACTGTTTCGTGGGATTTATTTGTACTGTTCGGGAACCGAACAAACTCACAAACTGCAGACCACCTCTGGGCTGGTTAACCTCTATTTTGCCTTCCCAGGAGTCATTCTCTTCCTCAGTTCGGGAATCCGTTTAAACTTTTTTATGTTACCAAAGTTGACCGACCGCTAGCCCTGATTTCATGGAACGGTTTTGGGCATAGGACTATGTGCGCGGTCGGCCAAATAATTTACTTCCATGGAAATCTCAAACCCCTAAACCGATCTGGGTGAATTTTTGACATGTTGGTCACCCAGATCGAGGGGATATAACTTTTGTGGGGGTTTTCATGTGTTTTGAAGGTATTTTTGGGGTGTTTGTAAATTGTATGTTTTTCTGTGCCTGGAGATAATTGAGTTTGTACAGTTCCAGACTCAATTCTCCCAGGCAGAGGGGAGGGATTACCCCGTTTTGTGTGGGAGTGTCATTGGCGTGTTTTCGGTGTCCTTGTACTGGATAAAAGCAGGCCATTTAGCCTGGATTAAACAGATCATCTTACAACCTTCATGAAGTCTAGGCCTATGTTTGGGGGATTGGGAGCTATGTTCACACTCAATCACTACGGCGCTTGGGACTTGGGAGATTCTTCACGGATGTACTCAGTTGGAGTACTGGGATCCGTTACATTGATAAATACAGTATTTTCCCATGTATAAGAGTTTTTTTTCAAAAATTTTCTAAGTCTAAAATTGGGGGTCTTATACACGGAATGTCACGGCAGGGGTTTAAAAAAAAAAAAAAAAACACTTGTGCACGGCCTCTGACCTGGCTGGAGCTCCTTCAAAAATCTTATTAAGCCAAATATGGTACTTTGCGCAATTTGGGCACAAAACTTGGCGACTTGCTGATAGAACACTCAGCTGACTGTTGGGTTCGCTACTGCCAGGTTCCTCTGGGTATAGGCTGTGTTGTACCTGCTGACATAGTTGAAGCAGAGAGGCACTTCTCCGTGAAATTGAGAGCTTGTGTGCACAGGTCTGGGAGATCTTGCGCAACCGCATGCTTCCTCACATCATTCGACCGCGCCAATACCTCACAGCTCCGTGACTACAGATAGATACTGCAGGGTGAGGCTTTGCTTGGACATCCCCCGAAGGGTACCATGGGCAGAGGGCATCATTGCCTCCAACAGCATACCAGCGTTCCAGGAAACCAGTGTCCAGACCTCGGGAAGCAGAGTATGAGGGGGACCAGTGGGAATCCTGATCAGCCAAACTGGACTTCAGTGCCGTAGAGGTTTAAAATATGTAGTTCTTAATTTTGGGTTAAAAAAATAAGGGTCGGCTTATACATGGGGGCGTCTTATACACGGAAAAATAGGGTAAATCCTTTTGTTGTGTATCTACATGGATATTCTATATAGCTGAACTCATCACATCATCTGCGATTTCATAGTAATAATGGACAAACATATCTGAATAAGCAGGCAAAAATAGTCACGTTATAGTAGCCAAAACATTGATTATAAACAGACAAAACAAAAAAAATTTACATATAAAAATGGGAAAAACAAAACAAATGTTTTCTCTACCTTCAATGCCAGGACTGGACAGGATTGTGCATTAAATTGCTAACTCTTTCATATACATTTATAAGAAAACAGAGCAGCATATGGAAAAAGAGATAACATGTTCTAGGTGATTTTTTCAAATGGTGTAAATTCCAGACCAATGACCATTTTACTTTAAGAATATCTAAATGGCATTTGACAGTGTAATTCTTTCTCTTTGGATATATTAAAACATTTAGGAGGCAGTGACTTGCTGGAGTCAGTCCAGAAGAAATTAAATTAGAAGATAATATCGGTATTGTCGGTATAATCATTACTAAATTTTTAGCACGGTACCAAAATATTCTCTGGCACTATAAATGGTAAACATACCATTTAACTCATGGGGAACCTTACATATATAATCAATATTGCAAATCAATACATCCTGGATGGCTGTGCTCTTGGGAGTTTTCAGAGGGATGTTATGTTACGTGTGATAGACAGAAAGTGAGAGGGCTGTTTGGTAGCCATTAAATTGATGGGATGGATAAGGTTGGAGTCAGGTGAGGTAATTTATATAGCAGAGTAAGCAGGAATCATATGGTAAACTTTTATGACTAGAGTCAAAGAGTGTCATCAGTAAGACAAAGTAAAATAACTGACCGCAGGATAGCCCCTTCCCATTAGGTGGGGATTTCACATTAAATAGGTCTTTGATTTTCACCCAAACATTGAACTAATTACCACTAACTGTTTGTGTGCTTGTTTTGCAAGTAGAACTATCAACTTTTTAAGGCTTACTCGAAGGATTGCCGAGAGAGTAACCAGAGAGTGAAGATATAGGACAGGAGTGCCTGAATTGTAGATCACTAAATGTATGGAACTACAGCTCACATGATGCTTTGCCAGGGGTAAGCTGTAGTTCTAAATTAGAGATATAGATTTTTTTGCACTCTTGAATCTACAGTGTTTAAGTTAGTGCCCTGTAGGTTCAAGCCATGACTTCTAGTCAGTGGCAGAGCAGTACAACAAATGATGAAAATTGAGATAATGATTGTTAAAACTGGTTAAGGAGGATTGGAGAGGGGATATGCATTAGACATGCTGGCCAATTAAACCAGAGTTGCAGTAATGATTAGCAGTGGATTGGAATTTGGATTCCATCCAGTATTTGGGATTTGGAAAGTCCCACAATGTGGTCGACATTTTGGAAGCGGATGAAAAAAAAATATTTACATTTTATGTTTAATTTCCTATTATTGATTTATTGGTGTAATATTTTGTCATTCCAACTATTTTCCACTTACAGAGCATATATAGAATTGAAATACCTGGGAGAAATCATATGGTAAAAGTATGCTACTATTATTTACACTACATCAGTGTTAGTTTACATATGATTGTAAACTATTAGAAACTAAATGGCGAGAGGAGGCTTGTCAGCCTCAGATCATTATCCCCATACCCATGGGTTTGGGAAGGTGGCAATAGCATGAGCAAGACCGTTCCTTATTCCTTTTCTCCGTAGTTTGACTGTCAAATTAAATCCAGGAAAAAAAAAAAAAAACAGTCAAAATATAGAACTATGGCCTTATATTTGAAATATTTAACATTTTACAAAACTGTAAGACCTTGGCTTGTTGTCTGTTTATTGCAAAATAGTCTAGGGGTTCCCAAAAGGTAGATCCCCAGATGTTGTAGAACTACAGCTTCCATTATGCTTCGTCATTCTAACGGCATGCAAAGCTTTATGGGAGTGGTAGTTCTACAACATCTGGGGATCTATCTTTTAGGCTCCCTTTGTCTAATAAGCAACAGCCAGTCTACTCTAGTCTGATGTCATACGTTAATGGAAGATATATAGATTGTGTATGGAAAAAGCAGTGATAGTAGCAATGCATATTTCCCAGTCTATAAATGATATATTGCCGGAAGCTTTACAAATCTGGGGGTGTAATTAATGAAATTAAACAGTGAGCTGCACGGAGTAACACAATTTAGTCTAAAATAGTTCAGTTTGAGATCAATTACATCCAGTTTTGTTAGTTCTGCCTAATGTTTACAACACCAATGTTGACTCACGACAACACACTGTTAAGTGAATAAACCCCTTGGTTTAATGAGTTTATGTTTGGCATTAAAAAAAATAAATGTTAATGTATTCAATGGAATATACAGCCCTAAGCTACGTGATCAGTGGCTATATTCCCATGTCACTGAAGTATTTACTGGGAACATTCCAACCCTGTTGTGTTAATGTTAAAGAGTGAGGATGTATGCCCGGCTCTAAAGCCAAACTAGAAAGCTGACAAAAGTTCATGCTCTTTATGATGTTTGGCTGTTTGTGGTGTTCTGGAAAACATAGGAAATGGATTCTTTTCCCAGCTGCAGAAAGGGATCTTCAAAGCTATTCTGCATTGAGAAATGTTTCCACTGCATCAGTTCAGACATGGAGAAATTCTTATCGGGCTGACTGTGGTGGGAGCCAAGCTGACAGCCCCTCTTCTGTGTGGACGTTTTTTCTCTCTGTTCTGCTGGAAAAATGCAAGGATAAAATAACATCAGCTGTAAATATTTGAAATACATTGTAGTCGTCATTTCATATTGTTAGGACTGTAATTTATGATGGAAAAAACTTTGTTTTACATATTTTGTGTTGGCTTATTACTCTTCCCCACAAAATTAAAAACCTTTAACATTGAAAAAAAGAAATAAAATAAAAGAGGATCAAAATAAGGTTTTACAATAATTTACGGGGAAAATAAAAAATAATCAAACAACTAAATATTATTTTGCATAAACTGTCATAGGATCTGGAAAACAGATTGAACTGTTTTCCAGCATTTGCAGTAGAGGACAGGAATATATATCTGAACAAGCAATATTAAAGGGAAACTATAGTGCCAGGAAAACAAACTAATTTTAATGGCACTATAACTTCCCCCTTTGTCAAGCCCACCCCCGTGGTGCAGAAGGGGTTGATAACCCCTTCTGTCACTTACCTGGGTCCAGCGCCAATGTCCTTCTGCGCTGGCTCAGCTCCGCCATCCTTCCTCCCCCGCCGACAGGGGAGACCAAATGCACATGCGCAGCAATGGCCACACTCGCATTAGGATTTTTCCGTAAGAAAGCATTATTTAATGCTTTCCTATGTGGATTCCGGTGATGCTGGAAGCCCTCATGCATAGCGTGAGGATGTCCAGCGTCGTTCAAGCCCGTCAAGCATCGTTAAGTTGCCTTCACGCCCGGAAATCCCTCTAGTGGTTGCCACTAGAGGAAGAGTTAACCCTAGCAGGTAATTAGTGCAGTTTATAAAAACTACAATAATTACCACTTTAGGGTTAAAGGTGATGGGAGTTTGCACCCAGACCACTTCAATGAGCTGAAGTTGTCTGGGTGCCTACAGTGTCCCTTTAAAAGATGCATATAAAAAAAAAAAAAAAAAAAAAGTCATTGGTTTGTTACTATGCTAACTGTGACTATGGAATGTGGCATCTTATGATCTTAACCTAATGAATATTTAACATTTTTAAAATAATTAATTTGGCTGAGCTGACACGGGTTTGATTGAATAGTTTTCTAAATTTGTACAATCACACCCCAGCAGATCATGGTTTCCCCAGTATGAGCAACTTATTAATCTTGAGAATATTCTGACTGCCTTTGAAAGAATTGCAATTAGATGAGCTGAGATGGGTTTACCTGAGAGGTTTGCTAATTTTGTACAATTACATTCCAGCAGATCATGGGTTACGCAGTCTGAGTCTTCATGCAGTGTGAAGAGGTTTCTTAGTTCATCCAAAGAAAATCGTATGTGATTAGAATTCTTGACTATGTCCACGACCGCTCCCGACAGACCTTGCTTACTTATCTGTCTTTGATAGATTTTTTCTTCTATAGTACCTGAGGGATATATGAAATATAAATATATGTGCCAGTCAGCATAAATACCCAAAATATGAGTTGGTCCCAATTGATTTTAGGAAAAAGAATGGGAGGGTGCAGTACCCAATAGATGCTATTGCTGAAATCTCCTTGCCTTTTGCAAAATGTTGCAGATCAGAGCATTGCTTGAGAGAAAAGCAACCGTGGCTTTGGCATAGAAATCGTTGCGGTTTTGTTAATTTTAACCTTTATTTTCTCAATTCCCTCAATTTCTTATTTCAGACACATTTAGTTACAGCGGGACTACTTCTTTATAACTTTAGTGAAAGGTGCCCCTCGAAGGACCTTTCGGCATACTTTATATTTACTATACTTTCTGCTCACTATTTACTTGATTATTACCTGGCTGTGAATTTTTGGCAATATAATATCTTTGACCTCTGTATATTTCTGCTAGCGGTGTTTTTTGACATATAGGGGCAGCTAACAATGTTTACAAGTGTAATCAAGAGATTCTTACAATGTAGACATTGTGTTTTTGATACATTTATTGTAATATGTTTCAAGAGTCTGGCCAGCCTGTTGCAGAACCTTTTTGTGATTGGAAATGTTATTATAGTTTGGTTAATTGCAATGATTTTTAAATTAATATCAATAAAAGTTATTTTATATACCTTAACTCTAGGAATTCATTATTTTTTTTTTTTTATTTGTCAGTCAGTACCGGTAGACGAAGCCGTTTACATAAATATATGCACCAGTCAGAAGTGGTAGATTTAGAGCTGTTGACTTTAGTTGAGCACACATACTATTAAAAAGAGTATTGGAAGTTCTTATGTTGGCAATAAAGACCGACTCCTTTGGAAGTTATAGCTTCTTCAAGAATGTCATTCTCTTTAGTCAAGTGTTTTAGGTTCAAGTCCAATAGGTACTTACCTAGTTGAATAGACTTTCATAATAGAACACATGATCAGATTTTTAAAAAACAAACTGCTTTTGTTCGGATAGCATTTGTTAAACCCCTTTATTTTCAATAAATTATTTAAACTTTATTCACTATTTTAAATAACTTTAGATATTGTATTCTGATTTTTAATTCCATTATTCTGTAAATTGTTTAAAGTTTGGTTTTCCTGTTGTGTTTTAATGTCCGTTAGACATGGATCAATAGATATTGTAATTTTTGGATGACAATATTATCATATTGCCCTTAAATAGTTTGACCTGAAAGAAAGAAAGAAAGAAAAAAAAGTAGTATTTTTTTAAAAATAACTTGGCAGTCATCTGGCCTATTATCTACAACTCAAAAATAATATTAAAAAAAAAAAAAAAACCACAATGATATAGTCTCATCTTCTCAGTTTCTCCTCACACGGCAATGTGAGAATACAGGATGTTGATTCTGACCTGTGGTAAGAAGTCTGTAGATGTGTACAGTTCGACGCTGACCATCCCTCCATACTCGAGCCATGGCCTAAACATAGAAACTATGGTTATACAAATCCGTCTGCATTACAAGAATTGAAAAACCTGCTACATAAAATATTGTATTACTAGAACGGACATTTATTTGCAGAAGAGGAAAGACACAAGCAGATCAAGGCATGTTGAGGATTACACAGACAGTGTCATTTCTGAGTGGTGATGCACATTTAGCAGGCAGGAATTGCAATAAATAAAACTGATAACGTCAAGAAAGTGGACATGGCGTTTTGAGACAGAGAAAATGATATTGGATAACTGAAATGGCAGGTGGAGATAATTCTCTGATGCACCTTCATCCTGCATTAAGAGTAATAGAATTGGAGAACTAGACTAAAAACCTACAGTGACAAGATGGAAGGATAGTGAGCACAAAAAAAAGGAGGCAATGGAAAGAATGTAGGAAAGGAAGGTACTTCTGGGTTTATTTTAAAGAGTGAAAGGATGTCTATAAGGCAATATCAGACAATCAGGAAGACACGGGAATGTCGATGTGGGTGATGAGATATAAGAGATGCTCAGACAGGGAAGAACCCAAAAGAACCTTGGAAAGTCTTGAATTTTTAAAATGTACTAAAGATTTCTAAACTATGAATGCCAAAACCATTCAGAGATTACAGATATTATAATGTCCAGATTAGAAACTAGTATTTTTGAGCTGTAACAAACATTTTACTGAAATGGACAACATTCCATAAATTCCTAGTGGAAGCATGAAATGTAGATAATTAGAATCTGTAATGACAGTGACACCTGCTGGCAGAAAACTATATAATTTATCAACTGGATGTATCTACCATTGTTGGAGGAATACAGAGTCATCATATAACCATCAATTATTTCCTATTTTGTTCTTATTTTTCTCCTTTCAATGTACAGTTTTAAAGTGCTGAGACTTTATTAGGTGATGGTAAGTAGTGTGAGTTACACAATCAGTATTTTTATGTAGCGGACGTCACCAGTCACGGTAATACATTTAGGTAAGAGATTTGTACAATGTTTCCATATTTATAGATATAATGATCTAATCACTGCAAAATCTTGTGGTCACTGTTCTATCCTAACTTCCTTGACCTTTCAGCTGTTTTTGACACAGTTGATCATCAACCGTTTCTTCTCATCCTCAGTAACTTCAGTCTACAAGATACTTCTCTCTCCTGGTGCTTCTCCTACCTCTCCCAGCAGTCTTTTTCTAGAATACCCTTATATTTTTCTTATATACCCCACTCCCTGTAGTACGTAAACTCATTGGGCAGTGCCCTCAACCCCTCTGTTTCTGTGCGTCCAACTCGTCTGGTTACTAATATGTGTGTTAGTCCACACAGTGTACAGTGCTGCAAAATTTGTAATAATATATAGTTATATAAATCCCAGTATTAAGAATGTGTTTGGGCATGGACTATATACCTTTAACTGCGTGTGTGCATGTATGTTTGCAATATTATATATAAATCCACTGTTATTTGTGTGTATCTGGGTGTGTGAGTGTGTTTATACAACAAGATCGCTTGCCCAGCTAAACAAAGCAGTCTAATCATAAAATATTTTGAATGGCATCGGTCCCGCAAGCAACTCTATAACCAAATGGTAAATTACTCCCTGGGCAATAACCGCATTCCCCAAAGATTCATGACAATCCATTATGAACCCCATATTGTTTGACAGCAGGAACTTCCTTAAAGACAATAACATCAACCAATAAGAATATTTGTACATTGACTCTTATCCACAACAAAACAGTATAACAACCTAAAACATTAAAGGGTTTTTATTTACTTAACTGCAGGAGAGTAAAAACTGAATGGCAAAATGTATGCTAAAATCTCCAAATGTTACTATAGAGAAGTTGGAGAATTTCCTCAAATCAGCACTTTTCCCTAAATTTTTCAATTCAGTTTCCAATCCACTACAATTCAGTGTTCAGTGCATACACCTCTCAGAGCTTTAGGGGCAGTTTATAACAGCATGTATGAGAATTCTAAAGGAGCTTCTCACATCTGTAATTTAAAGGTGTAACTACATCTTTAATACAGGCATGGATAGCATACAATTAAAGGAACATTCCGACAAGCTGTTATGGTGCCAGGAGGCCCTTGGGCACACTCTGACCTTATGTGCTGATTGGCTAGAGAGGTCAGCTGACTCTCTAAGTCGATCCATAGTTCCTTATTCCTAAAAAAAAAGCACCAAGCCACTCTATTTACATGAAGTTGTTATATGACCGGAGTGTCCCTTTAAGTTCCAACTAACTTTCTTTTCAGATAACACTTATTGTTTCCTGTCGTTGCACATTATCACTTTGTGTTTGGATACAAAATAGCAAATGAAGAAAAGTCTGTTTTACCTAGGACATGCCTTGTCACACAATACCTTTATTAACCACAACCGCCATTAGTCTATATATCAAAAAAATAAATAAAAAACAACAAGCAGAACAATGAGTCAGGAAAGTGAGATAATCTATAATAAGTGATCATTAACTGGGACATATTCAGTAAGACATTATCAAACCTGTATATCATTAGCAGGGTTCCAGTCAATGTCATAAAGAATCAGATGGGATGCTCCGATAAGATTCAGACCCACGCCACCAGCCTTGGAGCTCAGTAAAAAGATAAAGCTGGAAGAGTAGTTGCTGTTAAAGCCATCCACAATCTGTTGCCTTTGTGAAACTGGAGTTTGTCCATCTAATCTTGTGAACTTGTATTCGTGATGTTTACACACTTCTTGCAATACGTTTAATGTCTGTGTATAATTGGAGACCAGGACAACTCTACAAACAAAAACGTAAGGCTTGTAAAACTCAAATACAAGAAAAATCACTACATGCTTGTTGTCTGAGCATGTGATACAGTGCCTGCCATTAGAGATCATGTAATGGTGCTGAAAACACAAACCAGAGCTCTACTAATAAACTTGGATATATGGTCACTTTATCTTATCTATTTTCACTTTAGAATAAGTCACAAATGTTTCAGGTTTGGTAGAGTATTTTCCCTGATTGCGTTAAAGGGACACTATTGCAAATTCTTTTTAATTTAGAATTTCTTACCTCCTGCTCTGCGAATAGCTCAATTTACAGAGTAGGAGCTATAAATTTGCTGCAAATATCTTGAAATTTTCTTCTAAGAATAGGACAACAAGCAACATGAGTATTAATTTTAAGGTCAAAATGTGTGTGTATGTAACTTTACATAAATAACAAAATGCAAAGCAAAACCTACAGAAGTTAGACATCGGTTTACATGTTGGGGGTGATTCACAAAAAAAAAAACACAGTGATACAACAATGAAACTGCAACAATTAGGCAAAAAAAAAAAAAAGAGCTGACAAATTATGTTTTTCCAACTGCTTTTCCTTTTAAGCCCACCCAGACTTTCTGTAGCTTTTCAATCACAGGCTTCCCAATGCAGCTCAATCAGAAGTCTTTGTGTCACGGTTCTCACCGCGACATACAGACTGCCAGACGAGGTCGCCCCAGAAGAGCCCAACAAGGGATTTGAACCTGGGTGCTTTATGGTTCTCAGCCTGTGTTCCTGCCACTGAGCCACTTCGGTTCTTGGTTTAGCCTGAAACTTATCCTTGCCAAGTCTCCAACCTATGACTGCTCCTGTCAATCGTGGTCCAGCTGTAAAGTATCACTGATTAGCCAGGTAAAAGACACTGCATCTGCCTGAGGGCAGTGTTAGTTCATTGACTCTGGTTCTGCTGTCTGGTTCCTGTTTTTGTGCATCCAGATCGTTTTGCTCCTGACCTTGGCTATTTCGCATCGTGTATCCTGACTTCCTCTAACCTTGGCTTACCCTCGACGATTCTCCTGCTTGTGTCCTTACTTGTACTGTGACTTGGAGCAATATCCCGCACAGCCCCCCGTGCACAGACTCACAGGCCAGGTCAATTCTTACCTGACCACCTTGGCCTGTGTTTAATTGCAAGGGTGAGCATAAATCTCTGCCTATCGGACTCCCAACTAAGGTAAGCCGTGACACTTTGTAAGTCAGGTGCTCTAGGCCAGAGCTCCTCAATGCACACCTAATAGTCCAGGGTTTAGAGATTACCTGGATGTGTCTAAAGTGTTCTTAAGTTTGGTTGTTTTTTTTTTTTTAGACTCTCAGGTGTTTTGGGTTTTTTTTTTTGTTTTTTTCTAAACACCTTAGTCCCTAAATCCTGGACTGGTAGGTGTGCCTTGAGGAGAGGGTTCAGGAGCACAGCTTTAGGCAATTGCTGCCTCTTGAGGTCAGCTGCATTGAGCTAACAAAACCAGGAAGTATGTGTTGTCTGTTTGAAAGCCAAGGGGTGTAAGATTATTAATTTATAAAAGTGTACATTTCTATTAAATCTGCACTTTTTTGCAAAATGAAAAAAGGACACACCCAAAGCTTTTTTTCAGAAAGCTAAAGTTGCTTAGGGGTCTTGAGTGAACCTTCAACGGGCCTGGGACACTGCACCCAGACCACTTCAATGAGCTGAAGTGGCCTGGGTACCTATGATGTCCCTTTAAAGACATTTCAGCTACAAGAACTAAGAATTGTGTGCTATTACCTGTCCGACGGACTGTGTTCTCGTATTGCTGATAACAGATTTGTTAAAACTTTAAGTTTTCCAGACTCTGACTCTAACAGAGTATCAGCATTGTAATTACAAGGGAAAATCTCAACCAGGTTTTCATAGAAGTCATGCTCATTGTGGCCAGGATCTTTCGCTTTCAACTGGAGAAAGAAAGAAAAGGTAAGAGTTCTTATTACTTGGTCAATCTCTGATGGGTGTATACAGATATATTACCAATCACATGCATTCCTAACATAATTCACAACAACATTAAAGTATATATTGTTTTGTGGACCCAGGACATACTTGAAAACAAGAGAAATCTCAATGTATCTTTCCTGGTAAAATATTTTATAAATAAATATATAACATTTATAGTACATTAAAGGGTTAATCTATCCAACACTATTTTTGGTTGGAGTAACCCTTGCTGGTGTGGTCCCAAATGTATATAAACACCACCACCACCAAAAAACACTGAAGATATAAAGGCAAAATTCACCAGCAATCCCATGCTAAAGCCAATTCTCTCTGCAGTCTGATCGTGTGTGTGTGTCAGTGTCCTCTGTGTGTAAATGTGTGTCACTGTCCTGTGTGTGTGTCTCCTCTGTGTGTGTGTGTGTCTCCTCTGTGTGTAAATGTGGGTTTATCAGTGTCTCTGGATCTGTGTGTGTGTGTCCTCTGTGTATAACTATTATGCATTATATTTTCATTTTGTACTTCAGATTAATAGTTTATACACACCTTGTTACATACACAGTCACATTATGCCATATTTATTTTAAAAATATCCTTTTTAATCAGGCTTGTTCACCAATAAGGGATTAACAAATATCAGTATCTACACATTTCACTTGAAATTTAAATCGAGGCATGGGTACTTAGATTTTTATTTCTTTTAGCCCTGCATAGGTACTTCTCCGTAATAGATTGAGAAACACTGCACTATAGCATGGAGTGTCTGTAGATAAGATGCGGCAGAGGTCGCTTTGTTATAATCGGTTGTAAATTTACATAAAATACAGAGCAATCCACAAAGAGGTAGTTGTAGGCTTTAGGTCAAATCTCACTCAAAATGTCTCACCCAGTCGCATGTATGGTGACATCACACCCTCCTTTCACGTATCACCCTTTACTTACATGGATAAGATTATTCACTCCAGGGTGAAATGTTAGGAATTCAACATATTTCAGATTTTAGACCAAAACAGCAGAATGGAAAACCTCCAAGTTATGTTTTAGTTGGCCTATTTTGACTTTAAAGATTAAATTTATTTGAAATTCTTGAAATCCATATTTGAGCGTGAGCAGTAATAATGGCTAAAAAGGTGCACTGGACTCACCTGCAGGCTTTTGAACAACAAACATGGATGGTTGCAAAGTTTTTTAAGTGCATCTATGCACACTAAATGAGGACTATTTTCACCAGAGGCTTGGAAGCACGATTTCACAAGGTGTGAGTTCAGAAGCTTTCGGTAAAGATCCAGCTGGAATGTAGATGGTCTGCAGAAGACGATGCTTTCAGTTTTTGGAGGCAGATAATCATTAATAACCTCCTGGGTCCTCCTAAGGATGAAGAGGCCAGTCAAACGAACTAGTTCTGCAGCTCGCTCTTTGCCTAAATCTTTCTCATCCTAAAAATAAGATAGTGGAAAATTAAATAAAATGGTAACACTGTTAGAAATCAGTTTACTGAATGTATCACAATGCTGTAGCTACTGGGGTTTAAAATATATATAATATTGGAATGATATGCATTAACATCTGTGAGGAAAACACAGAGCTATATCCCTATAGTGCTATTTACAAACACAATTTTTAAAGAACAAAAGGGATCCTCAAACCTATCAGCTTGGCAAGTGGACATGAATGATGGAATAAGTACCACCATGTACAAACTCTTAGCTGTTAATAAGCAGCAATTATTTCAACGTTCCATAATGTTCAGGGGGTGTAACCTATCCAGGCTGTTTTTCTGCCCATGCTTCTGTGATGATATTGTTCTAGTATTCAGTACGTTGGCTTCCTGTACCTTTCAAACTGCTAACACTTTTCTCTTTACCTAACAAACACACCACTTCTCGTTCCTGTGGCTCCAAATATTGTGGTTCCTTCTCCTGATATCTCCTTGTTACCACACTGCCAACTATCATCTGCAGGATTTTTCAAGGAAAGCACTGTTCCTTTTGATCTGGTACTTTAAATCACTGAAAACACACCTCTTGCAGAAGGCTTACCATCTTCCTGGGTGATGCTACTCATTAAAATTGTCTTCCTCCGTTCCCTCGCCTCCATAGCCCAGCTCACTCTCCCCTTCTACTTATTTCCGCACAGGCATTTTATCCATTAATTCCTCCCAAGTTACATGCTGTTATTTATCTTGAATGTCTTTACCCCTTCTTCATAAACTGTAAGCTCGTTAGAGCAGGGCCCTTTTCACCTCTTTCCTCTGTTATTGAATGTCAATTACTTGTCACATATCCTCTATCACTGTAAAGCATTGGGGAATATCTTACATGATCTACATGATCTGGAGATTGCGGTCATTATCCATGGTATTCAGATGACTGTCACCATTTTTAGTGGTAAAATTACGGTCAAAGGATCTGGACACCACTGCCACCATTCCTGGTCAGTTACCGAGATCCTGAGAACACTGGTGGTTGGTGAACAACTGCCTGAGAAATACTTTTTTTTTTTTTTTAAATGGCACGGTTGCAGAGGATAACAAATTCCACAATGATCAGCTAGTCATTCTGGATAAGCATTTTATGAACTGAAGTTTAATTCAAAGTATTGGAAATTCTGCAAGTTGCCAATGATTGCTTTGTAAATGTTGACAATAGTGTGCAAATGTTAAACTGAATAAGGTTGTTACTTGCTGTTACTGTAAATAAATGAACATTTATTATTCATGCTTACTTTTGTTGCTGAAGGTTCTCTCGATCTAATAATAGGTTCTTCAAATATTTTTTTATATGTTCCCAGAGAGCCAAGTATACCTGGGTTTACAAAGTCTATCAAAGCGTAGAACTCCTGAAGGTCATTCTGAATCGGCGTACCTTAACAGAAAATAGACCACAATAAATGACCTACATTTCATTTCCCAGTACGGATAGCACTTATTAAAGGAGATCTGCCAATATTTTAACTGCCAAAGCATAAGGTATACTATGCATATTATATGGGCACATGTTGAAGTCTCCTCATCAATCCAAATTAATATGTTGCAAAAACTGGACCATGCAAAACTGGTAAGCAGATTTGTTAGGTAAAGCGATTACCTGACACTAGATGGCACTATACAAACATTCAGTCTAAAACTATATGAAGACATACTTATGTTTAAAAGGTAAATCGTAGGGATTATGGTGGTATGAATAATTGCCATCCCATGGTTTTGTGTTAAACCTTGATAGAGCAATCATATCCTGACAGTGCTCAGCTAACCCCACTCTTCACTAACCCTTGTTTTTTCCTTTTTCTCTAAATGTGTCATACACTGTGCAGACATTTTATGATATTGTATATGTACCTTGTAACCAGTTGGCTTTGGATTGAATGCACTATTAATTTCCGGTAATTATGCCCCACTCACTTTAGACTATTCTCTTTCGAGATAGACTGACACCACAGAGTTCCAGAGCTCAGATGAAGAAGCCTGGACTATCCTGCATGAGCCCAGGCCGCCCATGGTAACCGGAACCACCACCGACAAGCAGTGCGTCTGAAAGGACGCAAGGTCCAGGGACTCCGAGACACCGGAGCCACTCTAACCCTGGTGCAACCCCAACTTATCCCTGAAGAATCGACAGGGGGTACCGTCGCCGTCCGAATGGCATGAGGGAACGTACACTACATACCCACAGCCCATGGTCACCTAGATTGGGGCGCTGGAGCCCAGAGAGAAGAAGTGGGCCTCATGGATCGACTACCTGCAGAAGTGCGGCTCGGCAACGACCTGGGACACCTCGCCTCCACCTTTGTCTCCATCCAGACCCTGGAAAAGCCTACCCCGTGATGACCCGGCAGTAAGACCACACCACCCAAGGCGGCTCACACTCTGAGGCTCAGGGAGGCACATGTGCCCCTTTTCACCCCACCAGGTCCTGTAGAAGGCCCCGTAAGCAAGCCCCCCGTGTCAGTCCCCCTTCCTCTGAGAACCATTCCGGTCCTTACACCCAGGTCACCCGTACTAGTTACCTACCCCCAGAATCCCACTCTTGACCCGGCCTCCATGCCCTAGAATACCCCAGCTGAGTTTGAGAGGAAGGTATCCTTCGATCCGACCCTACAAAGCTACAAGGACAAGGCAGCGATGGGGGAGATAGGGAAAGAGGGGCAGCGGTATATTTGGGAAGGGGGGTGGGCAGTTGCACCACATAGCAGTGAGAAAGGAACCAGCTACAGCCCCTACCACCAAGCAGCTGGTGGCGCCCAAGAAGGGCGACATTGTCTATATGAGTGACCCACCCCTTGCATGGGGAAAGTATAAAGCAGAGTGTGGCCAATAAAGTGGTTCTTGTACCCCTGGAACGGTGTGTCGTCCGGTTACTGGGGAAAATGGGTCTCTTATTTCATTAATAGCAGGGGTAACCAGCCGGGTTACCCAGGGCCCGTTACAGCAGTCTATGGCACACATACACCAGTTGAGGCTCCTGTGACCCTAGGTTACCTGAAAGAATAATGCGCTTGCTACAAGACAAACTTGTAAGTGCAGATGTGGTTTTAATGGAACTGTTCTTTAAACGATGGCCCTCGTCACAGATTATCAGATCAAAGTCAAGGTTCTGTATTTGGTCCAAAGAGCGAAGCAACATCTCATAGCTGATTATCAATACCGAATAAAGAGGAGAGTTGACAAATTCATCAACTTTGTGATCCTAAATATGAACACAGAGCAATATGTTAGTGTAAGGAAATAAACATGAGCCAACATATTTGTCATGCAACAAGAACTGTGTGTGTGTGGTATCTCTATTTCATGGGTGGTTTAGGGCACCTTGAATTTATAATTTAGCTGTGCCCTTTTCTTCCTTATTTGTGTACTAATTTGGAAAAACAATTCCCTTATAAGGGACAGCTGTAATTAACACGACTGGAAGGCAATACCCTTATGCATTCCTGTAAGAGGATTATTTAGTAATTTTTTTAATTTTATTTTTTTAATCTTTATCAAAATTTGGATATATGCTACTTTTTTCTATTTATGAGCCACTTTAAACGTAATGGTTTTATAAATGTAGAGACTATTTAAAATTATGGGCTTTCAACCATTGGTCCGACATGAAAATTGTAATTACTTGTCTTTTGTAACATGATTGATGACTGAGATTTGCCATGTAAATATGTAGATAAATGATGTTTATAGCATCAACATGGTTGAGACGATTTGTGTCACACACATGCAACTGGAGGAGGATATGCAGTCCCTATACCTACAGTGATACGTGTCACCTGTTAATCCTATGACAGTGTCCATTTGTATATGTGAAATATGGTCTAAATTTTAAGCGTTATATTTTAGATACGTAATTTTTGCCATGCAAAAAAATAAAAAAAAACTTAAAGGGAAACCCAAGGCACCCAGACCACTTCTACCCATTGGAGTAGTCTGGGTGCCAACTCCCGCTACCCTTAACCCTGCAACTGTAAATATTACAGTTTTCATAAACTGCAATATTTACCTTGCATGGTTAACTCCTCCTCTAGTGGCTGTCTACTAGACAGCCACTAGAGGGCACTTCCAGGTTTATAGCACAGATTTTCTTTCAATGCTTTCCTATGGGGAGGTCTAATGAGAGTCCGCTGCATTGCCGCGCATGCGCATTAGGTCTCCCCCGCCAGATGAAGTTGGCGGGGGAGGAGCGTGGGCGGACCCTGAACCAGCGCCGTGGGACATCAGCGCTGGATACAGGTAAGTCACTCAAGGGTTTTAACCCCTTCATCAACCTGGGATGGGGGGTGGGAGGGAGAGGGGACCAGCAGTGCCAGGAAAACTGATTGTTCTCCTGGCACTGGAATGTTCCTTTAAGTACTATCTAAGCACTAGAACCACTTAATTTAGTGGTTCTGGGGCAAAGAGAGTGTCCCTGCAGCCTTGTCTTTGTTTACACTGCTGCTTAATGCCACTTCTAGTGGCCGTCACTCAGACCGCTACAACCCTCAATTCCCTGTATGCTGTCCTGCAAATAGTGCGTCTTCATGGGGAGTGTTCAGTGTTTCTTTGCTGATGTCAAAACATCTTTATGAGGAGATGCCGATTGGAGCACTGCGGAGATTGCCATGCAACACAATGTTTCCCGTATTTGGAAGAATTGGCTTTGCTGAGACCATCAGTATTTTATTTTTTTTTATTACTTCTTGGGGACTTAATCTAACTAGCTAGTGTAACACTCTAGCATTACGAAAACAGATTTGTATTACTAAAGCTAGAGTATTCCTTTAAAAACCATAACAGATTTGCATTAAGGGAATAAGCCATTTTCCTGCTTTTGCTTTAAAACACAAAAAAAACCATACATGGCTAAATAGGTCAGTAACTGCAGAAAGAAAAGCAATTAAAAAGAAATGTAATTTTAGTTTAAATAAATCAGAGTTACACTACCTGGTCAACTGCAAATACTCGTATTCGCTCTGTGCCCAACCACTTCTGAAATTCTTTTCTCCAGTTCTTTACCAAACTGCCTGGAGTTACAATGAGCGTTTTCTTTAGGATGGGTTTTCCTCCATAAGGGCCCTGACGCAGAAGAGTCCAGACCACAGATATGCACTGTAATGTTTTACCTAAACCCATCTCATCAGCAAGGATTGCTCCAAAACGCTCATTAGCCCTACAGAAACAAAACTCAGATTAAATTGTATAGAAACATTAAACAAGAGGTTCTATCAGTACTTAGTCCTGCTTCAGGTTTTCTGAGTATCCTAATTGACAACTATTATAGACATTTTGCTGTGTGTTAAGCAGAGGGATAAGACCAATTCTGCTGGTGGCTACAGCAAGGCTAGAAGAAGGCACTGCTACCCAGCTGTGATAAGGACATGACTGTTTCAAATAAAACGGTATTTTTAAAAAAAGTTAAAGCCAGACATATCTTATATCACGTAGCTACTAATAGAATAAAGTGGAGGATCTCAAATATTGAATGACTCAAGTCCAGAGCCAAATCTTGACCCTGCATGTTAAGGTATTAAGACAGAGAAGAGCCTGTGCAGGATATTTTCAAAGATCCCCATTTTTGCTGGAACCCAACACTGCGCTCAGCTACATAAATTAACCTGATACCTACAATGTGCAAGCAAGAGATTTGTCACATTGGTTGAACAGACCTCCTGCGCTTGCTTCTTCTTGCAGATAGAGACTGAGAACAGAAAGATATGGTGGTTGCACTATCACAGATTACCAATTAACCACTGAAAAATTCAAAATCATAGATAATGCTGGGTAGAGTGGTTCACAATAATCAAGTGGAGGCATAACAGGACTTCTTGGAGCTGATTCAATAGATATTTCAAGGCTTTTTTCTACATGGATTCTGGCTCCACAATTGTGCAACAGAGAACACAGTGAGTGCATGCTGAACAGTAAGGATCCGACACAGTGAGTGCATGCTGAGCAGTAAGGATCTGACACAGTGAGTGCATGCTGAGCAGTAAGGATCCGACACAGTGAGTGCATGCTGAGCAGTAAGGATCCGACACAGTGAGAGCATGCTGAACAGTAAGGATCCGACACAGTGAGAGCATGCTGACCAGTAAGGACCCGACACAGTGGGTGCAAGTTGAACAGTAAGGATCCAACACAGTGAATGTATGCAGAACAGTAAGGATCCAACACAGTGAGTGTATGCAGAACAGTAAGGATCCAACACAGTGAGTGTATGCTGAGCAGTAAGGATCCGACACAGTGAGTGCATACTGAACCGTTAAAACCCGACACAGTGGGTGCAAGCTGAACAGTAAGGATCCAACCTCTCTTACAGTTTTCTAATATTCTGCTTTATCTGAATGTATTCTGTACAGTAAGGATCCAACACAGTGAGTGCATTTTGTACAGTAAGGACCCAACACAGTGAGTGCATGCTGAACAGTAAGGATCTGACACAGTGAGAGCATGCTGAGCAGTAAGGATCTGACACAGTGAGTGCATTCTGTACACCCGACACAGTGGGTGCAAGCTGAACAGTAAGGATCCAACCTCTCTTACAGTTTTCTAATATTCTGCTTTATCTGAGTGTATTCTGTACAGTAAGGATCCGACACAGTGAGTGCATGCTGAACAGTAAGGATCTGACACAGTGAGTGCATTCTGTACAGTAAGGATCCGACACAGTGAGTGCATACTAAACAGTTAGGATCAAAATACAGTGAATGCACACTCTGAAATTGTGTGTGGCACATCTGTATATATTTATTTACTATTTATATTCTCATTTATTTCCACATATACATCTAGGTGTTTGTTTGAGGAAGGCAGTACTTGGAAAAAATCTGTTAAGGGGCAACGTCCATACTTGTTTTAGATTTTTTTTTATTTTTTTTTGCATGCCCACTAGGGAATCCAGTCTAGAAACTGCGCTATTTAGTAGCTAAACTGGCCATATTGCAATATGAGATCTTATAATACTTCCAACTCTGCTGCTAAAGCACAAGGAATACATGTCACAAAATGGCAGCACGTAATTCTGTATTTTATTTTATATTTGTAACACTCCACATGCTCCTGGATCTGACAAATATAAAATATATGATACAGACATTAAAAATGATAAAATAACTATGGAGTTTATGAAAAGAGAAGATTTTTGGTTTGGTTGGTTAAAAAAAAAAAAAAATAATAATAATAATTAAAAAGTCTCCTTTCCTAAGTGAGCCATACAATTCTGGATTTCTAAGTGATATTGGTCTATATTTCACAGTATTACACCCAGGACATACTTGAAAACAAGAGAAATCTCAATGTATCCATCCTGGCAAAATATTTAATAAATAAATGAATAAATAAGACACGCAAAGCATTATGGGAAATATAATCCAACACCCCTGACCATTACTTTGCATGTAGCATTTCTATCTTACCGCATTCCCATTACACATTCATAAAGGAAGAGAATGCCTTCTTTCTGATGAGGTCTAAGATGAACAGATAAGTATGGGTCCACCACCACATCTACAATAGGTAAGCTGGCCTTGTTGAACATTCGCTGGTGATACTGGGTAGGTTTTGACATCACTAGAGAGTCTGGAAAAAAAAAAAAATAGAACACAAATTCTGCAACCATTTATCATAGTGTAAACATTTTTTTATTTTATTTTTCTAAATGCAAAGTCAGATCACGTAGACAAACAAAATTATTCAAATTCAGATAAAGCAGAATATTAGAAAACTGTAAGAGAGGTGCTGGACAGGTGGAAGTAGCAAAAATAATGTGAGCAAAAACACAAATTATTTCATATAGGAGGAGAATCAGAAGAGTATGATAGCAAATGTGGCAACGTTTTGCCCAAATTTTGTTTCTTAAACATAAAATGTACAGCCAGGAAAAGAGGAGGGAAAATTATGTTTACCATACAGCTACAATGGCAATCATGATTAATAAATCAAATTTGGGGGGGGGAAGAAAAAGTAATTAGCCCTGGCACTCATCCATATAGGTGCATCAGGTTCAAGGAGGATCCCAAACAACCCAAACATTAGATTACATAAAATTATGGAGCCATGCAAACAAAAAATGTTTACAGAAGCAAATATTAATTCCACCATCAGGGCCTTTGAAGGGAGAGGGGAGGTAGTCAATTAGTCCTCCTGGGAACTTACTGCTACGTCAACTACACTCCATGCCGAATACCATTGGGTAAAATTTCAAGAAAGGGTCAGCGCTAAATAAAATCACAAAATAAAGTTGGATTTAGGGCAGCACACCTTAAGATAGAGAGGGGTTCCCTCCAAGCGCCCCACAATTAGCAGCAAAAAAGGAGAAAGAGAATAAGGTTGCGCCCAAAATATGTAAAAATTTACCAAAATGTCCAGTATAATTTGTAAATTACAGATAAAATGAGTAAAAAATAAAATATAAAAAAAGTCTTTAAAAAGGAACAGCCAATCTTGACAGAGTAAAAAACGTTCTTGAGGAATTTATCGTTCCAGAAGTATATGCAAGACACAAGGGAAAACAAGGGAACTCCAATGGTGTAGTAAACAATGCAAAATGGATACAAAATAGATGGGATATATTCTACTCACATTTACCAGAGCTTTATCCAGCTCTGGTGTGTATAGCACGAAGTGAAAATGATTCTCACTTCTGGGATATATGTGGTATGTATGGTCTCCAGATATTTTCAATGGTGATGATTCCAAAACTGGAAAGGCAGAAAATGGCAAGCCATTTTCTACCTTTCTATTTTTTATCCATTTTGCATTATTTACTATACCATTGGAGTTCCCTTGTTTTCCCTTGTGTCTTGCATACACTTCTGGAACGATAAGAAATTCCTCAAGAACTCTATCAAGATTGGCTGTTTCTCTTAAGCCCTTAAGGACACATGACATGTGTGACATGTCATGATTCCCTTTTATTCCAGAAGTTTGGTCCTTAAGGAGTTAAAGACTTTTTTATATTTTATTTTTGTTACTCATTTTATCTGTAATTTACATGTGATACTGGACATTTTACCTTAAATATACAATTTTTTTTTTGCTATATTTTAATATATTTTCGGCGCAACCTTATTCTCTCTCCTTTTTTGAATACCATTGGGCACCTCATTTTAGGACACACACTACAGTCGGGATACCTCCATGCAAATTATTTTACCACTTATCACCAACAATTTGGGTGAGAACGTTCCAGAACTTTTGAATAAGTGCTGCCATATGGGAAACTGTTTCCCAACGCAATCACATTGTTTTAAGGGTAGCTTTTCTTTAGCAGTTTGTGCTTTCTCTGATTTTTTATTTTTTTTTGTATTTCTAACTTTTTGGTCCAGGCTAACTTGTGCATAATTTTTGCATATTATATCTCTTTGTGCTGTTCTTGTTTATTTGTTTTCTTTAGCTGCTTTATGAAAATAATATTGCCGTTCAACGCTGGAGGTCAGTGTATTCACTAAGGGGAGAATACGTCCATTGCAAGCTTTATATTCTACAATTGATGTGATGGACTTCACCTGCATGCAATTTGGACTTTAAAGTTAAAACTCCAAATATACAGGAAGAACCATTTAATCACAATTATAGTGTGGTACTGTTGGAATTCGACTGGTGAAATTTTGTAGCCTATTTTTATCTTTATATTTTGCGTGTCCTCTATGGGTCGGGTCCTTTTTTTTATTGAGTCTGTGTTATCTTTTACTTTTTTGACTCACTTTTTCATGTTTTCTATGTACCATAGTTCATGATGTGTAAGTTGTTTTTTTTATCCTGAGATTATGCATACATCTAGAAAATAATTTTGTCAAATACTTGGTGAAATTTATATTTGCTTCTGTAGTTTTGTTTGAGTGTGCATGGTTCCCTAATTTTAATTGTACAGAATAACTCCACTTGGACTTCCTTGTAAATGTTTGGTTACTATTTGATACAAAAAGTATGTTCCAAACATAAATGCAATACATAGAAAATCTAGTCTGCCCAATTTTTTAAATAACTTTCATTAGTCCCTGGCCTTATCTTAAATCTAGGATAGCCTTCTACCTATCCCACGCATGCTTAAACTCCTAAACTACCACTTCAGCTGGAAGGCTATTCCATGCATCCACTACCCTCTCAGTAAAGTAAGACTTCCAGAAATTATTTTTAAACCTTTGCCCCTCTAATTTAAGACTATGTCCTCTTGTTGTAGTAGTTCTTTTTTTAAATATAGTCTCCTCCTTTACTGTGTTGATTCCCTTTATGTATTTAAATGTTTCTATCATATCCCCACCCCCCCGTCTCGTCTTATTTCCAAGCTATATATGTTGAGATCCTTTAACCATTCCTGGTAAGTTTTATCCTGCAATCCATGAACCAGTTTAGAACTCTATCTAAAGTATCAATTATCCTTCTGGAGATACGGTCTACAGTACTGCGTACAATAGTATCATCAGTGTTCTGTACAACGGCCAAACAAAAGCCAACACTAGAAAGACTTACTTGGTGCATTTGGGTCATGTCGAGGTTTACAATTCTGAACTTCTCTGAATACTTGTTCTTTGCCGCAAGTAGTGCTGGCATTCTTCAATGGGTTTATGAAAGGTTTTACTGGCATACATTCTGAAGCTGCTGGAGTAGAAGATGTCACAACAGAATGGAAACACCTGCCACTATTGTAATCTTCTGATGAAATTATACCCATGACTTCAATTTCTTTGCCACCGATCATCAATGTCTGGCCTTCCTCAAGGTTTTCTAGATCTTTAATTTTATAGCCAGTACCTGGTGGGGAGAAGGAAAAAAACATGTGGTCACTATAACAAAAAATGGTTACCCTTAAATGAACAGAAAGGAGGGGGGAGCATGTTTAGCATTCTAAATTAAGAAGAAACACAAATTCAAGATGAAAAGTAAAGTAGAACATATTGATATTTATCACATTTTTAATGTATTATATCCATACAGACATGACAGATAAAGCCAATGACAGACAAAACAGCCTGTAGAATATTCATTTTAATTCTAAAATACCACAAACTACTAACCAGCGTATAAGGCAGGGCAAGTGGATTAACTAAACAGAGCTAGCAGAGACTGGTTTTGCAGTAGGCAGCTCGCTAAACATTCCTCACTGATGGAGAAAAAAAGACGTCTGTAGCAAGCCCTATGTTTTTAATTCCATAACCACCAGTTTGAAGGACTTCTATCTGTACATTCTATTGCCACGGTATTTCTTACATTCACTAATTTGAGCTCTGTGGATAAGTTTCTTAGATTGTTCATTCAAGGCCTGGGACCGCACCACTAGGATATGGTCATGGCTACTACACCAGTTGGTATACCAATTTATCCAATGGATTTCCTTGTGTGAGAATTCCAAAAGAAACGATCTTTGTCTAGATCCACGATTCAAAATGAGCTGCTTAAGGAATCCAGATAAAGCATGAAGTTCCCCCTACTAGTAAGGTCTCCAGGCAAGGGGAAAACAATTCATTCTGATTTTAAAGGTGAGAGACATTTTGTGTCATTTGTATATATAGCAGTGTAGGTATTAGATTTGTACACAAATTTTGTCTAAATGTGCTTAAGAAATCAAATTTTTGTTAATCGTTGGACGAACAAACTAAATTGTTCATAAAATTAATCTAGCGATTAACATGCATTTGATTCATTCAGCACAACTGAACAGGATTTGTGCACAAGTCTAGTAGGTATACTCTTCTCATCCAGAAAAGGGGTACACATGGAGAAGAAACTGTAGAGAATTTCAATGGGCATCTGACTGGGATTTATAGGCATCAAGCCACTCAACCAGCATGGTAAAAGAGGCTGATGCAGTAAACAGGAAAGTAATAACAAAACATGTCCACTGTAAGACAGGAGAGTGTGTCTACAATAAATCATAAAAACAATTACCATGTTTGAGCAAGTACAGTCTTTTATTATGAAATAAAAACAGTTCTGCACAGCTTCATACTCCAATAAAACCATACTCTAAATAGAGCAAATGTTGTCAGAGTTAAATATGAAAGAAATCTAACTACCAAGGTTCTTTCTAGTTTCTCAAAGCTGAGCCAGGGATATCTGTGTAAACAAAAATGGAAGGTCCCTTATCTGCCCAGGCTCATAGGGTGCTCCTCGTGGCATATGAATTGAATCCAGGTGACAGATTCCTGCCAGCCTGGACATATTCTTGATATCTTAAGCACATTGATTAAGGATGTTCAACCATCATAGACCAAGAACTGGGTGTTCTATAAGGCAGGGCACTAGAGCAATGGGACAATACTTCTCCAGTTTGGAGGAACCTAATTCTCACCAGTTACCGTTCCCCTTAGAAGAAGAAGAAGAAGAAAAAAAAAAAAAAAAAATAGACTTTTATAGAGCACACAGTAAAACAAACCAGTTTCTGGACCTACATTTCAAAATACCTGCTAACTGCACACACAGTTCTAGGGCATCATTCTTGATTGTCAATTATAGAGGGCAATTCATAACATGGTGACACCTCGCATGAGTCAAAGTGCCAGAGAAGGCTGCACACATTCATACTTTCAACCTTAAAAATAGCACTGAAGTGGTAGTACCTAGGGACATACCAGGGCAGCCAGAGAGGACTACATTGAACAGAGAGCTTAAATCGATCACAACAGACGTCTTTTCAGGAAGATCATGATAAAAAGGAACTAAAATGTAAAGCAACAGGTAAAAAGTGACCTTCTCCACATCCTATTCTTTAACCATACCAGGATGTCAATTTCAGGACCACAACAGCTATAATTTCTGCAGAGTTTCAATTCGTACATGAAATCGCACAATGCATTAATGTGCAACATTAAAGAAACCTTTGTAAAATCTTAACGTGAATCTGCACCACAAACTAATAGTCTGTCGTTCTGGACTAAATAGTTATTCAAGAAACAACTTCATGCCCATACCTCTTCCAATATCTTTTCCATCCATGTCTTTTAGTGTTACTGTTCTGCCTTTGGCAATAAGAACAGCATCTCCTTCCCACTTCTTGTGTTTTTTCTTCGATGCTTTGCACCAAACCACACTGAAATACTTTGTGAAGGATCTAGGTTCTTCTTCAGTCACTATATGTTCTGCATTTCCATTTGCTGCATGCAAAGATGCTGCAAAAAAAAAAAAAAGTTAATATTTTAATATATATATATATATATATATATATATATATATATTCTCTAAGACTTTATTCGCAATAAAAAATATATATATTTTTACAGGTATATGGATACACTTATGCAGTGTTGAAAAATATAAGCTTATAACTTGTGCAATGGCATTGACACAAAAGTGTTTGTGTTAGTGGAAACAGAATTCCATGCTTCCCACTGCAGAAAACAAAGATCAAAAGTAATCTAAGCAAACATTTAGAAAGGGAATGCAGGAAAGCAGCACCTTCACAAGTGTCCTCAAAATCTTCTGGGGCTTGAAATTAACTTAAAATTGTCTATATCGGATTGTGACATCCATAATCCAACATACATATTTATTTTATTGCCAAACGGATGGTGACCTCTCCACTTACATATTATTTGACAGGGATGAAGAGACAAGGACCTACAGCTAGCACAAATCCTATAATACAGAGATCTTCGTAAATCAATTCAATGTTGCACAAATTCTCAAAGTATGTACATATTCGATATCCAACTGTGAGAAAACCCATCTTGACAACCTTTCATGGGATCTACACGAGCACTTCTTTCCATTCATTCCCTCATCCCATCTGTAATGAGATTTAGGGAAGTGTGTATGGGATATTTGATTTATGCAGTTATTGCAAACCGCCATACCACCTTACAATTTAATGTAAATACAATCCTAAACAACTGGAAGGATCCTTCACAGAGCAACACTCCGTATTTGACATACACAAAAAATATATGAACGTGACATGAGTAGTGACAGCTGTCAAGCAAGACTTGAGTGACAATTTGATACTTTCTTGTGAAAGGCACATTTTATTGCACAATACAGTAACGTCATGTGACAGAGTTTTACTCGGTTGTTGCAGAGGAAGTGCATCTAACAGCCATCAGGAAGACAGCCACTAAAGATGTGTTTAACCTTGCAGTGTAAACTAAACTGAAATGTTTTACATTGCATGGTTAAAACTACAGGGCCACTGCATCCAGACCACTTCATTGAGATAATGTGATCTGATGAATTTAGTGGTACTTTAAACTTTTAAAACCACAAAAGTCATGATTCTTTTATTGTGAGTTTGATCCACCTTCTACAAATAGTCAGCTTTAACGGTTGTTCTACACTGGATGAAAATGGGGCTGGTGTTAGGTTTTTACAATTTAGTGAAGGTTACTAAATGTTGTTGCACTGGATACAGCTGCAAATGGATCACAGTCATTAGGTAAACTAAGATTGACTAAAAGTACTGGAGTATAATTTTATACCTACACCAACTGCACGTTACCTTTACCCTTTAATATCAGAAGGCCCTCACAGTCTTTAAGTGAGTATATTCAAAATTGCATACATTACGATTCTGTGTTAAGGGCTGTGAAGTATATATTAGGTCATGTGAATCCCTCATTAAAATGATAGTGTACCCACCTCTATTATTTTATAATCAATGAAAAGTACATAATTTTAAAATGCTTTTATTGCCATAATTACAAATTAAGAGTCAATATTATGACTGTCACAGCTGAGATTTGAAGGGGCAGTTAAAGCACTAAAGCCATTAAAGCACTTTGCAGTGCTTATGGTGACAGGATTGTGCTGTCACATGCCCTTGCGCTGTCATATAGCAACAATGAAACCACGTCTGCAAGGTTTGACACCTTGGCTGGGTGTCCGGTAACGCTCTCAGAAGACAGAAAAAAATGTGTTATTTTAAATTCTGACACCATAACCAATACAGAAGACAATAACTAAAACGAGAATTAAAAAAAAAACAAAAAACAGGCCAATGATTATTTTGCAGGTTTGCTAATAATCATGATATTTTACTGCTACTAAAAAACTGCCCACCGGTTAGAAACAGGAGATTTTCAGATGCATTTAAAGTTTGACATTGGTTACTATAGTAACAGGCTTGTAATTTTGCTTTAAAAGAACTGTCATATCTAGAAAAACCAGCACAGTTGAGTCATTTGCATAGTTCTTTATTTTTTTTTACTTGGGGAAGAAAGAAGGAAAAAAAAAAAAAAAGATTTTTTGATGCAGTATCAGTTACATAGTTTTTTCTTTTCATCCAGGTTAAATAATATACAAATATAAAATTTACTTTTTTTTTTTTCGAACAGTATCCCCTGCATTAAAATATGAAAATAGAACATTCAAGACGGCTACATATGCCAAAAGTCATGTTGCATTACTGTAGATGCTTTGGCATGGACCAATTACATTTAAAAGAACCATTAAGGTTAAAGTGTTTTCTCTCCTTGCCTGGGCCACAGCAGATCAATTCAAGGAGCATAATAATAGATTGCAGATGAGAGACAATCCTCTGTTACTGCCCGAGCTGAGGAAGATTTTCTAAAATAACATATGAGCTCTAGCCTTGGTCTAGAGTACAAGTCTTATGTTTCTGCATTTTTGGACATCTGGATTTTGTTAAAATCTCTATCAGATTTATAACTGGAATAGAGTGAAGCTTGTAGCCTTAAAAGTAGAGAGGCCTCAGTATGAAAATATCCAAGGAAAATATATATAGATATAGATATAGATATATAGAGCGCCTGCTTCTACGATTTAAAAAAAATAAAAATAGGATACATTTTAAATTTTAGGGACTGTGTACTTTGAATCCCTATCTCTTTATTGGTACTGCCGAAAAATCTGCATTATTTGTTGATACACAGTTAAATGAAAACCTTTCTAAAAGAAACATTGCGTTGAATGCAAAAAAAAAAAAAAAAACATTTTTTTCTGGTCAATTTTCAAGTTATGTTCCTTGTAAATAGAAACCCCACCGCTTTCAAACAGTCCAACTGAATATATATTTTAAATAAACTTTAAAAAACACATTTTGTATTTTTACAGATTACTGTACTCCGGTAGATCACGGCGTAACTTAATTGCCTTAAGTTTTTCCACTTTAATCTTGGCCTTTAGCAGCTCCTCTTCCAAGTGCTGTCGTCTTTTCAAACCTTCCCTTTTCTCCTTGATGTAAAGTCCATATTGTCTTTGATTACTCAAGATCATCTCGTGCTCCTTCTTTACCATTTGCAAAGTTTCAGGATTGTATCGACAGGTTGATCTTAAACGTTCATCTGTACGGCTATAGCATTCCTCTATCCTAGGAAGCGGAGGAGACAGAGATAGTCTAACGTCAACAGAAGACACTGAAGGAGATAATGACCTTTCTAGATCATGTTCAAACTCGACATCCTCTGAATCTTCTTGAAGAGCAATAGGTGGTGGATTTAGGAGTAACGATGGTGGAGGTTTGACATCCTCTTCTTGCTCCAGTTGCACTGTGACAGATGCCAACTGATCTTGCAATTGTAGGTGTTGAGAGCTAAGGTTAGGGTCTGTCTCTGAGCAAATGGTTTCACTGAAATACAAAATATAAGAGCACAAATCAGTGAATATCAACAGAACAAAACACGTTTTACTATAAACATTGAGGAATGCCTCCTTGTTTCACATCATCTCAAACCCCCTAATGTGGACTTTGCTCTGTGAGTGAGATACCATGTACAGCATTTTGGGCAGGGATGAAGGCAGTTATCCTTGCTTACAGTGAATTCACTAAAAGCACTTGAAAATATTCTATTGTAGTCTTCACTGCTAAAAATGGAAACCATCAGTTGTGAGTTTCATCATCTGCAGTTTTTACTGATCCTAAAATATAGCCAAAACTGATGGCAGCTCTAGCTCCCTCTGCAGGATGCCTGGAGCAGTTAGCATGTGGGATCCACTTGCTCTCCTCTGCACCATCAAGTCTCTGTGCTAGGAAGAGTTGACATGACTCAAATCCTCCTATTGCATGAGGCACAAAACACTGCTTTTTCCCTGCTGTACACCCCCCTTATTCAAACACAATGCATATTTGTATTTATACTTTCCTACTATTTATAAGGTTATCAGGGAATAAAGCTATGACTTTAACATTACGATTAAGTACAGAATTTTGCCCTGAAATATATCTTGTGTTTGTGCTTTTTGTGGGTTGAGAACCTTCTGCCAGGAACTCTCTTGGTAAGAATTATGGATTCTTTTACTCCTATTTTTTGCTCATGCCGTCTATCTGTGATCTGCTACAATGGGCACAGTTTGCATTGGAATGGCATTAGATTCAAAGGAATCAAGTAAAAACAAGTTTGAGACCATGAGAAAAGGAACGTACAGGAATCAAATTACCCATTACCCCAGCAGCTATAATATAAGCAGGCACAAAGGACAAATGCAGCTTTTAAGAGGCCGGATGCAAGCCACTAAGCTACTGCTGGCTGAATCCTGCTTATCATATGATCTGCTTTGTGGGATTGTCTCTCAAAGCTCTGCATTCAAAAACTGGGAGGTGCGGGTGCCAGAAAGGAACTAGGAGTGCTAAGGGCCCTGCTGATACATGTTCTACCTACCTCTTTAAGAGTAAAAGAAAAAAACATTAGCTAACCAAAATGTTTATAGCAAATTATATATTATTTAGGCATAGTGTGGCAAAAACATAAATCATGGGATTCTTATGATGATACGTGCCTGGGCTGTGTGCCAATATGTGTTTGGTGTTATGGAAGAAAATTGTCACAACTGTCCTTCTTGAAAATATGTAAGCACTAGTACTGAGGAGTGGCGTGGAGTTGAAGGGACACTATAGTCACCAAAACAACTTTAGCTTAAAGGACTACTATAGGAAAACAAACTCGGCACTATAGAGTCTTTGGGTCCCCCCCACTCTCAGGGTCACACTCTCTCCGGGCTGAAGGTGTTAAACTCTTACCTTTCTCCAGCGCCGGGCTCCCTCGGTGCTGGGGAACTCTCCACCCTCTTCTGACGTCAGCGCAGAATGTGCATGTGCGGTAAGAGCCGCATGCACATTCAATCAGTCCATAGGAAAGCATTTCTCAAAGCCTTCCTATGGACATCAGCGTCTTCTCACTGTGATTTTCACAGTGAGAAGTGCGGAAGCGCCTCTAGCGGCTGTCAATGAGACAGCCACTAGAGGCTGGATTAACCCTAGTGTAAACATAGCAGTTTCTCTGCAGGGTTAACCCTAGATGGACCTGGCACCCAGACCACTTCATTGAGCTGAAGTGGTCTGGGTGCCTATAGTGGTCCTTTAACCCTTTAAGGACACATGACGTGTGACATGTCATGATTCCCTTTTATTCCAGAAGTTTGGTCCTTAAGGGGTTAATAAAAGCAGTTTTGGTGTATAGATCATGCCCTTAAAGTCTCACTGCTCAATTCTCTGCCATTTAGGAGTTAAATCACTGTTTATGCAACCCTAGTCACATGACCCTGCATCTGACTTACGCAGCCTTCCTAAACACTTCCTGTAAAGAGGCATCTAATGTTTACACTTACTTTATTGCAAATTCTGTTTAGAGTTTCTTATCTCCTGCTTGCTGGATCCTGCAGTAGCCTCCTGTGTGTAATTAAATAGTAAGTTCCCATGTGATTAAAAATTAAACTCTTGTTTTCATGCAAGTTGTGTCAGTCAGAACCAGGGAAAGGGCTGCACAGACAAACAAAAGTGGTTTAACCCCTAACTAGCAGTGAACTGAGCAGTAAGACTTCAGAGACCTGATCTATACACAAAAAACTGCTTCATTAAAGGGACATTGTAGGCACCCAGACCACTTCAGCTAATTGAGGTGGTCTGGGTGCTGTGACCCTTTTGCTCTTAGTGCTGCAATGTAAATCATTGCAGTTCCAGAGAACTACGGTGTTTACATTGCAGCTCTAAGTCTGCCCTCAGTGGCTGTCTACCAGACAGCCACTTGAGGGCTTCCGGAATCCAAACGGACTTTTGGTCCGTTATCGGACGCTGGACGTCCTCATGGACCTGCAGCGTCAGATTGAATAATGCTTTCCTATGGGGAGGTCGAATGCGCGCGGCCATTGCTGGCCATGCGCATTAAGTCGCCCCTGCCGGCTGACGTCCGTTGACCCAGGGGACATCGGCACTGGATTCAGATAAGTTGCTGAAGGGATTTTAACCACTTCAGGCCTGTGGGAGGGGGACCCCCAGTGAAGGGGGGGACCTAATAACCATATAGTGCCAAGAAAACTGCTTTGTTTTCCAGGCACCATAGGATCCCTTTAAGCTAAATTAAGCTAAAGTTCTTTTGGTAACTATAGTGTCCCTTATTGGGTCCTATACTAACCTCCACTGCAGTAAAGCATCAACAGCATGTACTGGAGAAAAGGAAATATGGGACGGTCACCAATGCCAAGTTTACAGTTCCACTTTAAAGGGACATTATAGTCACCAGAACAACTACATCTTAATGTAGTTGTCCTGGTGAGTATAAGCATTGCTTTCAGGCATTTTAATGCAAACACTGTCCTTTCTATGTTTACAATGCACTCCTCAGATGGCCACTGGATGTACTTCCTGGGACAGTGCTGCACAGCGTCTCCACGCTCTGCATGGGGACACTAAATTTTCCTCAGAGATGCATTGATTCAATGTATCTCTATGAGGAGGTGCAGATTGGCGAAAAAAACAAGTTTGGCCCTGCCCCCATCCCGCCTCCTTGCAGATTTCAGCCAATCCAATGCTCTCCCTATGGAAAGCATTGGATTGGTTCAAAACCAGCAATTCTGATGTCACCAAGGAGGCGGATCGGGGGCGGGCCAGCATTGGCGGACTAGCGCTGGAAATAACGCGATTTCACTTAAACTGTGGATTAAACACTACAGGGTCAGTGGCCAGAGCCAGCGCCCACAAGAGATGGCCGCACTTCTAGTTAGCTCCGTGCTGTCGACTCCATAAACGGCTTGCAATGGGCTGAACGCAATCTGTACCACGAAACTGAGCGCATGACCACCAGCTGAATGAGGTGATGCTCCAACAAACCGAGCAGATCATCGAGATATCCGAGCTTTACTCCGACAGAGTCAGCAGCTTGCCCCATCCAAGACGGTGCCGACTAAGACCCACTCCACTGCCTCCTCTGAAGATGAGAGTTTCCAGGAGTAGGACCCAGCTACCATGCAGGTACAGCAGCCCATGAAGCAAGAGTATAATGCTCCCTCCACCAAGGCTGATATTAAAGCCCTGTTACAGGACATTAAAGCAATGTCCCAGGCTGACATGAATGTGGTAAGAGGAAGTTACTATGCTGACAGACCGCATTCTAGCCATTGAGGAAGATTTGGGGGGCACGCGGTTGGTGCAATCTGCCACAGACGCTGCGCTTAATACTCTGCAGAAGACGTGTGGAGAACTAGGTGTATGAATGGCAAACCTGGAAGATAGGGCCAAGGCCCGCACTGTATGAGTTAGGGGAGTACCTGAGACGACTTCTCCTGCAGAATTACCCCACTATGTCCGGCAGCTATTGTCCACGTTGCTGTCCCCCAGACTGGCCAAGCAGGCCATTAATGACCGCTGTTTTCGTTTGTGTAAAGCCGCACAAGCACCCTCAGAGGGGGAATCTGAAAAAAACGAATTGATGGAGGCTACCAGAGCGTCCCCTCAACTGAGCTTTGAGGGCTCACAGCTGTCCTTTTATAGCGATCTCTCCAAGTCCACCATAACATGGAGGCAGTCGCTACGTTCCACAACTAAGATCCCATACAAATGAGGCCCACGTCGCCTACTAGCAGAAAAGGATGTTCACCCTTAAGAGGCACCAGCCTTTCTTCAAGCGCTGGGGATACTGGCGTAGTCGCTCCCCCCGCAGGGACGCAAGCCTTTGGCAGTTGGCGCAATTTCACCATTTGTTCTGAGACCGGCTTTAGCTGGGCCGGCGGACCCTCCAGCTTGAACCAGTCTGAACTGACATTTGTTTTGCTACATAATACATGTGGTTCGTTCTTTCTTTCTTTCTCTATGTTTCCCCATTCTCTACCTACTCTGGTCCCGTTGGCTTTTCTATATAGTATTTGCTCTGTCGTTCTATCCCCCATGGGTATGATTTCAGAGGGTATACTGAATGAGTAGTATTGGCATTGTAATAATATTTTCATTTAATTTCACTTTTCATGAGGACATCTAGCATCTTCTAAAACCCCATAGGAAAGCATTTATTAATTGCTTTTGGTCACTCCTCGCACATGCGCATTAGGTTCCCCCCCACCAATTGGCTGACCTTAGCGGAGTAAGAGCTCAATAGTGCAGAGATGCCTTGGCACTTAACATAGGTAAAAAGGAAGGTTTTTTAACCCTTTCATTAATAGCGGTGGGTGGGGGCGCTAAGGGACACTTTAGTGTTAGGAAAACACTTTGTTCTTTTAAGTCATAAATGTACTGTAATCCATGCATTTGGATTAGAAGTACACAATCTAAAATTTCATTTCATGACATGACCATCCACATGTAAACAATTAAATTGATGGGGAAAAATCAGGGAGGATAAGGGAAGGGTGACCCAAGGGGCTGCTAGACCTACTTGCTTGGTAGGTTTCCCAATGCTATGAGAAGCATTCTATTAGCTGTGAAATCAGCAGTACTGATGCTGTTCTACAAGGAGAAGAGTGAAGAAAAAAAAAAGTGAAAAATTTTTTCCCAGTTCTCTCAACCAGATCTCTCATGGCCCTTTAAAGTATTTTCCTATCAAGAGACACCTGCATAGGAAATCTACAGATCCAATAATTTTTTTAAAAAGATGCTAAAGTGGGGAGAACCATGGATAAAATCCGATCCATGGTCATAACCCAGTGTATTTCAGCTTTCAACGCAGGATTCGAAGGACTATATGCGTTATTCATCTATTTGGGAAGCCTTTCAGAAATTTCGGTTCAAAATTATTCAGTTCTGGGACACTCACTTAGGCACAGCATAGCTGTATAATACTACCAAAGCTAAATAAACTTGACATTCCATGTAAGTAAAGTGAAAAGGTCATGCTATTTTTACTATAGATCTTTTAAGATAGTTTCAAATTCCATCTATACATTATGCAAGATTAATCAAAATTATAGATTTGGAGAAAAGAAAAACAGATTAAAAAAAAAATATCCCATCTGTCAATCAATTGAGAGACAGGGAGAGGAGAAGATCTTCCTGCTCTCCACACATAGCAACCACAGCGCATGCACTACTAGTGCTGGCAAGGAAGTGTAGAAACTTCGTGACCGGACGTCAATCAGTTCAGACACCGGCATGTCTGCATCATGAAAAAGATTTAAAGGGACACTATAGTCACCCAGACCACATCAGCTTAATTAAGTGGTCTGGGTGACAGATCCCTCTAGGATTAAAGGACCACTTCAGTTTAATGAAGTGGTCTGGGTGCTAGGTCCATCTAGGATTAACCCTTTCTGCTGTAAACATGGCAGTTTCAGAGAAACTATGTTTACCTATGGGTTAATCCAGCCTCTAGTGGCTGTCTCATTGACAGCCGCTAGAGGCGCTTCCCACTGTGATTTATACAGTGAGAAGACGCCAGTGTCTATAGGAAAGAATTGAGAATGCTTTCCTGTGGACTGGCTAAATGCGCGCGCGGCTATTGCCGCGCATGTGCAGACGATGACGGCAAAAAAGGAGGAGGAGACTTCCCCGGCGGGGAAAACGGGTAAGGTTTAACTCCTTCCACCCCTAGAGCCCGGCGGGAGGGGGCCCCAAGGGTGGGGGGAACATAGAGACCCTATAGTGCCAGGAAAACGAGTATGATTTCCTGGCACTATAGTGGTCCTTTAACCCTGCCTGCTGTAAACATAGCAGTTTCAGAGAAACTGCTATGTTTACATTTGGGGTTAAGCCAGCCTCTAGTGGCTGTCTTCTGGACAGCCACTAGAGGCGCATCTGCGACGCTGAAGGCATATTATACCTCCATCAACCAGAGCGTCCATAGGAAAACATTGAAAAATGCTTTCCTATGGACACTCTGAATGTGCGCACTGTTGCGCATGCACATTCCGCTCCGCTGACGTCAGACAGGGGAGGAGAGGTAAGGGAGCCCCGCGGTGGAAGAAGGTGAGTAACTGAAGGGGTTTTAACCCCTTCAGCACCATGGGAGGGGGACCCTGAGGGTGGGGGCAGATTTGTTTTCCTGACACTATAATGATCCTTTAATCTGCTTGTGGAAGTGTCCCAAAGCAGGGCAAACCAACGAAGAACTGAGAAGAGGCATGGGCGAACTGGAGATGGGTGTTACAGAATTAAAACACCCACCTCTGTAAGAAAATTGCAGAGGGTCAGGAAAGTGGTGACAGTTTCACTGTAGGCCCTAACTGCTTTATCTTTAGTTCCCTGAAGCCAACCTTTTTTAATGCTAAAGTCTCCAACAGCCCACTTCCTATATGCTGCGTATGCTAATAAAGAAGCACTAGCCTAAGGGGAAATGGGAGTCAGTGATTGGTTAGAAGTATCAACTGATCGTTTGCAGCCTATCAGTTGCCATTGCCAGTATGAATTGTTATGACAAGAAGGAAGTGTGCATTCTCTGTATTAGCCTTACCTCCAGTGGGCGGTCAGGCTGCAAGCGGCCAGGGAATACGGTGTTAAAATGTTTAAAAATTGTTTAACACTAAATAGACCTTAAGTACTATAACCAATTTAGCTACAAAAAAAAATGCCAAAAATAATGATAATAAAAAGAGAAAATTTATATAGCCCTTAGAGTGTCCCTTTAATGACCAGATAGCATTGACAACGTAGAAATAAAAGGCTACTAAATAACCACCTTATAATAATATAAAATAAACAATCATAAGAACCCTGCCATGATGTGATTTTAATAGAGTCAGCTTTGAATGCAACAGATGTCTGAGTAAGCCTTTAGCAAATCCACTCTTTATTCCAGAAGTTTGGTCATTGAGGGGTTAAAGGGGAATCATGACTTGTCACACATGTCATGTGTCCTTAAGGGGTTAAATATTGATGGTGCTAGATTGTCAGAATTCACTGGACGGCTATTCCAGGTACATACTACCCTTTCTGTAATGGTTGCTGCTCATTTAACCAACCATATGCAAACTGCTGCCATGACCTTTGTGCCAATAGCCTCTTGTCTGCCAGGATGGGTTTAAAGTACAAACACTCAGTTACTAATCCTGAAAAACAAACAGAGCACTTAGTCCTCCACCCAGATTTGTTTTACTGGATGAGACAACGAAAAAATAAATACAAATAAGGTTTTTTAAAAAGGCAGAAAATAAGAAGTAATGTGAGATAACATACCATGCAAGTATATAATTTAACATTATTATTCCTATTAACTTTTAGGTTCTCCAATTGAATTACAAATAAATTTTGTATCCGGTTGCCAAATTAACATGTTATTTGGGAGATACACGTCCATGCTTCATGCTGTGAGATTAGCCACCCAATTAATTGTGGCCCTTCCTTTGGGATGCCTGCTGTGACTCATTGTTCTCAATACTGCAGCGTACAATGGCTATATACTACTGGGAGTGCTTTTCATTCACAGCACCACAGCATAATGCATCCTAAAACATGGTGAACTTGTCATTTACATTCAATTACCGTATATAAAATAACACATGTATGCACTTGCGAGATTCTTTGATAGTACAACAGATCACTGCACTGAGCAGAATAAAAAAAAAAAAAAAAATGTAAATTGTTTGACATAAATAAAAATAAATAGAAAAAAAGACAGGAAAGTAAAAGATTCCAGACTCTCACACTGGAAAAAGCTTCCGTCCCTCAACATAGCCCTGAACAAACTCTGCTCCTCCAGCTAAAGATTTGGCTGGCCTGGCCAGTTTATATCCTAGAACTGGAATTTCAGGTTTAGACTGGTATTAGGGAGACTACAGTGTGTGTAGGAGAGCTAGTACACACAGTTGGGGGCAGGGTAGGAGATTGCATTAGGGTGAAAAGCATTTTAAAATTTGATTCTATCACTTTAGTGGAGGAGTTGATGTATTTTCGGTCAGAGTCATAGAACGTTTTTAAAAACGAAAGCTGTGTCTTGTCTCCACACCTATCTGTTTACAAGGCACATAGTTCAACACACAAGACAAGGAAGGAAGGTTTCATGTGACACTGTGGGGGTTTATTTACGGAATTGAGAATTGTGGAGATTTCCTGCCAAGCGGACAATCTTGCACGTTTGTTTAGACCAAAATAGACAAATTGACAAGATTCTCCAATTCGGACTATTATGGCGTAAAATATGACATTCCCTTGTAAAATATTCCCCCTTTCACCAAATATTGGGGAACAAGATACTAAATGTTTTCGTAATACTGTAAAAATGTTTATATAAAACGCAGTGAGGTTAAGCATGTGTAAACGGACTTCAGAAGTAAATAAATTCTGATGTCAAATGATTAAACTTGCTAACACAAGATTTTATTTTGACATGCTGTTTTCGGGAGACACGCATTGTTATATGCAAGTAGCTTAGCGATCTTTGGTGTTTTCCAAGCAAGACTTGACAGTTAAATAAATGGGAGTTTAAATGGGATATACTGGTTGCCCCCGATTTACCAGAAATTCCCAGGAAGAAAGAGAATGAACAATACAGTTTAAAATCCTTCACTAGGGGCAAATTCTTTTTTAGAAGGATTTGTCAGTCTATGTTAGACAGGAATCCAGGGAAACGTGTGTATAATTACACCATATGTTAAACTATTTAACAAACCTTCAAAATATTATTTTGTAGTAGGCTTATATGCTATGATGGTAAAATGCAGGGTGTTAACTAAAGGCCAGAAATAGAGGAACACGAGTGAAAAATGATAGACGTATGGCAGTGATGGCTAGCTTTGACAATCGAGATGTGTCTGCTGTGTTTCCTGTCACACTTCGCAGCCTCAAGGCTAGCTGAGCATCATGGGAAACGTAGTACAGAAACAGTGAGGTGGTCAACTTTAGCCTGCACTGGTCAGGGGTTTACAGTATGTTCCTAAATATTTAACCTGCGAAGAGACATGCAATCACAAAGCATAAAATAAACAAGGACTCAAAACAACATGTTAGAACACTACAAACAAACAAAACAGGCACAGCTTATTCTAGAGAGGGTTGTTTTGTTTAAATAAATATTAGGCTATAACGGTGTTTTACAAGTATCCTCCGTAAACATAACTCCTTCTACATAAATTAAAAAACAACCAGGAAACTCATGTTAACGCTGGGGTAGATGATCGTCACTAAGGTTATGAGAATGTCATTGCAGCTGATAATTCCTTGCTGCAACAACACACTGAAAGAGTTAATTGGAGATTTCTTAGTCCTTAATCCGAGGTTTCTGCAGGCTGGATTTTAATGTCATAAAGACAAAATCTCCCTAAAATGCTCTAACAGGTGCAACCATGGTTACCTTGTCAGCTCTTATTTTCTCCTGATCTTACATCTTTATGTACCCTTACCAATATCATAGTTTAACACATAATGCAATAAGCAGAATAAATATAACATTGTGAGGACATTAGGGACCTGTAATAAGGAGGACATGTACACATGACAAACATTTCCAGGAGAGGAGTTTTCTTACCTAGATATGCCGCCGTTAAGGTCCCTTGCGTAACACACATTTCCAAACTGGGGAATTATCTCAACAAGTTTTTTTGTGGCCTCTGATACAGTGTTTTGGTAGCCCGCCTGCGAGGTCTTGCATTGAAAAAGCTCCTGCTTGCCATACTCCTTTAGCCTCTTGTACAAGGTACGCAGGCCTTGCGCAGTCCGCGGAGGCCTGCCTGCTCCTATTGCGTTGTACTTTTCCGCTATGATCTCCCAGCAGTTGTTTTTCTCAATGATAACAGAATGTTTGTTGGTGTGCTCCTCCAAAACCCCAATGTATGGCTTCACCAGCTCAAGCAAATCAAGCTTTTCAAACACTGTGAAATTAGATGACCGTGCCTTCCCAACCATTTTCTGTTGTCCTTTTATTAGCAATCAGCTCCTGAAACCAACATTCAGCCTGGAGCTCTGTGCAGCTCTTTTCCCCCACAGACAGAAGGAAAAAAAAATAAAAATCAGGCTTAACTAGGTTAGTCTCGCTTAGGCCTACGCCTACAAGGGAGGGTTTATTAAAATTCCTTCAGCTTAATCTGACACAGGTTCAGGAAAATCGGTTTAAGACAAGCCTGACCTACATAATACTTAATGAAGAATGCAGACAGATACCAGCTGGATAAAGAACTCAGAACACACACATTGTAATACTCTGAAAAGACACCGCATAACATGAGATAAGATGAAAAGCAAGCTTTATTCAAAACACATCTTTCCTCATTCCTTTTCACAATCACGAACTGATATTATAGCATTACAGAAAGCACAAACAGATATCCGTCAGTAACTATTAAATCAGACTAAGAGAACATATAATGTTACTAAAAGAAAGGGGAAATAAAATTAAAAAACCCACAGCAGCACAGCAGAGTGTGACTGTGTAGGAGAACCCCCTGCTGGAGCCCTAATCAGCCTCTGTTCAGGCTTGCAGTATTTGCATAATGCTAGTCCTGCTGTCAATCAGGAGCTGTGCTTCCCCCAGCTAGTTAGGTTACACCCAAGGCTCAAACTCCACAGCAAGGCTCAACCTCCCCCGTATTTTACATTCTGCTGAGCCCTGAAGGATTATGGCGCCTGGAAACGCAAACAATGCAATGTGTAAAACGACACTTTGAAAATGCAATAGGAGGATGCCTGGGCACAAACAGGGGAGCGTTATAGGCATTTGGAATGGTTATACCAGTCAAAATGGCCTGGGGCAGTGACGGGAAATAGAGTGCACAACAACAGCTGCTAACCTTTGGCACTGTAGCTGTTGTGGACTCCGGTTCCCATAATGCTCTGAGAGATAAGCTAAGCAAACTAGCTGAGCATCATGGGAAACAGAACAACTGCTGCAAAGCCAAAGGTTATCTGTCACAGGCCTAGAGAGAGAGAGAGAGAGAGAGAGAGAGAGAGACACATACACAGCAAGGTTAACTCCTAGTGTGCTGGAAGACCCTGACACACTGGACTGAAATTATTGGCCATTTCCTTTCCGAAACAGATCTTTAATCCCTAAATACAATTTAATGATCTGTAAATTAACATACGGTAAATGTATTACATGTGAAAAACAGCAGTCACTGAAAACTGAAATAATCATTAAAAAAAAAATTTAAAAAATAAAAATAGGTAAATGCCATAGATGGCAAACAGATCATAAAATACACAGTAATTCAAGTAATGTATTCACAACACAACTGTCATAATCAGCAATGTTCTCAGTCAGTGAGTCAAAAACAATCTTAGGGATTTATTTACTAAACAGTGAGAACAATTAGCAAAATAAAAGCCATGAAAAAAAAAAATGAAGGAAGGATGTACACAACGCTCAGCAGAACAGCAGGTTTTTCTAACGAACTTCAGACTGTGCATTCAGTTTCAAAAGCTGATAGAGATAAAGGGACACTCCAAGCACCCAGACCACTTCTGCCCATTAGAGTGGTCTGGGTGCCAACTCCCACTACCCTTAACCCTGCAAGTGCAATTATTGCAGTTTTTATAAACTGCAATAATTAACTTGCAAGGTTAAGTCCTCCTGTAGTGGCTGTCTATCAGGCTGTCCTTCAGCGTCGCCGAAATCCCCATAGGAAAGCATTGACTAATGCTTTCCTATGGGGAGGTCTAATGCGCGGCCATTGCTGCGCATGCACATTAGGTCTCCCCCGCCAGCTGACGGCGGGGGAGCAGAGTAGGCAGAGCCTGACCCAGTGCCGAGGGCAATCGGTAAGTCATTGAAGGGGTTTTAATCCCTTCAGCCACTTGGGATGGGGGGTGGGAGGGAGAGGGGCAATGCAGGGTCCTGCAGTGCCAGGAAAACAAATATGTTTTCCTGGCACTGGAGAGTCCCTTTAACAACATAAGAAGGTGCATAATAAGAAAATCTTTAAAATGACACTACAATCACCAAGTTAAATGAACACTATAGTTCAGGCGTAGGCAACCTATGGCACGTGTGCCATGCATAGCACTTGAGGTGTCTTTGCACGGCCTATCAGAAGTCCCAGTGAAACTTCAGATACAGTGAGGGAAAAAAGTATTAGATTACCTGCTGATTACGAACGTTTGTCCACTAACAAAGAAATGATCAGTTTATAATTTTAATGGTAGGTGTATTTTAACAGTGAGAGACAGAGTAACAAAACAAAAAAATCCAGAAAAACACAAAAAAGTTATAAATTGATTTGCATGTCAATGAGTGAAATAAGTATTTGATCCCCTATCAATCAGCAAGATTGACATGCAAACGAGCTGAGATTAGGAGCACTCTCTTCAGATCCACAGAAGAAATCAATCAGATTCCAAACTATCCACCATGGCCAAGACCAAAGAGCTGTCCAAGGATGTCAGGGAGAAGATTGTAGGCCTACACAAGGCTGGAATGGGCTACATGAACATCGCCAAGCAGCTTGATGAGAAGGTGACAACAGTTGATGCGATTATTCGCAAATGGAAGAAACACAAAATAACGGTCAGTCTCACTCGGTCTGGTGCTAACGGTCAGATCTCACCTAGTGGAGTTTCAGTGATCATGAGAACAGTGAGGAATCGGCCCAGAACTACACTGGAGGTTCTTGTTAATGATCAAGGCAATCAATTCGCTGTGTTTGGAGGAGGAGGAATGCTGCCTATGACACCAAGAACACCAACCCCACCAAAGATGGAAACATTATCTTTGGGGGGGGGAGTTTCTGCTAAGTGGACAGGACAACTGCACCGTATCAAAGGGATGGTGGACTGGGCCACGGTCCGTTAAATCTTGGGTAAGGACCTCCTTCCCTCAGCCAGGGCATGACCCAAAACACACAGCCAAGGCAACAAAGGAGTGGCTCAAGAAGAAGCACATTAAGATCCTAGAGTGGCCTAGCAAGTCTCCAGACCTTAATCCCATAGAAAAATCGGTGGAGGGAGCTGAAGGTTCGAGTTGCCAAATGTCAGCCTCGAAACCTTAATGACTTGGAGAGGATCTGCAAAGAGGAGTGGAACAAAATCCCTCCTGAGATGTGTACAAACCTGGTGGCCAACTACAAGAAACATCTGACCTCTGATGTCTGATCACATGCTTGCACTATGATTGCCAACAAGGGTTTTGCCACCAAGTACTAAGTCGAAAGAGTCAAATACTTATTTCACCCATTGACATGCAAATCAATTTAAACCTTTTTTGACATGTGTTTTTCTGGTTTTAATTTTTTTTTTTTTTGTTATTCTGTCTTTCACTGTTAAAATACACCTACCATCATCGTGATTTTGTGATGATGTACCCTAAACCTTGGATAAAGGTATTGATATCTGCCTGTACATGACATAAAGGTTATTTGGTTATAGCAAGAGCACACGGCATATTCACATAGAACGCTACTATATCCCTCAAGCAATGTTCTAGCACATTGTTAATTTGAGACTGACAATGGATAGGTATTATGCCTTTACATATGTCTCTCATGGAGGCCTGGGAGCCTAATCTTTCTGTTTACATCTTTACCAATAAAATAGATTTGCAAAATAAAAATAAAAATACACCTCCCATTAAAATTATAGACTGATCATTTCCTTGTCATTGGGCAAACGTTCAAAATCAGCAGTGGATCAAATACTTTTTTCCCCTCATTGTATCTGCTAATTGGAAAAGGTGGTGAAGAACAATCCTCAACTTACACATTGCAGCACATAGAGGAAGTGATCTCACATCACTTCATTCCAGCACTTGTGAATAGGAATCCACACTGGAGTAGAGTAGTCTGCAGCTGCTGTTGCAGCTCCTGTCTTTGACCTGTACCTGGCCAGCCCGGTCCCCACTGGAACCCAGGGAAGCCACCAACACTGCTAGATATACACAGAAATGCAGAATAACCCTCCCCTCATACAAATAATACGAACAGCCTACACACAAAATATACACACTGATATACAGAAGGTCATTGACATAAAAACACAAGCTCACACAGTAGCACGCACGCACACACACACCTTAATGTAGTGGCTCTGGTGCCTATAGCCGGTCCCTGCAGGCTTTTCAATGTAAACACTGACTTTTTAGAGAAAAGGCAGTGTTTACATTGCTTCCTAGTGACAGACAGTCACTAGAGGTGCTTCCTGTGACAGTGCAGATTGGCTGAGATCATCAAGCTTGATGATCTCAGCCGTAGAGGCAAGGCCAGTCGAGGGGAGACCAGCACGACGTGGGGGGGAAAAAAGGTGAGTAAAAACACACACATACCATGACAGACACACACCGTGACACAGACAGAAACAGACACACCATGACAGACACACACCTTAAAAAAGACACACACACACACCATAACACAGAGACCGTGACACACACCCACAGCCATGACACAGACAGACACACACGCCATGACACAGACACACAGACACACACACCATGACACAGACACACACACACACACAACCATGACACAGACAGACAGACACACACACACACCATGACACAGACAGACAGACACACACACAACCATGACACAGACAGACAGACACACACACACCATGACACAGACAGACAGACACACACACACCATGACACAGACAGACACACACACACACACCATGACACAGACAGACACACACACACACAACCATGACACAGACAGACAGACACACACACACCATGACACAGACAGACACACACACACCATGACACAGACAGACACACACACCATGACACAGACAGACACACACACACCATGACACAGACAGACACACACCATGACACAGACAGACACACACACACACCATGACACAGACAGACACACACACACATACACTCACACACATAATTGCTACCTGTGTGCTGGCGGCCACATGGGGGAGCTAGCTCTTCTGGCGGCCGCATGGGGGAGCTAGCTCTTCTGGCGGCCGCATGGGGGAGCTAGCTCTTCTGGCGGCCGCATGGGGGAGCTAGCTCTTCTGGCGGCCGCATGGGGGAGCTAGCTCTTCTGGCAGCCGCATGGGGGAGCTAGCTCTTCTGGCAGCTGCAGAGAGCTGGCTGTTCTGTCTCTGCTCCCCCGCCCCAGCGCACTGCTTAATGAGACTCTTTTCCACATATCCCGAGGTGGAACGTACAAGTCACGCGGTGTGCGTTTCAACTGGACTGACGTCATGTCAGCATGACGCCCGCAATCCGGACGCCATTACGCCAGAAGTCAGGCCGGCGTCTTTACCGGAAAGACGTCACAACCCAGATATGGCTGGCGGCGGTGCTGGAAGCACGTTCCACCTCGGCGATATGCGTTCCAGAGATAGGAACCGGCCATCCAATACATATAAAAAGACGCCAAGGAAGAAGAGACACATATTACGGACTGAGGAAGTCCCTGGTACGGGGCGAAACGCGTTTCAGATTTACAGAGACTCCCTTATTGGACTCTTTTACTATATTACTATTTTTATGCATTTTATTGGAGTAATTCTTTTTGTCTCCATTCCTGTTTACAGTCATTTATATTTGCTACCAGAAGATTCCAAGAAGGAAAGGGACATCCTAACTAATGGTCCCAATGCTGTTCCCATGAGAGCCACATGTATATGTTTGGCTCTTGATTTGTGAGTACCTGATCTCCTCTACATTTATTTGGATATCCATTTGCTGACAATATTACACTATATTGTTCTTTTATTCTCTTTTAGATATTTCTAGGAGTGTGATCCACCTATTTTATGTATTGTTCTTGTGTTTATATTTGAGTGGTATAAGGGGTCTCCCACTCAGGTGATAGATCACACCCATTTTGTCCTCACTGTATATATCGCACTTTCTTTATTACTATGCAGGGTTTGGCTTATTTTAAAGCTTGCTTGACAAGCACAAGACAATTTGTCTCTAATCACCTGTGGATTTTTGTTGAAGGCTTTAAAGCAGCGCAGTCTATTTTGGGTTATTGCATTTCCGGAGGCACCATTAGGAACTATTGCACATCACACAAGATAATGCCCACTGGAATTTAAAATAATATATTTGGAAAGAAATGCTATGTGAACTTGAAAAGTAGATTCTAGAACTCTATGCACCCCTTTATGTACATACTTTTTCTCACTTTTTACATAATGTTTCTTAGTTACTTCACAATTTAAATCATTAAAGTTTTAGCTTTTTTAATATGAAAATGTCTGCCTGGCAAATTTCAAATGTGGAGAACTATGGAGTCCTGAGCCCTGCCAGGTAGCGCCCAATCATACCCAATACATGCATAACTGAGTTGCCATAGGATGGATTCATTTGCCAAAAAACAACAATTGGTATAATCTTATTTTACCTAACAGGTCCACTTTGGTTTTGGTGTATAGATCATGCCCCTGCAATCTCACTGCTTACGACTCTGCCATTTAGAAGTTAGATCAATTTGTTTATGCATCCTTAGCCATACTCCTGTGTGACTGGAGTTCAAATAGACAGAACATGGGATAAGAACTTCTAAAGTAAACACATTGTGCTGTAAAATATGATTGAACATTAAACCTTTTATTTGCGTAGGCTGTGAGAGTCACAGTCAAGTAAAGTGTGGCTAGGGCTGCATTAACAGAAACAAAAGTGAATCCTAAATGGCAGAGCATTGAGCTGTGAGACTGCATGGGGCCCAAAACTACTTCATGAAGCTAAAGTTGTTTTGGTGCTTAGAGTGTCCCTTTAATAAAAATATTAAAAAGCTTAATATTTGTGCACAGCAGGCTGAACATACATGTTACACTCTACTACTATGAAAGCATATTGTCTGATAACTAGAAAGGAACTGCTATGCAGTTTTGTTTAGTCTTAGAATAAATCCAATGACATCATAAAATAAAAATGTCATTTTATGTTTACACAGAACATTTGAATTGTACATTTTTAAACCACACAGATTTAAAAAAAATAAAATACATGTTGGCTTTACCTGCTAATGGTCGAAATTTGGGTAGAGCCATCACGCTAGATTTCCCAGAGAGGTTTGTAGGTGGAGTCACTGCTGGTGATTCTAATGGTCGAGATTTGGGTAGTAGCGTCACACCAGGTTTCCCGGAGAGATTTGCAGGTGGAGTCACTGCTGATGATTCTAATGATTGAAATTTGGGTAGTGCCGTCACACCAGGTCTGCTAGAGAGATTTGCAGGTGGAGTCACTGCTGGTGATTCTAATGGTTGAAATTTGGGTAGAGCCGTCACGCTAGATTTCCCAGAGAGGTTTGCAGGTGGAGTCACTGCCTCTTTAGTGGAACACATTGTGTTCAGTCCACACATTTTTGTAAGTGATCTAGAAGGTACATCGCTGTTCTTCTGATAATGAAAAAGCAGGTTTTAATACAGTTTCTGTGTTTCCATGTGAAAAAGTGTTTTCCAACAGCTAGACTGATATGTACATGCATAACAAAAGCTGTATCTAAGTTCCTAATATTTTATAACTATGTTCACAGTAGGTGAAACTGGCATCTTCAGTTTGACTTTCCTGGTGATTCTAATATTGCACTGTAAAAAATAAACGAATTTAAGTAACGTACTTTCATTAGATGACTGGCCTTTGATCCCCATCAGTTTTAGTCCCCAAAATGAAAGGAACACCCCAAGCACATTAACAACTACAGTGTGTAGTGGTTATGGTGACAGGAGTACCATTCCATTGCAAGGAGTAAAACGAGTAGAACTTTTAGAAAAGTTTGACTTCATACCTGGGATTTGCCAGGCATCACTTCCGCCTCCACTACTTCCTATGGAGAGCCAGAAGCTTCTAAGCAGTAGTTTCGTTTAGCTCTCCTGAACCAAGCCTAGGTTGTTGACAGATCACTCTTAGCCAATAAGCTAAGACCTGCACTCACTGGCGTACTAAGGGGGGAGCAGGGGGGTGAGGGGTCATCCGCCCCGGGTGCCACCAGGGCTGGCCAGGCTTGGGGTTCTGTGAGCTGTGTGGCTGATCAGGGGGCCAGCCAGCTGACACAGCTCACACACACACACACACACGCAGGGGCCGGTCAGGAAATACAGCAGGAGTACAGCACTGAGAGTTAAGGGCGGAGCTAAACTGATGTGAGGGCGGAGCTACAGGCTCCACTCGCTGCTCTTTCTGCAGCACACAGAGGGGAAGCAGGAAGGAGTTCCTGCTTCCCCAACTACAACAAACCAGGAACTTCAGTGACTCCACTCCTCCACCAGTAAGTGAGAGAGAATGTGTGCGTGTGCAGGGCCTGACTTGAAAAAAAATTTCGGCCAGGCATTTTTCAATCACAGCGGCCCCCTGAGAAGGGGGCGGGGCCAGAGAGGGTGTGTTTTGTCATCACTAATGACAAGCACGCCCCTTCTCAAAGTGAGCATGTTGGTTCAATACGCAGAGCCCCACCGTAGAGCTCTAACATGAGAAAAGGGCCCTGTATTTGTTCTACACATTTCAAGCAAATTGAGAGTATGTATGTCAGGTATGTAGTATGTGTAGGTGGTGCAGTGTGTGTGTGCAGGGGATCTAATGTGCAAATGACCCAGAGTGTGTATATGAGTTTGTGTGTGTGTGTATAGAGGATTCAGAGTGTATATAGGGTAAGGGATCTAGCGTGTATCTGGAGCGTAATGTGTGTAGTGGTGCAGTGTGATATAGTATGTGTGAGGGGCGCAGTGTGTTGGGTGTGCGGTGTGTATGTGTGAAGGGTGCAGTGTGTGTGTGTGGATGTTCTTATCTACTGTCACATTCTATGTTTCTAATTTGCTCTATCTGTTACCTCACCGAGGGCTATTTTATATATTATACATACGTGTGGGTATATGTGTGAGAGTGTGCTGTGTGTGTGCTGCCAGGGGGGGGCTGTATTGAGATCCCTGGTGGTCTCAGTAGTGAGAGTGATCTCTAGCCTGCAGGGCTAGAGTTCAATCTCGCGAGTTCTGAGCATTGCTGAGGTAACTGGCTAGAGTTTTGATCTTTGATCTCCCCACCGGCCCATGAAGGCGCACACAGCAGGGCCGGCGCTCGGATGACGCCAGCTCTGCATGGGCTGACAGGGGAGATCCTGTGATTTCCCCTGCCAGCCTCCGCCCATGGCCATTGCGGCCCACCTGGCATTTGCCCGATGGCCAGTCCGGGCCTGTGTGTGTAAAACTGTGATTGTATGTGTGACTGTCTACCTGTGACTGCGTGTGTGATGCGACTGCCTGTGACCTTCTGCATGTCACTGAGTGTGTGTGACTGGGTGATGCTGCCTGCAATTGTACATGTGACTGCCTGTAGCTGTGTGACTGTCTGTCTGTAACGGTGTGTTTGACTGTGTGCATGTGGCTGTACATGTGTATAACTGTGTGCATCTGACTGTCTTCGCCCTGCAGTGAGCCGGCATATAACATCATCCCGGCATCATTACAGGGTGTGCAAGGCACCTTTACAAGAAGAGCACAGAGATCCCAGCAGTAACCACTGACCACCAAGGCCACTCCAGCCCTACCAGAGCAAGACAGGGAGGCTGGGTGGACCTCTTAATTATCAAATGTGTATATGTATGTGATTGTGTATCTCTGTGGTTAAGTGTGTGTGTGTGTGTATAATTATATATATATATATATATATATATATATACACATACACACACACACACACACACACACACACACACACACACACACACACACACACACATACACCTATTGTGTATGTGTTTGGTAGATAGTTCCCTTATTTTAGTGTCAGGAATACAAAGCGGTTTTCCTGACACTATAGTGCCCTGAGGGTGCCCCCACCCTCAGGGTCCCCCTCCCGTGGCGCTGAAGGGGTTAAAACCCCTTCAGTTACTTACCTTTATCCAGCGCCGGGCCCCCTCTGCGCTGGTGACCTCGCCTCCCCCGACCGACGTCAGCTGAGCCGTATGCGGATGCGTGGCAAGTGCTGCGCGCGCATTCAAAGTGTCCATAGGAAAGCATTTCTCAATGCTTTCCTATGGACACTCTGCGGGATGGAGGCGAAATTCGCCTCCAGCATCACAGATGCGCCTCGAGTGGCTTTCCGGAAGACAGCCACTAGAGGCCGGATTAACCTCAAATGTAAACATAGCAGTTTCTCTGAAACTGCTATGTTTGCCGCTGAAGGGTTAAAACCTGAGGGACCTGGCACCCAGACCACTTAATTGAACTGAAGTGGTCTGGGTGACTATAGTGTCCCTTTAAATATTGCAATCCCACATAAGGATAATAAGGGAGTTATCTACTAAACAACTGAAATTTTTAAAAGTGCTTTTTATTTGGGTCTTTTAGCTGTTTAGTAGACAATTCCCTAAATTGGTGCCCTTATGTGAGATTTCCATATTTAAAGATACCAAATTAGGGTGATGTTTAGCAGAAAGCTCCCTTATTTGGTGTCCTTAAATATGGCAATCCCACATAAGGATAGCAAATAGGGGAGTTAACTGATAAACAAAGATCGAAGTTAAGAGGTGTCAGCCAGCTCACAACAAGAAATCTGTGTGAAAATGTGAATTATATGCAAATATGTTGACTAATGCCAACATGCACTGCAGACTGGCATTAGGCAGCACATTACTCCATCCCCTAGTGAAATGTTTTAGTGCCTCCCAGTCATTCAATGGCCATTCACTTGGTCCCCAATCACTTGGTTCCTAGAGTCGCCACTGTGTCTGCGTGTGACTGTGTGTCTATGTGCATACATCTCAGAACCTCGTCAACACTACACACAAATACACCCCTGCATTTCAACGTCAACACTGCATACAAACCCCACCATTATATATATCCACACCGCTACATTTAAAATCCACACTACATAAAAATGCATGCCTGCATTCAAACGCCAACACCACATACAAACACACACCCTACATTCACTTACACTTACTCCATACAAAAACATGCTTACATTCAAAAACACAAACACTGCTCAGTCCTACATACATTAAAAAAAAATTGCGGTTGTATTTTAAAGTTGGGGGGAGGGGGGAGAAGGGGCTGCCAAATGCCCTAGGTATGCCCCTGCCTGCACTGCCAAAGAAAAGTAGTGGAAACAGGGTGGGGCACCCAGCACACTGCAGGTAAGAAGTCATACCATTCTAAAATGGTTTTACTCCATACAAATACTTATGGACAGACCTGTGTTCACATATATACAGGCATATACATTGAAGTAATGCAGTTCATTTCAATAAGCATTTACCATTAAAGCGGTGTTTCCAGTTTCTCTGTCTGTACAGGAATTTACTATTCCAGGAGGAATAAAGCGAGGCTTTTTTGCAGCATTACCAGAGACCTGACTTGGAGCTGCTGATCTCCTCATTTTGTGAATTTCTGAAATATAAGCATTGTACTATTTATTGACACAGTAATTCCAAATCTAATTTAACCTTAGAGGTAAAAAGAACACAAAAACAATAAGCATCATGGGAGACAGAGATCGTACTGCAGAGACGCAGAAACGATATCCCTACCACATATAAAAATATGATACCGACCTCTGACTCGCTCCAAATAAAGAGACCGCTACACACACGGAATAGAGTGGAGGCGCTCGGCTCTGATAACCAGAACTGCACACTGTTCACCTACAATAGCAAGGCTTTACCAACCCAAACATAACGCACCATTAGTGACATAAAGTCTGCTTAACAAGGTAGTATAATTGCCTTGGACGGGAGGTTATATTGACACCAGCAGAAGGCCACATCAGTTGTGATTGTTGTTGAACTACCTATGTTCTAAAGGTATATTGTCTGTCATATATGAAAAATCTCATTAAAAACAAAATATACAAATCTCAAATACTGAGCAAAAAAAAAAAAAAACCAATAAGCATCATAACAAATGTTGTTGATGGACTACCCATCAGCAAAAGAAAAGCAATGTGTGTCCACAAATAAATAGTAGAACTGGAAATCATAATAGGGACTTCTATAGCCTAACAGCTATTATATATGATATAATAGTTCTTGAATTGTGGCTGGTCAATTTGTGACTTGTTTGAAACCAAAACAGATTTATGACCAAATAAGAAACAACTATTTAGCAAAGGGCAACCCACAGACTGGACTGGTGTTACAAACATAATAAATATCCACAAAAATATGGGTAAGTATGTAAAAAGGCAGACTGTCTTCAGTAATACTAAATCTCTGTATTTATTGCACCACTTTTTTTTTTAAATCTGTACCGTAGAATAAGCCACTTCATGAGTTAAAAGTTGTAAAAGCAAAAACTACGATCAAATTCATGATACTTAGTACTAAAAACATAATAAGTTTGTTTTAAATCGGTTCTGTCACTTTTGGGGATTATATGTAAACTCTGCAAATGTGGTAAATCACCCCAAAATTAATTAATATAAAATTGTGAAAGTGTGAAAGCATTCCTCCCTCCCAGGTATATAGATAAGTACACTCCTTACAGACACAGTGGGCTTATTGTAATAATAAAAATAAAAAATAAAATATGAACTATTCCTAGTCCATGAAAACAAATTATTGCTATAATATTATTATTATTATTATTATTATTAATAATAATAATGATAATATATTTTATTATTATTTTAAACTATGTGATCCATGTTTTTCCACTTACAGATAATATGATGCCAGATGGAGACAAGTCTATATAGTAATAAATAAATAAATACAATCTAATGAAGAGATGCAGCATGTTAGATGATGATAATAATAATAATAGTAAAGAGGGGTGCTGCATTCACACTGTAAACACTTACCTCTCCCCCCCTTTTACCAAGATGTAAACAAAACCAGGAGCAACACTGGGTCAGCGCTCAAATCTCCCTCTACCCAGCACGCTGCACATCCCGCCAGTACGTCCAACGTTGCCACGGCAACGCACTGCGCTTCCTGAACACGGTGTCTGCTGCATGATATCAATAAAGCTTGTTGCAGATCGGGTAAAAAAAAATAAAAAAAAATAATAAAAATGTGTTTTGTTTTAAATCGCCCATATTGGGATTTGTTATTCACTGAAACTCTGGATTACAGCTAACTGACAGTTAAAAAACATAAAAAAAAAAAAAAAAGATAATAAAGTCACAGCTGTATGAGGTTTTATCCTCAATGTTACCATTGGGTCTAGAGTTATATATATATATATAAGTGCATGTGACATCTTGATATGTACAGGGTTTATTTAATATAGTAAGAATTCAAAGTGGGTTTCAAATTTAAGGCCAGAGTAGACGAATTAAAAGCATATCTGGTTTAGAGAATTTTTCCAGCTTGGCTATTGCAAACATAAATTTGACATATTTTTAGTGAATAACGCCGTTAGATATGTCATGTGTGTATAAAACATCTAGATTTGTATAAAACTTTGCCTGGATTGAATATTGTCATTCAATGGTCATTCACTTGGTCCCCAATTTCAATGATAAACCCCCAAGCAATATACAGGGCTATTTTACTAAAAGTGATAATTCAAGGTGAATTAAATAATTGACGTTAATTTTGAAATTCACTTTGAATTAACGCTTTAGTAATTAAACCTGATAGTACCGGTAATTGTGATAGTGGTGTGACATGGTGAGGGTAGAAGGAGCTTGGCCATGGTATGAGGGAATAGATTGTCATTCTAGTAAGATCCTCACATCCTAACTTTTTAAAATGAAGTTTTTTTGTGTATGCAAACTCTTCAATCAAAATTGCTCCTGAGAAATCAGTTGTCCATCCAATTGTGTTTTGATGTACCTTAAAGAAACAATATAGTCACCACCACCAGTACAGCTGAATGTAATGGTTCTGGTGTCTAAAGTCTAACGTAGCAGTTTTTTTAATTTAAACACTGCCTTTTGCCACCTTTATGCCATCTTGTTTCTTCCTCAGAGGTAGGATTGGGGAAAAGAGCGTGAAGAACTGCTTCCTGGTTAATGTGAAAGTAAGAAACCACATTTGGTCTAAACTCAGGAACCGTCCTGAGTTTATCCCAGGTCTGTCTTCATGAATGATGGTGAAAGAGGCTTCACATTAAGCTTTTTATAGGTTTCTATCTATACGGCATCACTGCATAACTTCTTATTCGTTAAGGGGAGAATTCTCTGGGGGTCGCCCTTAGTGAGGTACCGTGACCTAGGGCTTCCACAGGGAGAGAGGCTGAAATCCCCATGGGCTAGGGGTACCTTAAACGCAAAACATCCTGTGTCCAAGTGAAGTGGAAAGGAAAGAAAGACTGAGGATGTGGAGGATGGAGTCTCTTTTATTGTTTAATTAGGAGTTGTTCCTGTACAATATAGAAGTGGGATGAGCTATAACCATCTATAGTGATGCCATGGATATATCGGGGAAGTTGCCTGGATCTCGTAAACTCTCCTCCCTGAAGTCAGACCAACAAGTGGAATAACGTTCAAGTGAAGACATTCAAAGGTACTTCTTCCAATGGTTCAAATGGATGTTCCATGAGGCACTGCAGGACTAATGGTAAACCCCATGCAGGACAAAATCTTTTAATAGGAGGTTTGATTTTCAAAACTGCCTTCATGAAGCATATATAATCCTGATAAAGTTCCCATCTCGTCCTTGTCAGTACAGAAAGGGCAGGAACTTGTACCTTGAGAGTATTGAGTCCCATTCCTTGGTCAAGACAAAAAAGCAAAAAGTTCAGAATATTAGTAGCAGAGGGAGATTATACAGAAACTGAGTTTGAGGCAGCCCATTCCAGATTCTGTAGTAAGCTGAGGAAGTAGATTTGTTCTGTACATTATGCAATAGTCAATTTATTAATTCAACAATTTTTGTCTCATTATTCCATTTTAGGCATGGATTCTTTGGAGTTTATGTTTGTTTATGATGTACCTTCTGAAATGTCACCCTCCAAATTCTCCAAACATACACGGAGGGCTCTGGTAACTGATGTCCAGAGCAACTGTTGGATGAAAATCAGCACTAGCAATGAAGGCCTTAGAGAGGTTAGAATCTATTCTGCTTTCTGAATAATCGCTGAGGGATCCTGCATCATCCATGGGGAGAGTGGTTTTCCTTTCCAAGCGGACGATGGCTGCATCAACCTTCAGGTAAGCCAAAATAAAATTAAAAAGCAAAACCTACCTATACCAGGAGTGTGGACAGAAAAAAAGACAGAGGAGGAGGGGAAGGTGGGTCCTATTTATTTATTCTTTCTTTATTACCTGTCCAATAGGTGTTGGGGGCAGGGATTTACCCCTATGCTGCCATGGTCTACAACCGGAAAAAGAAAATTAATGTAAGTATGCATAGCATTATTTACTATTTTACTTGTTCTATTGTTTTAATGAGTAAAATAAAAATTTAAAAATCATGTGACCGCAGTCATGCGGCAATGACGTCATTTTGGCGCCAGTCTTCAATTTTATGCCAATTTACTTGCCTATAAAAGGTGAATATTCAGGATCAGTTGTCTACACTTGATAAAGCCTGTTTTTTGGCGAAACGCGTTGTGTTTTTATAAGAATCCAATAAAAGTATTTTGCACACTTACTTTTATGGTTCATAGAGCAGTGTGGCTGCTCTGAACACTGTAAGTACGTTTCATTTTACCTTTCACTGCTATTTATTATACAGTAAACACTATGGGCCCTCTCTTGTGATTCTTATTTCATAAGACCGGTACTGCAAGAAGAATATCCTACATGTGGGGAGTTTAAATACCATTGTATGCTGTTTTACTCAGAGCTGGTTATAGCTCTCCCAATTGTAAGTTGGCACTCTTAGGACCTCAGTGTTGTCTGTTGTTGCAGTTAACCTACATTATTGCACCATTGGGTTTTTCCCCCTTTTATGTATTTTATATGCTGACCCTTATCTGGAATGCTGTAAGAAGTCTTGAGGATACATCTCCAAGTGTCCAGTAATATCCTACATGTGGGGAGTATTAAATACCACTGTATGCTGTTTTACCTAGAGATGAGCAGAGCTCTTTATATTGTGAGTTGGCACGTCTCTACTTCTATGTTGTTCGTGATCCAGCTTTCCTAAAACGGTTTTGCACTATTGGTCTCTGTTTCTGCTTTTGTATTTCATATTTACCACTGAGGATTCAAAGCAAGGACTGAAGAATATACACTCCAGGTCTTCGCTGTACTTTAAGAGACTCTTTATATTATTGCTGATTTTTGTTTATTATCTCTCATTGTCCAACTTAGCGCACCCTGTATTTGTTGTATCTTGTTCAATACATTTTCTGTTTATATTATTTATCATTTTTAATTTACCTCCATTTTGCTTCTGGTATATGTTATGAAGCATAAATTGGACATCTGATCCTCAGTGGGGAACGTACCACCCATGCTGACAGAACTGAGCAATTTTATTGCTCTGATAAAATGTGAGTACATTTGCAATTTTTTTCAATATACATAATTACAGAGAGCACTGCAAATGAGAATCGGATATATCCTCCTGTGGAAATTGTACCACCTCACGCCTGAAATGTTGAACGTTAGACATAAAGTTCCTTGCTTGTGAGTGTATCGCCTATTTTTTTGACTGTGACAATATTCAGCTTATATTTACAATATTACACTATTGGAGTTTTGTTTTCTCTTTTTATATTCTGCACTGAAAAATCACTAAAGTCACCAAGACAATATCCATATCCATTGTGGGGCTTGTACCACTTTATACTATTATTACTGGAGTTTGCATGAAAGCTCCATACCATGTGAGTGGTCACTTACGCACTTTGTTGTTTGTTATCCACCTTTTCTGAGAAATACTACACTACTGGTACTTTCTTTCTAATTTTTACATGTGCCCACTGAGCAGAGACGTAACTAGAATCCATTGCACCCCCCCTGTGCAAAAATTGGCCTGTGCCCTCTATGTGTCTAATTCTGCCTCACATGTGTCTCATTCCCCCAACCCATCCATGTGTCTCTCCCCTATCTCCCTTACCTCCATGTAGGGTGGCCGAGCGGACCTCTAGTGACTGTCACTCAGAGAGGCATTAGACGCATTTCCTATTGCAGTCCTGTAATCTTCATAAAAATACTTCATAAAGCTCATAATGCATCTTAAAGGACCACTATAGGCACCCAGACCACTTCAGCTTAATGAAGTGGTCTGGGTGCCAGGTCCATCTATGATTAACCCTTTTTTTTATAAACATAGCAGTTTCAGAGAAACTGCTATGTTTATAATAGGGTTAATCCAGCCTCCAGTGGCTGTCTCTTGACAGCCGCTAGAGGCGCTTGCGTGCTTCTCACTGCAATTTTCACAGTGAGAAGACGCCAGCGTCCATAGGAAAGCATTATGAATGCTTTCCTATGGACTGGCTGAATGCGCGCGTGGCTCTTGCCGCGCATGCGCATTCAGCCGAAGAGGAGGAGAAGAGGGAGGAGAGAAGGAGGAGAGCTCCCCGCCCGGCGCTGGAGAAAGAGGTAAGTTTAACCCCTTCCTCTCCATCCAGCCCGGCGGGAAAGGGACCCTGAGGGTGGGGGCACCCTCAGGGCACTATAGTGCCAGGAAAACGAGTATGTTTTCCTGGCACTATAGTGGTCCTTTAAAGTGGAGATGCTGTGCATGCGCAGTAGCCCCCCCCAATGCTTCCCTATGAGTAACTATTGAAATGTCTGACATAATCATCCCTGATGATCTCAATCAGAGCGAGGTGGAGTTACAGCCCCAATAAGATCATTGTAGCGTGGAACTAAAGGTAAGTAAAATTATTTATTTTAAATGGCACTCTAAGTATCAGAACCAGTACAGATCTTCTCGGTTTTTTTTTTGGTTTTTTTTACATTTATACAGTTACTGATACTGTATATTGATTTGTTTGAGAACATTTTCACTTTTTTTATCTGGCTGAGTAGCCAAGTCAGGTCAGGTCTTGTGTTATCTGACCAACTGCTGCTCAGTTTTACACATATCATTTGCGTCAGTAGGCAAGTTAGGTTGACAGCAGTTGGTCAGATAACAGTACCGTCTGACTCAACAAGACTACTAAAAAATTTTCAAAAAAACCCCCAAATATATAATTTAAAGAAATTCTATCATTAAGTTTCATTAAATGTTATAAACTTTTATACAACAAAAAGTGAAAAGTTGATGACAATTGTCCGTAGAAGACTCCACAGATATTGTCTTGTCATGAGGAAGACAAAAGGGATAACAGGATTCAACATTTTTCATACATTTGTCTTGTTCAAGTTTTTTATTGCCATGCGTGGTCAACTTTGGTAAAAAGATAAGTCTACACAATATACAATAACTTCTGATCTGAATAAGACCCGCTAACTCTAGGGGAAGCCCAGCACACTTTTCTGTTACCACTGATTCTTCAGGATACGCTACCAGCTGGCTCAAAACATCTACTGGGGTTAACTCAAACTTGTCAGCACCACATCACACGCATCACACACAGACACACACTCCTATCACCATGAGCCATTTTATGCTTTCAAACAAAACACTTTTCAGGTTGGCTAAAGCTGCAAGAGACACAGACTTTATCAGAATCACAATGCATATTGAATTACTAATGCCTGGCAGACAAGCCTTACCATTAATTACACGTAGAATATAATTGTACATAAAAAGAGGAGAATTATTTTGTTTCCTTGTATCTAATGTCTTCGTACAAAATAAAGAATTAGATGTGTACAAACAAATCAGACAGACTTCTTTCAAGTGTATTTTGACTATCTCACATGTGGTGTGAACAGCGTAACTTTTTATTGATGTTAATCACCAATACCTCCCCAAAGTTGTACCTAAGGATGTGCGTTGTTACCAGGACCAGTTGAACAGTGGGGTATTGTTTACTTAGCTCAATGATTGACTGTCTAGCCACTGGGGACCTGTCTCTTAGGAAACCCAGCAAGCAATCCTCTTTCTTTGGGATGACAATGCAGAAGGCACACACAGCCCTGCACGGCAGTACCAAGACTCAGTGCTTAAATTGCACGTCTTTTGGACTCTCATAGTTCCTGCATCCTTACAAGGAACAAGAGGTAAGTGCTTCAGATTTCTATTATTCATAAGCATCAATGTATTCTGCCGCACTGTACAAGGGGTGAAATAGCAAACAAGTAGTTGCAACAAGACAAGTTGGATGTACATGAACAGAAAGTGGCGTGGGCCCTGCTCAAACTTTTAGTCTAAGAGTTAAATTACCCAAAGCTATGCTATACACAGGGTTGAATTAACATAGGCTCTGATGGAGCTGCAGCTCCTGCCAATGCCCATGGAATAGGCCCATTGATGTAAAAAAAACGAAAACTTAAAGAGTGATGTATGGGAACAAAACTTGTGTTACTGGCTGACAATTACATTAGTGGCATTCTACACTCACTACATACACCCTTTCTCTGTCCCAATCTATATACCAGGAGCTTGTGCCTGCTAGTAAGACAGTAAGGAGACGAGTGGCCATGTGAGTGCTAGGGGACAGTCCTTAGAAAGCGTGGAGTGAGTGCATCATTAGACACATTTATGCCAAGTTCAGGGTGCTGTCTGCATCGTATGCCCTTAGCATACATGATTGGCAGGCAACCTGACATGCATTCATGCCAATCTGGCCTTTCAATTCTTTGGGCAGATATGCCCACTTTCTGGGCATGTTTGCCCCTTTCAGCAGTTCTGATTATGTGATTTTGCATCAGTGACACACCCTGTCTCACTGGACACTGCTTTTAGGGAATATGGATTTAATTGAAAGATAAAAGCATAAATTAGAGAGAGATTAGCTTAGGGTATGTGTTTTCTTATGCTGCATCCTATGATTTTCCGTCCAACATTATCACCATCAGATACATGACACTTGGGAGGTGTTTATGGTCAATATTAAGATTCTGTAATTAGGCCCATCATAATTATCAGCACCAGGCCCTCTGGGCTCTTAATCTGTCCCTGGGTGAAGGTATAGACCAGAGGAACGCAACCTTTTGCTATTACTGCCCACTTTAAGCAATTAAAGTCCTTTAGAGTGCTGTTCATATTAAGTATTGTTTATGAATGTTGAGGAATTCTGCTTGTGTTATTTATGGGTGAAGCGGCTGCTTTTGGGGGTTTATGTGTGTATGTGGGCTATGCATGTTGTTGTGTATCTGTGTGGGCTGTATGTATTGTGTGTGGGATGTTTGTGATGTTATATGTGGGCTGTGTGGGATGTGGGCTGTGTTGTATGCCTTATTTGTTGTATTGTAGGTTTGGTGGGGTTGTGTGTGTGTGTGTGTAGGCTGTTTCTGGTTTTGCATATGTTTGTGTTCTGCCTGTTTATGTATGTGTGTGCACTGTTTATGGTATTTATGTATGGTGGCTGTCTGTGATGTTACGCATGGTTAGTGTGTGATGTATAGTATGTGTGTTGGCTGCCAGTTGTTTTATGTATGTGTTTGTGTGGGCTATCTGTAGGGTGTATGTATATGTGGACTGCTAGTGGTATTTGTGTGTGGGAGAGCTGTCTGGGATGTTGTGTGTGGACTGTTTGTGATATTCTGTGTGTATGTGAGTTGCCTATTCTCTTATGTATGTGTGTGCTCTCATGTGTGCAATACAAGTAGTATTCCACAATTTAGATATAAAATGGAGATTTTTTCCCCTCTAGTTGTATTGGAGTTTTAAAATCAAAAGCTTTGCCTGAACCTTATACCAACTTAACATTATATATAATTACAATTATTTTAGGTACAACTATGGGTTACTATAATAACTCCAACACAGTTTACAGTATTACAGTTTGCTCACTAATCAGTGAGTGTGATAAAATGAAAGGAAAAAAAGTCACCATCTCTGCTGATTAATTATAGTTTAAATTGTTACTTTGTATACATTTTAAAAGGGTTTTTTTTAACTGATTTACACAAGTTACAAATGTAACCAGTAATCAGAAAAACAAATTTAGGCTAGATTATTAGGCGTGACTATAGCAGATATGAAGATTTTTTTTCCAAATCAGCTTTTTTGGTCTAAGTTTTTGAATTCAGAATTCAGTTCAGGTTTTGGGGAATTGTATGATTACAATTAGTAAACCTCTGACATTTATTTCGACAGAGCGATGGGTTATGACATAGAGCGTTTTTTGGGATATGTGAACGAGGGGCTCCTGTGCTGCATTTGCCGTGACGTCTTAGAAGATCCGTTGCAAGCGCCCTGTGAACACGCTTTCTGTGCATCATGTATACACGGCTGGCTAGTTCACCATAACAACTGTCCTGAAGACCGACACCCGCTAGCTGTTACGGATTTGAGACCTCTGCACAGGTATATGTGGACATTTATCAATTATCAGCTCATCTGTCTGGTTCACTAGATAAACTTAAATTAGCAATTGAGTGAAACATGACTTTTTAGAATATTCTTTTATATGTTAAATAGGCAAAGATTGTCTTTGGTGAATGTGAAATATTCTTCTAGATCAGGGATGCCCGAAGCGTAGATCCCGAGATGTTGTGTTGTGTTCCATGGCAAAGCATCATGGAAGCTGTAGTTTTAAAACATCTGGGGCTACGTTTTGGGCACCCCGTCTTCATTTTTACAGGTATATTGTATTATTTTACTATAATATGTGTTTAAAGGGCAACTTTAATATTCAATATTAATACTTTTTCCATATGTAAAATAATAATGTATTTGTGAGGTGTGAAAATAAAGTAAATGTAAAAATCAACATATCTTGCAAATGGATACTGAAATGTATATTTTGTTTACAGAGAAATGATGGCTCCCCCTTAACTACTGTAATGTAAACTAAAAAGTGGTAAATACACCTGCAAATGGTATATAAATAAAAAAAAAATTTCCAACACTTTGGTCCATGAATATTAAAACCAGCTATACAACAGGGGTATTAACTAAAGTGAGAATTCAAACTGAATTTAAAAATAGCCGAATAGGAAACATTTTTTAAATAATCTATGCCTCCAGATCTACTACTATGGCATGAAGTTTGAGGTTTGCTTTGAATTCTTACTTCTGTAGATAACCCTGTAGGTGTATTTTAGGGAAGTGTTAAGAAGAGCTGGGGCTGGGTAATAATACGCTGGGTGGCCTGAGAAAGCCCTTCAGTGTGTGTTTAAACATTCTCCTTTCAATGTCCACAAAATGGACCCCAGCTTTATGTAGAATTCCACTGCGTGTTGCTTAGATTCCCCATACTTCTAATAAACACTGTGAAAGCTGGCACGGCTTATTCAATGTACGTTCCCAGCAACTTTAATGATGTCATTTGTAAAACAAAACAGGCAGTAAAACAATGCACTGTTCTTTAGTCTTGTACAAGTATTGGTAGAAGGAAACAGACATGTTGTAAATTATACATGTCCAGAATAGATCTTCCGTAGCCCATAGATAGTTTAGAATATATATATATTTTTTTAATTCTTGCAGTGCATTTGTTTAGGAAATAATTGCATCTGTAAAAGATGAACTATTCCTTCACTTCTTCATACTGGAATAAGCCTCTAAAAATCACCAATAACTTGTGTTAACTTTTTTTTCATAAGACGCCCTGATTTCTTTTAAAGGAGTACTTCTTAAAGGAAAACTCTACTCCAAAAGCACTTCAACTTGCTTTGTGGGTGAGGAGTACCCTAGTTTAACCCAAGCAATCGGCACTTTTACAAATTAGCTAGGGAACTCCCCCCTGCTGTCAATCAAACAGCCAGGGACAATTCGTTCCTACTTCCGTTAGTACCTTCACAGACCTTAGATCAGCTACTCAGCTCCAGACATGTAGAAGCCTCTGATTGGGTATTTACCTGTGAAGAAACTGAAAGTCTTTTCCGGGAAAAAAGGAGAGGGCTTACAAAGACTGCAGTCATAGGAACCGCAGCTTTTGTAAGCTCTTTAAAACTATACTCCCAATGAATATAAGAAAAAGAAGATAAAGAAATAAAAGTGATGCTCAGGTTTGATTAAAAGAAAATTTATGTTGAAACTATTTTTTTAAATAAATCCTTTTTTTTTTTTTTAAATATAGGTACATGCGCAATGACTTGAACCGGCTTCAGATACAATGTAGAAATGTCAGTTGTGGCTGTGCAATGGTTTGCTCTTTGGAATCGTTAGACAGACACGAGAGAGACTGTGAACACAGACGCATGTCCTGCATGAATGCTGGTGTGTAGAATTTGTTTGTTTTACCTCATCTGCAGTACTCCAGTCTATCTAAAACACAGTACCCAAAAACTGTCATCAGCTTTTTTTTCTTTATAAGTTGTAGGATCTAAACATGTCTGGGATGTTTTTATTTTGGCAAAAATAATTCCACTTTTTATAATGGATTATTATTTTCTTTTGAAGAACAAAATTGTTTTGCTGTGAATCGATTGAACATTGATTCTGTGAATGATATGGAAGAGTGCCTTTGTTTGCTCTCTCGTTTATGACTTTCAGGTTGTCCAGCTCAGTTTGAGAGAAGAAATCTGGATGGCCACCTGGCGGTATGTGAGCATCGGAGCCGCGAATGCCCTAATGGCTGTGGCTTTGCCATTATTACTGCTGAAGACCTACAACATAACTGCATAGCAGAACTTAGAACTGAACTAGAACTTTTACGGTAAGAACAGGATGCAAACAGCACAATACCTCAGCATATGGGGAAAAAGCCACATGCCTACAATTACCAAGTTTATGGTCCATGGGTGTGATAGAGGAGGAAGATAGTTATATAACAATCCGTATCATGGCATGTGTAGAGGACTCACATGCCTAGAAAAGCCCTAAATATAGAAGGGGTGGATATATAGCGTGGCGGTCTGCCAAAGTATCACCGCCACTGATACCCTGTTCCCAATACAAGAACCCAAAATAATCCACAAGGTAAAATAGCACCGATATTCCATAACCCCTCACACATGAGCCAAGGTTTAATGCTGGGAGAAGACTGGTTTAATGGCAGTACAGGCATCAAATTTATACAGTCAGTAAACTCCTCCTCTGTGCCTGAAAGATAATTGAGTCAGGCACTGTACTAAACTCAATTATCTCCAACCACAGAAAAAGTTCAATTTTACAACACCCCAAAAGTACCCCCAACATATATGGAAACCCTACAAAAGTCACATCCCTGGATAGCCTGGATCTGGGCGAACAAAATATCCCAAAACCACCCAGATCCATTTGGTAGTTTTGGATCGCCATCGCAGGGAAGTTCTGACCAATCTGCCACAAGGTAGAAGCCCAAAATAGTTCTAGGGACTTGGTGGCAAGAGTCCGTCTCCGTTCGTGGGATTTTGTATGAAAATCACATAAGTTAGATGAAAGCTAGTTTGTGTGGAACGCTCCCCATATTTGGTAGTCTCTAACTCCCAAATGCCGTTTGTGTAGGTGAAATAGAACTAGAAATAGAAATAGAACTAGTCTGGCCTTGGCTTCTGGTATCCAGTACTCTTTTTACAATTCTTGTTTAGTTTTTCTTGTTTTTTTCTGGTTTTCCATTCTATGTCTGGTTTTCTTTATGCTGGGCTTTCTGGGTTCATTCCTTTATTCCATTCCTGGAATTCCCAGTCTCCTGGATTCCTTTAAATGTTTGTTATTTGTTGCCACACCCATTCCTTTGCCAATAATCCTTTTGTTTCAGTCTGGTCCTGCAAGCAGTGGTTCCATTCCTCTGCACATTTCCTTGCAGGTAAGTACTGTGTGTGTTTTATTGTTGTTTATTTGGTCATGCATATCTAGTCAGTTATGACCCACCATAATTGGAGTACTTTGGCACAGTGGTGGCCTGCATACATCTTGGCCATTTATGTATGTCTAAATCTCCAATGTTTTACATACATAGTACTTAGTTATGTCTCCTCTTGTTTTGTCTTGTATCTCTTGTCTTGTTTTATTTTGTATTCCCAGTTCATGTCTTATGTACATGTTCTGGGTTCTGCTTTCTGTCCTGCTCAGGTTCTGGGTTCTTCTAGTCTTGTCTTGTTTTTTTGTTAGGTGCCTGTTCCAATCTTGCCTTGTTTCAGTACTGGATATATATCTGCTGCAGAGCCTCCCTATCCAGTTCCTGGGAGGTCTGCATACCATCAAGCTCATAGCTCTTGGGATCTGCAGAAGCTGCATCAGGGTCCTGGTATGTGGCCGCACAAACACTGGTGCTCAACACCAGGGGGCGTGTGGTTACCCTGCACCAGGCTCTGATAGTCCATTTCCATGCTAAGACTCCCATCATCTCATCAGGCACTCAGGGGTCCTGGTCTCCGTACCGCCACCCATGACAGTTCCTTTGCGTTTTTTTCGTACAGGTACTTAACATTCCATGGGTCTCTGGTGTGGTCTCAATTCAGGAACCAAACAGAATTATCAAAATAAAACTGGGACATGAATCCAGACAAACAGAAAGAGCTGAACGTGATGTACTCCTTCACATATAGGTTGTAAATAAGCAAGTAAGAATACCTCGTCAGATTAAATAATCTAAGTATAAAGCCACCCTGTATATACTTCACTCACAAAATTCACCAAAGTTCCCTCTCGCTGGTACAAATGCTACCTACAATCAAGTACAGACTCTTGTCTATTACCTTGAGTGTAGTCTGTGTGCCTACATATCCAGGCAGTGCCTTAAACAAAGTTTCCAAACTGACTTATTCAAAACTATGTATTAAAATTGAAAATAGGTATCCAATATTATATTCCAAAACAGAAATATGATTTTGTTTTCAAGGTCGGAGATGATCTGTAGAGGTGAAGAAACAAAACAGGAAATGGAGTCCAGGCTTGATTCACAAAGGAGACATATGGTTCAGAAAGAGAGCATTTTACAAAGTGAGATTGAGGAGCTCAAGGTAAGTCAACATAGGCTGAGGCTGATACTATAATCTAAAGGAAGGTTTCTTCTTAATCAAAGGGTCCAAGGGAACTTCCTAGGTTCCTACGAATCCTGTAGAGGCTAATCTTAAATGTAAGTTGGGATAATAAATTAAAATTAATTAAAAATAAAATTACTAAAAAATAGATTGCTGTAAATAGACTATTAACTACTTGATCACCAAAACTCTTGAACCTTGAATTCTTTCTTATGCAGTCAGAACACATCCAGATGCTGCTAAACCACCCCTACTGCTTATGGTTGACCATGCTGATCAAGGTTGGATGGTTTTTGAGAGATAATGCAGATGTTTAATGTATATATTTTTTGAATAGCTGTAGATGGGCTAGACTTTGGATACACCACTTTTGTCAAACTGTTAAAATCCCAACATTAGTATTTTCGTGGATTCAACGCTATCGGCACATGTCGTTGTATTACCCTAGGAGTGTAAAGACCCCTCCCTATGTCCTAGCTATAGACTGATCTCCCTGTTGAACATCAATCTCAACCACTGCTACCAGCACTAATCCATCCAGACCAGGTTTCGTGAGTAGGAGAGAGGCAAAAGATAATACCACCAAACTGAATTACGCAGCCCGAAAAACTTCCTCCCACAATCTCTCGGTCTCCATGGAAGCAGAGAAGGTATTCAACAGGGTGGATTGGTCATTCCTATTTGCCACACTCCAATGTTTAGGCTTCTGACCTCACATGCTGGTCTGGATGAAAGCCTTGTACCTCTGACATTCTACATAGGTGTAAGTGAATAGCGTGTTGTCAAGCCCGTTCGAAATCTGAAATAAAACTGACAGAGGTACCTGCTGTCTCCTATGTTTCATCCTGGGTCTCAAACCCTTCTTGAACTTGGTTTGCACTAACCCCCGAGGTGACAGGGATCTAAAGCCCCACAATTCATGTCCTTATTGGGCTTACCATTGCCATGTCGCTTGAAAGACATTTACAAGAACGGAACCATTCAACCCCTATCGGCACCGATGCCACAGCAACCTCCTACACTGCTGCATGAACTGAGATACCATCAGTTGGTGCATTTTGTCACTCACATTCCAAACCTAGATACTGCTAATAGGCAATTGACTCTGTACGAAGAGCTATGCACATCCTCGTCTCCTCCACTACAAACTATCTCAATCCTAAATGGGATGTTAATCTCCCCTTGGGATGATAATTCCCTCCTATACTTCATGACTAAAGAACAATAAACGGAGACATTCATCCTCATGCACAAGTCCTCCATCAACACCAAATAGCAAGAATACAAGATGACATCCCACTGGCACAAAACTCCGGAGAGACTCGCTACTACTATATCTGGATGTGACCAAGAGTGTTTGAGATGCTTGAGGGAACTGGGCTCCCTTTTTCACATTTGGTGGTCATGCCCACTCATACAGCCCACCTGGAAAGAAATACACAAAATCTTCTCCTCTCTTTCTGACACCCCACTAACTACTTCTAGTTCACCTTACTCCTATTCCATTGAAACAATACAAGAATTCTGTAATGCCACACCTGATAAATGCCGTCCACAGCCTTTTCACATGCTTCTGGAGGCAACAAACGGTACCGACAATTAGAGATTGTATTTCTAGGGTGGTGGAGATCAGAGTAATAAAGACTAAGAGATGATATCCTTGGGGGCAGGTAGGGCACAGAAGTATGCACAGATCTGGTTCCACTGGAACTAATGAGTGTCTAATAGGTAGCCCTAAAACCCACCAGCTACCATGATGAATGAACCCTCGGGGGGGTCGTGCCAAGCCTGCTTATGCTATTTGCAGGTGCTGGGCAGGGGTGACCCAGGAGGTGGAGGGCAGACTGGCCCTCTACCCTTTTCAGTAGTTCCTGGGGGCACAGTCCCCTTTCTCTCCCATTCATATCCCTCCATTTACACAAAAAAAAAAAATGTTCCTCCTTCTTCTTCTCTCTCTTAGCCCTCCTCTCCTACTTCTGACAACTGGCAATATAGTCACCAGACACACTATGGACACAGGGAGTGTTGGGAATATCCAGAATCCCTTTCTCCTACCCTGTAGCGACCTGAGAGTCAGATGTGCCGCCAAGCCCTATATAGTGTTGTACTTGTTCTCTTGGATAATGTATGTAACAATCTGTTTAGAACACAAGACACATGTTCGATTGCTACATGTCTTCAGGTTATTATTCATGTCCGCACTCTGTATAAAATTGTTTTGCTGATGGGCTCAAACATGTCTATTAATACTTGTGTTATATTCTTTCTGGATACTGCTGATTTTGTATAATTTGCTGAAATGTTAATAAAAGCGACTTGAATAAAAATATATATTGGCAACAGTCATTGGCTAATATAATATTATAGTATTAATGATTAATGATTATGTAGCATTTCTCAGAAACTACACCTTATTTTTTAAACACCATAATAGTGTTCAAAATGCTTGACATTCCTCGAGATAACTCTCTTGAATATCATGTTCCTTTTAGTTTTCCACTGTAAATCATTGGTTAGAGACAGTGGTAAAAATAGTAGTCTTGTACTTTATTATGAAAGACATCCATTTTAGGCAACAGGTATCCTTTATAGGCAACTGCCACAATAAATTCTTACAATATTGACTAGAAGAAAGGAAATTATTTTTTACAGTTAGAACAATAAGGATGTGACACTCTCTGCCTGAAGAGGTGGTTTTATCAGAGTTTGTACAAATGTTTTAACAGCAATTGGATAAATACTTGCAAAAACAAAATATTCAGGGATATAATTTCTCATTAGTGAAATAATAATTTCTTGATCCAACGAGATATCTGACTGCCATTCTGGGGTCAAGAAGTAGTTTTTCCTCTAGTTTGTAGGAAACGCTTTTGCCTTGTTTTGGATCAGCAGAAAAAATTGATGTGAGAAAGAACGTACTTGATGGACACGTCTCCTTTTAGTTATGTAACAATGTAACCCTTTAATCTATTCTAGATTACGATTCTCATGCGAATATTTCATAATGCTGAACAAATAATGTTTTATGTATGAACCAGTCAGGACCCCTCATGAAATAACAATACACTCCATTATTAGTATTACTGTCAAATTGCAATCTTGCTAATTATTTCTTATTTTCAGAGCCAGATGTCACGGTTAATGGCCGATGTTCGCGCGCTTCTTGCATCTGAGAGGCAACATCGACAGGACATTGAGCAGGCAGATCTGGAGAAGAAAGAGTTAATGGAGCTTCTAAAAGGACTACAAAAAGAGTGCAGGCTAAAAACTAGCGATGGAATCCAGAAACCTGCCATTGTTCGCCCTCTTATGCGTCTGGAGAGCATCAAGAGGAAGCCCAAAGAAGTTACAATTATTTAGCCTAGAATTATAAGCAGAATAGTCTGTTAGCATAATGACTTTTTATTGGTTTTGCAATGCATTCGAACATTTAAGATACACTGTAATACTTTGAATAAATTAGCATTGTTTGGTATGTTTATTGGCGTTTAATTATCTGGTTAAATTTATTTTTTTTCCAACAGATGATCTGCATGATGATGAATTTTATAATTTTGACAGGATGTAAAATAAACAACCTTTATATGAAGAAAGGTACTTGCTGAAGTGCTTTATGTGTCTGGAGTCTGTCACATTTGTGACATCTCAGACAGCAAGCTCCACTGGCCACCGGACCACCAGGGAATCCTGGTATTCCCTCCTACTCCCTGGCTAGAGGCATGCGCGGGGGGAATAAATATGAAAATATTTAATAAAATTAAACTGCTCACTCCAGACAATACACAGTCCATATCCTTCTTACATCACAGAGTTACACACAAAGTACTGCCTCCACTACACCCACACCACATCCACTATACACACCCCGCATCCATTACACACCATGAACTGCAGCCTTGTGGATGTACTTGAGTACAGCCGTGTGTGTCCTTTGTATGGACTCCAAGTGAAAAGGTTAAAATTCACTGTTTGCACTAGGCCGAGAATAATGATAACACCAAGACTGTTTATAATTGGGGTATGTTGGTCCCCCCAGGAGAATTAGACTAACAATTCACAAAATACAATGTAGCACAATATCTATACAATTTCAGACAAAAGCACAACTTACTAAAGGAATATTTATTATGAACAAAACAATAGTCACAGTGAATACAATAAAACCAGATCACAGACAAATTATTTACACCAACAACAGTTAGATTAAAGTAACAATATCTTCTGTCTGTGAGGGCACTGGCAAGGAAAATCGGTGACTTAAAGGGACACTCCAGGCACCCAGACCACTTCTGCCCATTGGAGTGGTCTGGGTGCCAACTCCCACCACCCTTAACCCTGCAAGTGTAATTATTGCAGTTTTTATAAACTGCAATAATTACCTTGCAGGGTTAAGTCCTCCTCTATTGTCTGTCTATCAGACTTCCGTGTTCTTATAACACAAAAAGTGTTTTAAACAACGCTGGACGTCCTCACGCTATGCATGAGGACCTCCAGCATCGCCGGAATCCCCATATGAAAGCATTGAATAATGCTTTCCTATGGGGAGGTCTAATGCGCACGCACGGCCATTGCTGCGCATGCGCATTAGGTCTCCCCCGCTGGCTGACGTTGGGGGAGGAGAGTGGGCGAGGCGCTGGATTCAGGTAAGTAGCTGAAGGGGCTTTAACAACATGGGATGTGGGTGGGAGGGAGAAGGGGCACTGCAGTGTCCTACAGTGCCAGGAAAACGTATATGTTTTCCTACCACTGGAGAGTCCCTTTAATTAAAATGAGATCTTGGCCCCCTAGTCAGCACACCAGTCATTTTCATGTCATCAGATTTATACTTGTTGAATTCATCTCAAGTTTCCAAGACAGAGGTGGTCTAGCTAGAGGGAAGGCGTACCTATAAGAACTGTAAGTGGCCACCCTATTGGAGACAAATACAAATCTAAAATTAAAATTGTTATTTTCTGTTGTGTGCTTTCTACAGAAATAATTCTTGCATCTATGAATTTGTTGCAATGTATCATGTCACACTTCCTACTTATGACCCAATACCATGGACTTTACAGTTCCTTCAGAAAGTCTTAAAGGGACCCTATAGTCACCATAACCACTACAGCATTCAGTATTAAACAGCTCGAAAATGCTTTAGCACTAAATGGGTAGACGTTTCCTCCAGGGGGCTCCAGTCACTACAATATAACCAGTGCAATGAGAGACAGTGCATTAAAGATCACATAGAACATGCCTGAGATACAGTGTCAGGAGCCTGTCAATAATAATGAAGAGATATTTTTATTATATTCTTCTAATTTACCCTTAAGGACACAAGCCATTTTTGCATTTTTTGCCGTTTGTGTTCAAATGCAATTTATATCACTGTCATTTATTGCACCAACACATATTATATACCGTTTTTTAGAGGGCATAAAGGGCTTTAATTTTATGTCACATATACATAGATAAACTCTCACTAATTATAAAAATAAATTCCAAAAAATGGGGGGAGGGGAGGGAATAAAAAAAAAAAAATCCCCCACAGTTTTGGCAATAATAGCGTGTGCATAATATATCCAACTTACGAAAAGTAATTCAAAATAAAATAATTTATGTGTCTTGATTTGACTACATAATATGTGTAGGGTTTCAGCTTATTTTGAAAGTTGCAGGACGCAAAATACAAGGACTAAAATAAAATTTCAATGTGAAACAATTTTAAAAGTTGGTATGTTTGTCTTGTAGGTTTAGTAGCCATCACAGAAAACAAAATTGCCACACAAAAGTATATATTTATATAAAGTAGATATCATCATTTAACGTAGCTAATCTCTGCTAAATATTGGAGTAAAATAGCGTTTTTTTTCTCTAATTTGGCATATACACATATAACAAGGTTTTTGTAATGTATATTTTGTAAAGCTAGTGTGTGGTATTCCTTCACATATTGTGTTCAGCTACATCTGCTGAATATAGCGATACCCCCATTGTATGCCTTTGGCATTATTCTTTGAATCTACAATGCCAAATAATAGACGAGACTATTTCAGTTTTTAGAGAGAGAATTTTCATAGATGGATTTGACGGGCCTATGTCTCATTTTGGGGTATTATAGCAGTTTGACTGTTCAAATAACCCCACAAAGGGCTTTTGTTTGATAAAGCAGACACCCCAGGGTATTTTATATGGTGTATGTTGTGCCTTCATTTGTCACCATTTTTTCATCAATTTATGCCAATGTTTGTGGCGAGAGGAAAAGAATTGCATTTTTACATACATGTTGCATTTTTGCTGAGTGTTTCTTACACTTGATAAGTGCCACTGTCATAAAATCCCCCAAATTACGGTCAATTACATCTTCTGAGTAAAACAATATGCCCAATGTATGACCTAGACACTATTTTATAAAGACCTTGAACCTTAGTGTGGGATAATTATTCTGGTAGCTTCTGCTAGTTTGTTCCAGGTGTAGTGGTAATGAGAATGTTTTAATGATTTTTTTTTTTACTCTTTTAAACTTTTTACTTTTTAAAACTTGTTTTTAAAAATTTTTTACTTAATAAATATTTGTAAACTTTTTAAAAACTTATTTTTACACTTTGATAAGTTTTATCTTTTTTTTTTACCATTAACCCCGAAGTAGCCATAAGCAGCACTAACAGTAAATTCCACAATATCCCATAACTCCCAACCACCCCAGCCAGCAAAATATATAATTTTAAAATATTTAAATTAATTAATTAAATAAATTGGTTAAAAAAATAAAAAAAATAAAAGTTAACCCTCAGGGGTTAAAAAAAAAAAATCAGATCACAGCATAATATTTTTATCACTGTAGGAAGTGATCAGATGGTAGGGAAGGGGTTAATTTTTATTAGGACTAGGTAAATGGGATTTTTAAAAACTTTTTGAAACATTAAAACATTTAAAAAAAAACTTTTAAAAGCTTCTTTTTTTTTTTATGTTAAACCCCTAGCTAGCCTAACACCAAATTCACCAATTCCACACTAACTTCTACCCACTATTTCCTATCTAATATCGCCAATTAGCAGTACTCCCTTACCCGGATATTTAAGACTTACTTTGATGCTCACAATAACCTACTAAATGTGACCATTTGTTGTAAGTCCAAATAGTAAATAAAAGGACAGTTAAAAAAAAATGAAGACCCCATCCTTATACTAGCCTGTAATCCAAAACACTTACACTTACACGAGATAAGAAAAAAACAAAGCAGCTTGGATTGAGGCAGCTAGACTGGGAGAGGCCTGTGCTCCTCTCGACAGCCTAATGTGTTTAAAGCAGAGGTTTCCTTATCCACACCATCTACAACTCAGGGATGTGGAATTTATATTGTTTGACACCCCTGGTCATGCAGAAAGTTTTTTTTTTTTACATTTTATTATTTTTGCCCTGCTGAAGCGGCCATAGTTCCTTGGAGGGGTTGGTAACAGGGCTGGGGAGTGAGGTCTGCAGTAGTTTCCATCTTGCAGTCTGGTACTCTCTAGTTAGTGAGAGTGCAGCCGACGGGATTCCCAGTGAGAACCCTGACTTACTGAATGCTGGGACTGTGGCAGCAATAAGTAAGAAATTTGAATTTAGTTGTGGGGTGTGCAAGACAGTTAAGACCGGTCTGCTATATATGTGAGTTTGAGCAGAGGGAAGGCATGGGAACAAAACTTCCACAATTCCCACCGCTTCATGTGTCATTGTAACCGCATGTGGTTCCCTTATTTACCACTATAATGTCTTAAAGCATAGAACTTAGCAGGGCTAACCATACAGATATCTTAGCCATAATTTTATATAGTTAGTAAGAGATCCTCTATTTAACATATATAAACAATTGAGAATACAATATAAAATAAGGATTGTCTTGGAAGCAATAGTTTTATCTTTTTGGATATTTATTATATAAAAATATAAATATAAAATCCATTATAGCAGAGTTTATAAGATTAAATTACATGCTTGCAAATATCATTAATAGGTTAACATACCCTTCTGAACATGTCATCATGTCAGCCTCTCTGTCATTTTAAGATGGAGCAGCATCTGTCTCCAAGTCTCTCCTCTGTGTCTTAACATTTAAATATACCCCTATTTATACCTTAGGTGTCTCCATTTTAGGGTTGCCGTAGTTCATTTACTTTATTCATTTTAGGACCTCCCTTAATTTGGCAAACATACAAGGCCATAACTAAAGGGTGCAAACGTCATGGAAATTTTCCTGACTTAGTTCAAGATGGCATCTTAAAGTCTGAACAGCTTATCTGTTGTTTATACTAAGTCGTAAGTATACAATCGTGGGAGATTCCCGGATTTGGGGAAGTTCCATTAACTTGGGGTTACCACAGTATATTGTGTACTGCAAGTGTCGTAGTATAGCCTTGAGGCTTGTTTATGCATTATTGTTATTGTAATTCGTCTGGGATAAAATGGCGCAAACATATTATGCACTGAGGTTATTGCTTAAAGAAACATCTATGAAAAACAATATGTTCCATTTCTAACACCTTGTCAGTTTGCAATATCTCTTAAAGACAAAGTACACAGTTTAAGAAATACAACATTTCATTCTAAAACTTGTAATGTTTGCATTTGCCCATAACATCACGAACATCTATAGAGAATATTTCTCCATAATACCATGTACTGACAAATATTTTTTTTACATCAATCCCAACATTGGATGATATGTTATTTTATTAATACATTTGAACTTAAATTACACACATTACATACAGCCAACACATAACACACAGCCATCACTCACAACACACATATGACAAACGGCCAGCAGTCACCACAAACACTAACAAAGGGAAGTGCCTATTGGACAGCATATGGTGAGAACCTCAGGATAATTTACAAAACTCTAAAGTTTAAATCAAAATGGAGGCACGAATAGCCATGTTGTGACCAAAGCAGAGTTTTCAGGATTAGCTATGTTTGCCTCTGTTTTCCATTTAGATTTAATCTGTGAAAATACAGAACAGCAAATAGCCCTGTCAATGTCCACTATAAATAGACTAAGCATGTTCAATTGTGTATATCCTGCCATGATTAACCAAAAATAGTACTAATATTATCTAAAGACCAGTACCTACCTGCAACATGGACTCTTGAGTGAAACAGAAAATACAGCATTTTTCAATAGCAGTAAGGCTTTACAAAGTGGACATTACTAAAGGAGGAAATCCAGTTGACTAAGAAGCAGATTGTGATGGCTGAAATTATATTGGACTTTAAAAAGATAACTAGCCCAGGACAACTCAAATGGTTATATATTGATCAGCCACAAAATTAAAAACAAACAGTGACAGGTGAAGTAAATAGCATTGATTGGCACCTGGGTGGGATGTATTAGGCAGCAAGTGAACAGTCAGTTCTTTAATTTCATGTGTTGGAAGAAGGAAAAATGGACAAGGAAAAAGATCTGAGTGACACGAACAAGGGCCAAATAGTGATGGCTAGATGATTAGGTCAGAGCATCTTCAAAATGTCAAGTCTTGTGGTGTGTTCTCGGTATGCAGTGGTTAGTACCTGCCAAAAGTGGGGGGCGTGGCTTGGACGCCGGACAGGATGGACGCCTGAGAAGTGAGCTCCGCTCTACCGGCCCCCATAACGCCCTACTAATTAGCCACCCACAGCTTAAATGGGACGGAACCGGCGAGGTGAACCCCCAGGGACCCCCAGGGGATCCCAACAAAACTTACCCCTGGGCCCGATGGACGAATTCCTGCAGACGCCGGCGGCAACACATGAGGAGGCCGGAGGTCCCAAAATGGCGACCGGTACCACTCCGCCTAACAATCACCCTAACAATTGGGGAAGAGATCCGCACAATGGCGGCCTCAATGGCCACAAAAGCAGACCTCCTGGTTCTCACCACCACAATTCAGGATGCACTGCGGGCTGAAATGGCCGGAATCCGGACAGAGGTCGCATCACAAGGAAGCCGCCTGCAGGAACTAGAGCACTCCCATGCGGCACAGACTACCAGACTGGCAACAACGGATACAGCACTCACAAGGCAAGGTGACCTGCTCCTACAACTAAGGAGGTCGGTCGAGGACCTCGACAACCGCGGACGACGGAACAATATAAGGGTCTGTGGAATGCCAGAGACAGATGGCGAGGAGGACATAGAAGAGTCCCTAACACCCCTCTTCTGCTGGATCATGCCCGAGGATGCACAGCTGGACATAAGGTACGACAGGGCACACAGAGCATTACGGCCCCGGTCGCTTGAGGAAGGCCCAAGTGACATAATATGCTGCATACACTGGTTCTCAACTAAGGACGCCATTATGAAAGTGGCCAGATCCCGACCCACATGGGACTTCCGAGGGGTGCAAATATCACTATTTAATGACTTGTTCCCAGTAACCTTAGAATCCAGAAGAGCCCTGCGACCCATTACAACGCTATTAAGAAACAACAACATCCCCTACAAATGGGGGTTCCCATTTGCCCTGCAGGCGAGACACCGAAACGGATGGGCCTCACTCCGCTGGCCAGAGGAGGTACCCGGCATCCTGGAGGAACTGGGCCTCCCACCTGTACAAATACCTGATTGGATCCTGGGACCTCTGGCGGCTGGCCCGAGACCCCAACGCGCTCCTCGGCGATGCAGAGGGAGATCACCGCCGCAACGCCATCGCAACCCACAAAGAGCTCAGGAAGAATAGACCCCACCCAGACACCGCTAACCCGCCAGGCAAGCATTACCCCACCCTCCTATGGAAAGTAACAGGGACATAAAGCTGGACTACGACCCCCCCGGGCCATGCACTCCCAACGGGACACCAGTTCCAATCTTGGGCCTTATTACCCGAGGAGATAACCGGGCGCACACGGTACTTGGGAGGGGGACGGGGAGAATAGCAGCGGCATCTTCCATCTCCGGGGGGGGGGACACGCTGCTGGTGCACCACATCACACACAGGACATCTCTGGACCTCACTGAACGCAAGACTTTGGATATTTCCACATGCCGGTACACGTAGAGTCATGCTGGGACATACCACCATATCTGGCTATTCGAGACTCTAAGCATTTACAGCAAAGAGAAGAGTGTCCCTCTGACCCGATAAGTATCACCCACCACAAGCATATGCTAATATTGAATAACTGTAGTATTGTAGATAGAGAAGGGAAATGCAACTAGTTAGGACCTAAAATCGAAGGCAGTGAATAGATAGAAGGGGAGGGGGGACAGGGAGGGGGGTGAAAAGGAGAGAGAGAGAGGGGGGGGTGAAAAAAAACCCCAAAAAACAAAAAACAAATAGATATATAGTTGTACCGCGAAGATTACAAGACGCAGAGGAGGTTATCTATATAGAAGTTAAAGAGATGTAATTTCGAATAACTATGTTGTGTTTTGACGATGCACCACTAATAACCACAAATATCCCGGCTAGCGTGGGTCACCTGGGAGAGAGGGGGGGGGAGCGCAATTGTAAATAAACTCCTGGCTGGGGCGGGGGAGAGGGGCCACTGGGAGGGGGGCCGCACACAAAAAATGTTGACTGTTAACAAAGTTATGTATGTTCACATTTATGCTCAAAACCACGTTTGATGTTACTCAGCCTCGCTTCAGTTGGAAACCGCATCCCAAGATCAATCATACTACGGTGGGGGACCGGTGGATATGGACCGAACTAGACTCCATCTCACCTACAACACACTTATACGTCACTCCTGATTTGGGCTCCGAACATAACTCCACACACACACCTGCAAGACACTCTCAGCGGAGTTCCAGGCAAACACCAATCTGGATATCGGTGCGACGCCTGACTATTCCTGCTGAGACGCAAGTGTTCCTCCTCCCTTGAGGAGAACTCGGGGTGACACACACCTGCATCCCCGCTGGGCACTCACCCACGGGGGAGACTCCTTTAGTCTCCCCTTAATTTTACCTTTTTCTACCCCTACACACACACACGATTCCCCCACACATCACTCCCCCAACACTACCACACACATCGACCCAAACGTAGACGGTGACAGACAGGATATCCAGACACTCAACATATATAGGACTAGGCAACGTAGAGACCACAACACATAGTAATATACCCACTCCCACGGGGCTGTGTCGCCAGCTTGGGCGCCCGACCAGGAGGGGTGCCCGACCAGGAGGGGGGCCATGGCGTACCAACACACCCCCATGTCCATCATGACCCTCAACTGTAGAGGCCTGAACATCCCGGAAAGCCGCTCCCACTTACTGAGGGTATTACGACGGAAACACATATCTATAGCAATGCTGCAGGAGACTCACTTTAAGGAAGGAGCGGCCCCCAAACTCCGAAGCACCTACCACCCCATTAGCTATCTCAACAACCACCTGGAGACACGTCGAGCAGGAGTTGCAATACTGCTAGCGGCCGACTTAGGGTTCCAGGAACTGGACAAATTGGCCGACAAACACGGACGATTCCTCTTCATTAAAGGAGTGATAGCTGAGAGAGTATACACGTTCGCAACCATATACGTACCCAACTCAAAACAAGCACAATTCCTCAGGGGGACACTGAATAAACTACGTGGATTTTCGGAGGGAGCGCTGATCGTGGGAGGTGACTTTAACGCCCCCTTAACCCGCTTATGGATTCATCCACCGGCCACAGTTGCCTCTTGCAAGCTCACATTAGATCCATTCGCAAATCACTGGGGGAGCTGACGCTGGTAGACTGCTGGAGAGTGACCCACCCTACCGACAAAGACTATACACACTATTCGGCAATACATAACTGCTACTCCCGAATAGATTACCTGATGATTCGACAAGAAGGACTCTCCCGCCTACGATCCGCCACCATCGAACCTGCCTCATGGTCCGATCATGGCTCGGTCCAGGTGGACTTAGAGTCCCTGCTGTTTAAACCGGCAGCTTGGACGTGGCGCCTGAATGAGGCCCTGCTCCAAGATATAGGGGTAAGAGAGGAAATCACTCAGGCACTGGAATCATACTTTAGAGAGAACGAAACAGATGATATATCACCAATATCAGTATGGGAAGCCCACAAGAGCGTCATACGAAGCACTCTCATGAGCATCGCAACCCGTAAAAGGAAGGAAGCAACGCGAGCAATGACAAAAATATATAGCACCATCTCACGCCTAGAACTCCAACACAAACGCACACAGTTAACTGAAACCTATGGGGAACTAATGGAAGCCAGACGACAACTGAAAAACCTCCTCACGCAGAGATACCTCCGATCGCTACAGAGATCAAAAAACTTCTTCTACACCCATGCGAACAAAGGAGGGAAGCTCCTAGCTCGCATGTTAAAAGGCGACACGCCGTGCACACAAGTCCGAAAAGTTCGCTTAACTTCGGGCAGCACATCCCAGTTTCCGGAAGAGATAGCTGGAGAATTTAGAAACTATTACAACTCCCTATACAATCTCCGCCCACCAGAGGACACAGCCCAACAACGAAACTTATTAGAACAAATACAGACTAACCTACAAGACAACGTGCGGGCAAGGATAAACCCGGAGGCCGCATCCATCCTCGACCAACCAATTACAACGGAAGATCTAGCCATTAAAAAAAATCTAGGCATTAAAGATGTAGGCATTAAAAAACACGAAAACAGGGAAAGCACTTGGCCCGGACGGGTTCTCCACAGGTAATTATAAAAACTTTGCGACACTACTACCAAAGCTGACAAAAGCAATTAATAAACTAACAGAAGGAGGACACCTCGGCACAGAATCTCTAACAGCAACTATAACCGTGATACTCAAACCTGGGAAAGACCCGGAACAATGTAGCAGCTACCGCCCGATCTCCCTGCTAAACGTGGACACTAAACTTTTCATGAAAGTACTGGCAACCAGACTTCAACGGATACTGCCGAGTCTTGTCCACGCAGATCATACGGGGTTTATCCCAGGATGAGAGGCTAGAGACAGTACATTACGCCTGTTCTCCATTCACCATCACACAAGAAAATTGCAGAAACGCCTCCTGCTCCTATCCACGGACGCGGAGAAGGCATTTGACCGGGTCAACTGGACATATCTGATCCAAACACTTCAAACCATGGGCATGGGGCAGAGGATCATGACGTGGATATCCGCCCAAAACAGCACACCGAGTGCAGCTGTGCGCGTTAATGGGGCATTGACTACAAGCTTTGGGATCGCAAACGGCACCAGACAAGCATGCCCCTTATCACCACTTTTGTTCGCCTTGTCACTAGAACCGCTATTACAAGCAATCCGAGACCACCAGGACATTCGGGGCTACACATGGCAGGGAACGGAACACAAAGTTGCAGCATATGCGGACGACCTTATATTTTCTATTTCCCACCCACGGATCACACTGCCCTGCTTACTGTCGGAAATGGATAAATTTGGGCGGCTATCAGGATTCAAGCTTAATCTTGCAAAATGCGAGGCATTGAACATCAACATACCCGCAGCAGAATATGAATCCCTTGGTCCTCTCTTCCCGTTCCGCTGGTGCGCAGGGGCAATGAAATATATGGGCATTTAGATACCCACAAACCCTACACCACACTCCTACAACAACTCGAATTAGATCTGAAAAGGTGGGCCTACCCTCACATTACGTGGCACGGCCGTATAGCGGTACTCAAAATGAATGTCCTGCCAAGAATACTCTACTTATTCCAAACCATACTGATAACGTTACCAGCGACATTCTTTTCAACCCTGAAATCGACAATCATTAAATACATATGGAGAGGGGAACGATCCAGACTGCGTCATGATCTTCTGTGCCTGCCCAGACACAGGGGGGCCTGGCACTGCCAGACTTCAAAATATATCACCAGGCTACAAAGCTACAACATATTCTAGACTGGCATGAATCGGAAACGACTAAACAATGGGTGACACTAGACCATGGGGGGAACACGTCGAAACTAAAGGCACTGGTATGGAAAAAACAAACAACTAGAGGCGCAGGAAGAAGAGAGGAAGGCCCAGTGACACAAACCTTGCTCACATGGGAATCCATCAGGGAGGCACCGCAAATCTCCCCGTCCCCATGCCCTCTAACACCGATAGCACACAACCCTGACATAGGTGGCGGACTACCACTAGAGTCCTGGACATTCCTAGGTGAAGCAAACTACATATCAATATGCAAAATCACCCAGGAAGGTAATATGAAGACACTAGACACATTGTTGGAGGGCCGTCCACGATCCCCAATGTCGATACTCCAATACATGCAATTAACACATTATTTCCACTCACTCCCACACAAGGAAAAGCTACAAAGAGATTTAACATGGTTTGAAGACCTCTGCCTACGAGGAACATCGATAGGAAAAACTATTTCGACTCTCTACCAGTACCTACTGACTAACGCCACCACAGAAAATAACACCTTTCAGCTGCAATGGGAGAGCGCCATGAACAAAACATTCACACCGACCCAATGGGATAAAGCACTGTTATGGCAACAGAAAAGCTCCTCCAGATCACACTACCAAGAAGTTAACTATAAACTGATCTCCATGTGGTATAGAACACCAGTATTACTACACAGGATTTCCCACAACACCGCCAACATGCTGGAGATGCCAGGATGAAAGAGGGACCATTAGAGACATCTGGTGGGAATGCAACCATATCGTCCCATACTGGAACCAAGTTAAATGAGACACTCAACTGATCCTCGGAGACGACACTGAATGGTCAGAGGAACTGGCCATGCAACACATTTCTACACAACCGCTATCCAAATATAAAAAATCAATCCTACGTCATCTGCTGAACGCAGCCAAATCGTTGATACCAGTATATTGGAAACAGTTGAACATCCCCACAAGGGAGGAATGGATCCACAGATTCGAAGACATTAGGGCGGCTGAAGTGCTCCAAGCGGAGCTGGCAGGTCGGGGAGCGAAATGCGCAGAGACTTGGATGCCGTGGTTCACCTTCCGGGCGGGCCCGTAGGGGGGTGGTCGGCTGTGGGCCGGGGGGCGGCATGGCTCCCGCAACAAACCTATGCTACACGCCACACCCCAGACACCCTCTTACGCTAGGACACATGAACATCAGACTGAAACGCACTGACTATACCACATATTTAGGGAAGATGACAATAACTAAAGGGAAAAACAGGAGAGAAAAGGAGGTTGACGAATAACTGGAACAAAGCTCCACCCCTATATACCAGACAGGCCATGTTCAAACGACTGACTGACGGACGAGGAACTGACTAACCTCGCACGGCACCTCTTACCAAGATAACACAAGACAACAGTGGCTAGCTACGACCCCAAAAGATCTAACACTAAAGAGCGACCACGGGCCACCAGGCTACCAGACAGGACAAAACCAACCCCCGGACACACATACGGCACACCTGCATTCCATCCGAGAGGAATCTCGGAGAACCCACACTCCCTGCCCCCATCGACATACGCAACACAAAGCGCCACACTACACAAACTGAAGTATTACACCTCATTTAAGCATGAACCCTCCTACCCGCTTACACAAACTAAAACACCCCTTCACACTCTCACACACACACATACAAATCTTAACAAGGTATAACACCTATAAATACGCACCTTCAAGGCACCAAGGGATGCTAACACACCCACCATTAATCTTAACTACGAAGAGCCCAGGCGGAAATGCACTCAGCTACTCACTGCAACAATGTGACAACCTACGCTGAGTAAAGTTGACACAATAGAACACTTACGGTATAACAAAATTGAATGTAACTCCCACCGATATGTTTGTCATAATGTTGTGATGTATATTCTATGCTGTAACAATGTCAGAATGCCTGCGTGACTAAACAATTGCTTATTCTCCTACAATAAAATACATTGATTAACCAAAAAAAAAAAAAAGTATGTAGGATGGAATGTTTAATAAAACAAAAAGATTTAAAAAAAAAAAAAAAGTACCTGCCAAAAGTTGTGCAAGGAAGGACAACCGGTGAACGGCATCAGAATCATGGCGCAAGGCTCATTGATGCACATGGGGAGATAATACAAAAGTAAAAGACAGATAAGGGCTGTGCTACATGCAACAACATTGAATAAAATATAATTAAAAAGTGAAAATAAATAAAAAAAATTAAAAGTAAATACTGTGAGTCTTATTCCAGATGTGCAAATTGTCACATATAGGATAGTCTCTTATTCAGGAGGTAGGCGGTTCTTTATACTTAGGGGGTGTTGTATTCTTGGGTCCCCGTATGTGGATGAGAAGAAACACAAAAAAGACCTAATAGTGCAGTAACCCAGGGCTGAATAAGCCGGTTATTAAATAATAGTATTACACTCACATTTGAGAGAGCTTTCGCCAGCTCTGGTATAATCCCCACTATTTAGGATATAATGGTGGTAGATATATGCTGGTAGTTGTCTGGATGCTCAAAGACAAAAGTAAAAAAAGGCCACAGATAGTGCTCTCAGTAAGACACGGTAATTATATGAATATAAAGGTTCTACTTACAGACATAGAGCAGGCTAACTGCTCTGTGGTGCCAGCATTGGTGGTATAATCCCCACCTGTGGATATACTAGGGAGTAGTAGCGGACAAATAAAAATATAAAAAATAAGAAAAAATATAAAATATGGATAAAAATGTAAATAATAATGTTAAGAAGCCAAGGAGAGTATATGAGTAAAGGTATTAGTACAATAAAAAGTGTTGTAAAACATGGGGAGCTAAGGCTAGCAGTCAGGTTCAATCACACAGAAGAGCTACTGTAGCTCAAATTTCTGAAAAACGTAATGCTGGCCATGATAGAAAGTGCATTCAATGGGAATGTGAGCGTCAGCACTTTATTGAGCCATGGAAGAATGTTACCTGTCTCGATGAATGAGGTTTTCTTTTAGATGAGGTGGATGGGTGGGGCATGTGTGTTTACCAGCGGAACGATTGCAGGAGGATGCACTGTGTAAAGAAGGCTGGCTGGCTGGCGCAGTGTTATGCTCTGGTCAATGTACTGCTGGTAAAACTTGGCCGGGGAGTCATGTGGATGTTACTTTGACACGTACCACCTACCTGGAGATTATTGCAGACCACATACACTCTTTCATGCCAATGGCGTTCCCTGATAGCAGTGACCTCTTTTCGCATGATAATGCACTCTGTCACATTATAAAAATTGTTTGGGAATGGTTTTAAGAACATGACAAAGAGTTTAAGGTGTTGCCTTGGCCTCCGTATTTCGCAGATTTCAATCCAAATGAGCATCTGTGGCATGCACTGGAAAAACAAAACCAGTTCATGGAGGCTCCACCTCCCAACATACACAACCTAAATGATCTGTTGGTAATGTCTTGGTGCCAGATATCACAGGTCACGATCAAAGGTCTTGCGGAATGCATGCATCGACGCATCAGAGCTGTTTTGGCAGCACGAGGGGGACCTACACAATATTAGGCAGGTGATTTTAATGTTGTGGCTTGTCAGTGTAGGTTCATTATCTGGCTTGCTTCACTACACATTCTAAGAAAAACATGGACAACACTGAAGTAAACTATTCATGAAATTGAAAAAAAGACTACATTTTGAAAGAAAAAAAAACCCCCTCCAAGTCTCTGATGTTTTTTTTTCCTAATTGTCTTCATAATTTGTTTGTCTACAAGCTCATTGTTTAGTCTTTGAGAGAAGACAGCAGTCTCTGCAATAATTGGTGTTTTTATAGTTTTATTATAAAAAAAATTGCGGCAAAGAAAAACCGACAAACACAGAACAATTTACTAGACTGTACATGAAAATAAAATGTCTTATATTTTAACGTTCAGCATTTGTATCAAAAGACATACTTTCTTCAAATCCGTGGGTGGTTTAAGAACACATTTTAGCACTAAATTCATTGGTTCTTCAGTGCTATGTTTACGATCATTGCAAAAATGTCTCATGATATATTCAAAAATATAGGACGTCCAGTAGAGATTCTTCTATCGAGTAAAAGACCGTACATGGCGTCCCCTACTGCCATTTCCACCAAGAAATTTTCCCCGTGAACTATTCCCACTACCCGTAGCATTTGCCCAGGATGGTCCAATGCCCCCACGACCTCTGACAGTCCTGTCTCGTGGATTTGGACGGTATCCTAAAAAGGAAACAAGAAAACACGTAACTAGATGTTTGAGACACTCTGAATAGTAAACATTGGTCAGGTGATTGGCTTTTTTTTTTTAATACATAAAGTGAGTCATGTCTTCCATTACGGGTAAAGTAACACCTTGAGGAGGATTGTTGAATTCTATGTATAACCACCTATTTTTTTTTCTTCATTCTTTATTTTTGCGATGACAGTATTCAATGATAGGATACATGGAGGTTGGAAGGTACTTACAAGTAACGTATATATAGTGAATATAGTAATATGCATCAGATTGTAAAAGAACCTTCGTTACAGTATTCCAGACCATTTATCCCTTTGTGAGAAAAGCAAGGACCAACTGTCAAAGTATTTTGTTTAGGCATAGGAAAAATAAAGGTATAACAGAAAGGTAGTAAAAGAGGTAAGAAAAGTCCCAGCAGTATTGCCATTATGGGTGTGTGCACTCTGCTATCCGGGGAACGTAGGTGGCAGCCGTAGTTAATTCGTACCACCGCTCCAGATGCCACAGTTTCTATTCATTTGCATTTTCTTTTTGGTTTGTTATTAGTGTTTTCTGACCGAATATTTAAGATTGTCGCTTATAAGGATGAATGTGGCAGTGTGCTGCTGTCAATTCAGTGCTAACTGTATTTGTGTGCAAGTATTAAGTGGTGAGGAACATTTGGAATCACTTGGAGCCGATGTCAATAGTCATAAATGGCTGCAGTGTGGCAAAGCCCAAGAGTCAGTGAGGTGCGGAGTAGCAGTAAAGTGAGCTCCCCTGTCTGTTAGGTGTATGTGCAGATGGCATAGAAGCAGGATAAATAAGGCAGTCTTACCGTACCCTATAGAAGACACTGACATTGGCACAGTGTCAAAAGGTAAGAAAGGTAATGAAATTAACGGAAGGGATAGAATAGTAGAATCTCAGAATCCCACGGCACGGGGGTGTTGTATGTTATGCGTAATTGTTCTCACGACTTACAATCCTATTTCCTCTATGTATTGCTCCCACAGGTCTCATACCCTCTCAATGGTGGCAGTGGTGATACGGACCTGTGAAGTCAGCTTGTCCATAAGATAGTTGTCTTATTTTGGCCAGTACCAATGAGAAGGAGGGGGCTCAGTGTTCAACCACTTCTGTGCCAGGGCTCGTCTGGCTACTAAGTATACCATGTTGAGTAGTTTCTGTTCGTGGCGAGGGAGTCCATCGGTAGGCTTGGATAGTAAGCACACCCATGGGTCTAAATCTAGCGTCCTTTGTAATATTTTAGAACCTAGTTCTATCACTCCCTTCCAGAACAGACTGACTGTGGGGCATTTCCACCACATATGTATGTAGGGTCCCTTTTCATTACAGGATCGCCAGCAAGTGCCAATGGGGCCAAGTTTCATGTGGTGTTGTCTGAGTGGGGTGGTGTACCACCGAAATAGTGTTTTAAATGATTGCTCTTGGAGGGTTACACAGGTGGAGGACTGGGCGCATGCCTCCCATATGTCTTGCCAATCCGTGCCCTCCAATACCTCGCCCAGTTCGGCCTCCTACAGACCGGTATATCTGAGGTTTTTCCATTCGTTAGCTTCCACACTGAGGTGGCCGTACAAGAGGGATATGAGGCTTTTAGGCTGCTTTTCTTGAAGCACATTTGCTCAAAAAAGGGAAGTGGGCAGGCAGCTGCTGCTCACACCTCTGGTTTGGATGCAAAGTCACGTATTTGTAGCTACCTAAAGTAGTCTCTGTTGGATAGTTGGGCGAGCTCCTTGAGCCTATCAAACGTGACTGGGGCTTAGTCGAGGTACAATTGTATATATCTTTGGAGTCCTGTGTATTCAAACCCTCTAAAGTCTATAGCATGTATTCCCGGGGGGAAAGGCCCTGTTACGGAGTACAGGTGTCATTGGAGATGGGAATTTACTGAGTGAGTACTTTTGTGCTACCTGGTCCCATAATCTGATCAAATTTAGTTTCGCTGGGCAAGTAGTGCATATAAAGGCCGTGTTCTAATTGGGTAACCATATAAAAAACTGGGGAAGGTCAGATCACATCAGGAGTCGGTATAGCAATTTACACGCAATTCTGGTGCGCTTCCTCTGCCAGATGAATGGGTCTATGGCCTTTTGTAACCCCGCCAAGTAACTCCTCTTGTGACCTGCACTAGTAGGGTTGAAAGACAAAAACAATAGCCTGGGGAGGATCTTCATCTTCGCTGAGTGAAGTCTGGCTAGCCACGAGATAGGCTTCTCTGTCCATTTCTACAGGTTCTGGATCAGGCTGCGGAGCACTGGCAGGTAATTATGGTGGTATAACTGTGTGTGGTCAGATGTAAGTCTAATGCCTAAGTAGGGGAGGGTGCTGTCAGCGAGGCGTAACTTATATGTGTCTCTGATCTGTGCCATGTCTGGGGCTAAAAGGTGGAAGGGCATTGCCATGGATTTAGCCAGGTTGACTTTATTCCCAGACAGGTCTCCGTAGTGATCTAGCAGTTTAGTCAGGTGCTCCATGAAACTGAGTGGGTCTGTGAGTGTAAGAAGGATGTCATCGGCATATGCTGATGTTTTGAACTGTCGTCCAGCTACACCCACACCCCGTATGTGTGGATGATGTCGGAGGGCCTGCAATAGCGGCTCCAGGGAGAGCGTGAAGAGCAATGGGGACAGGGGCAACCCTGCCTTGTGCCGTTATTTAAGGGGAAGCGGGTGCGATGGGCCCCAGTTATCAGTGTTTGGGCTCTGAGGTTTGTGTATAGGGCCCCGATTGCCATCTCGTAGGGTTCTGGGAAGCCTCATGCCTGCAGTGGGCCAAAGAGGTATGACCACTTCACCCTGTCATAGGCCTTCTCGGCGTCCAAGGACAGTGCCAGAGAAGACCCTCCCGAGCCGGACATGCAACATGACATTTTCATAGAGCTGTCTGCCTGGCACAAACCCCACCTTGTCAGGGTGGACCAAGCGTGTCAATAGCGGATTTAGTCTGGTAGGCAAAATTTTGGCGTAGATCTTTAGATCTGAATTGATCAGGGAGATAAGGCCTGTAGTTGGATGCTAGCATTCTCATCTCTACCTGGTTTTGGTAATAATGTGATGTTTGCTAGCGCCACGTTTGAGTCTGGTGCACCTCCGTCCATAAAGTGGTTGAAAAGGGTAGTGCGTTGGGGGCCAGTACTTACCTGAATTTCTTATAATAACCCGTGTCGTATCTGTCTGGTCCTGGTGCTTTATTACCTTTTAGGGCCGTGATAGCTGCGTCAACTTCTAGTGCACCCTAAGTCCCCACCTCTGGTCCTGTGAGTTTTAGCAAATCTAGGTCCGACAGGAATGAGTGTAGGTCTGCACAATCATCAGGGGCAGACCCCTCTGGCTGTGGGCAATGGTTGTAAAATGTTGAATAATAGTCTGTAAACAGTGATGTCCCGAAAGGTTCGCCGCAGACGGCGAACATAAACATAAACTTTGACCCTGTACCTCACAGTCAACAGACACATTCCAGCCAATCAGCAGCAGACCCTCCCTCCCAGATCCTCCCACCTCCTGGACAGCATCCATTTTACATTCATTGTGAAGCTTCATTCTTAGTGAGCTGTCCAGGAGGTGGGAGGGAGGGTCTGCTGCTGATTGGCTGGAATGTGTCTGCTGACTGTGAGGTACAGGGTCAAAGTTTATGTTCGCCGTCTGCGGCGAACCGTTCGGGACATCACCATCTGTAAAGACTTTGTTAATTGTGTTTGGAGTGTATGCTAGGACACTGATGTGTGGATTTTCGTGATGGGTCGAAATCCACTCTGAGGACGCAGCGCTCTGGCTTACATTGTATCCATTTTGTTGGATTTTTCATTTGTTAATAATTAATGATTTTTTTTTATTTTATTGATATTTTTCTTTTATACCATAATTTCTCTGGATTGAAGTAAGTCAGCATGGCTGTGTACTCTTAAGTGAAGATTTCTTTATTACATGAAACTTAGGATTTGGTTACCCCTTAATACAAATAGGTTATCTTTTATTTCACTACTACATTGTACAAAATCACGTAGTTGGTTGAATGGAACCTTGCAGATGCACTTTAACACTACACTGTTCTGGAACACAGGAAATAAAAATAACCCTTTTAAATAGAACTGATAAATATATGTAGAGGAACAAACCTGTAGAGCTTTGACGAAGAGGAGGCAAGTTTCCTCGGTCAAAGTTGCTTTGTGCTCCTCTGCTTTCCACATAAGTGCCTCGTGGCGTGGTTTGTGCATTCCAGTTCAGGACACGTGTTCCTTCCCGACGGCTATAATTAACTAAACACAAATAGAAATATGAAATGTAAAAATTGGATGTAAACTTAACAGAACACGATAGATATCACACAAGTCTCTGAAAAGAAGCAAAGAAAGTGAGAAGTAGGATATGACAAGAAAGGCTAGATCTAGCCTTGCTTCATTGAATGAGACAAGCATTTGAAGGAAATGTTGGAAAGCCAATAGTTCCCTACTCTTCTTTGGATAGAAATGTATTGAAAACTAAATTTTGGATAAAGTCTCCTTACATCTCACTTACCCAGGCTTATTTGTGAGACCTGGTCTGTTTGCGAGACCAGCACCACAAATGCTGAACCTAAGTGTTTTAAATGGAAAGACCCTCAACCTACCTTTAGGAGCAGGCGGAGTGAAGAACCTGCTTTGGTTGTGGAATGTGCCTCTGCCACCACCTCTGTTTCCAAGAAACCCACCACGGGAGGACACCTTTTGAGTCACTTTTGGCAGTCGTTTGGGAGGAGGAATGCCAACCGGTGGTGCCACTTCTTTCCGTTCAGCCGCTACAAAATCATCCACATGCATGGAAGGTGGCCGGCTTGTGTTCTGTTTCCTCTGACGGAAAAGATCATGTGGCCGCATTCCCTGTCCAAATCCACCTCGGCCTCTTCCACGTGGCAAAGGAACAAAATGGGCTCTTTTTGCTGGCTCAATGTACTCAGACTTTCCACTATGAAATGGAAATAAAAGGAAATTATATACACATAGGATATTGAGAAAATGTAACCTTTTCCCACTGTTTAGTCTGGACTAGGCAACAAAAATGTAATAAAAATGTAAGACACAAATCAAAAAGATAACATATGACTGATAAAACAAGAATACTTTTTTGCAGACGTGATTGCAGAAGAAAGCTTTTGCTGCTTGACAAAGGCTTCAGGCAACAAGCGGTGAATGTGTGTGTTCTTGTGTATCCAAGTGAAAATGACAAAGTAATAACAATCACAGAAAGTCACCTTGTAATAAATGTTTCATGCTTGTGTTTTCCCAGTTTAAAACCCTTTGTGGTCTTTGTCCGACCAGGTGAAGATGGCTCCAACAAAAACGATCTTTCCAACTCTCCTTTTAAGTCAAACTCACTACAGCATTTGCCAGAGAGATCAATTAAGTCAACTTTCACCTGTAATGAAGACATATGCTAAATTTAATTAAAAAAGCATAACAACAAATACAAAGGCCACCTTACAATTAAAACTGCAGACATGCACATCAATCAGCAATCATTGCAAAAGAAGGCATGGTTAAATAAATACTAATATTTTTTTAACTGAGATTATAATGAGAAGCTATTCAAAGTCTAGTCCTTTGTGTGGGGTTTACTTTAGTAGATTAAAAAAAATCTAAATATTTTTAATGAACTCTAAGCCAAGCTTAAAATGTCTACATAAAAATCCTTTGAGCCTAGTGGTACTAATAACTGGCATAAGGATTCATATTTTTGAGAGGTCCACTGGAGTGGTTGGAAAGCAAGCATAACTTAAAGATGGTTACACTGAGAAAACAATTTGAGCCATCTAAATTAGTGCTGGTTAACCTATGATTCCCATACTTTTCTTAACTAAAGCATGTATGATTCTCAGCAACCTTTAAGACTAACTCAGTATCATGAAGAAATAATTCAGAAACATTTGAAATGGCCAACACTAACCATTACGGTCTTAGAGTGCATTTGCAGGTATGAGCCACACTAACCAATGATATGGTTTACCAGTCATCACTGCATTCTATTTTAAAGCTATATAAATTAGAACACCGCAATACTGAACATTCTAAATGGCTTTTCTTATACTACTACAGGTGAAAAGAGAAGGCCCATACCATGTCTAAATCTGCATCTGCGTCATCAGGCTGGAATGGTGAAAATGACAAAGATTTCAGTTGCTCATCCATTACATCAGCCAATATATATACGGTCCTGAAACAGAGGTCAGAAAGAATACAGTATTAAAAGGAAAGCTATTTTTGCCCAGTAACTCACATGGGTTTGCAAAAGAAGTAAAATTTTCATAATCTCCTTTCTGTCCATGAAGCTCTGAAATACTTGGAGTTTTTGTGGCAGGGAAGTCCCAAAACTCAATCACATATAAACAACGTCATGGAATTACCTGTTGTTGAACAGATTTTGCAGGGAGTCCGCTGGGGGCAGCACAGGTTCTACATCTTGATCACCGAGTGGCACTGGATCTTTAGCGGACTCCAAAATATTTCTAAAACTGCCTATACTGTCTAATAAAGTCTCCAAGGTGTCATCTTCCTTACATTGGTCCTAGGTAAAAACAGCAAGAATTAGTATTATTACTCAGCAAGAATGAGCAGAATTAAAAAAAAATACAAGTTATTTACAAAAAAACGCCACAATATTTACACAATGGGCTTCTTATTTACAATGGACTAACCAAAGTGCAAGCTACTGAGGATTTTATGAGCTTTTGCCTATCATCAGAGCTCTCATATGCGTTTTTTTTTGCAGCAAAGTAATTATCAACTGGAATACAAGAAATGTAATCTCAACCACAACAGGTTTTGTATAGTTAGACGTCACAGGAAATTCTGGCCTACCAAAACAACTTTTTCCAAATCCAAGAACAAGCGCTCTACAGGCTCTTCTTTGTTGGTGAGTAAGTGCTTTAACTCCGCAGGGCTGAGTCCCATTGTCTTGGAAGGATGAGAAGAGTCTACTTCCATCATTCCACTTTCTTCACCACAAGTCTGAAAAACAAGAGTACAAAAATAGGTCAACTAAGTTTCTGTAATCAGAATTCCAAAACTGCATTTCACCCACAACTGGCTGGAAAGAGAGGATATACTGAGCCTTTAATCTACCTATATGTTTTTGTTTGTTTGTTTTTCCTCTTTTTCCAATATTGTTATACACAAACAAGCACATTAAATTAAACATTTCTAAATCTATAAAGTAAATTCCAGTAAAAGCTTTGTCAGAATGGACTAAAGCTATAAATGTGCATAGTAGAGTAGAGAGGCAAGGTTAATTTTATACCCAGACTATGTGCATGTTTCTTTCTACAGCTTCTATGAAAGAAAGAGAAGGTTCTGGTTAGTGGACTCATTAACCAAAATAAAGCTTATGCTGGTACTGGTATTGATTACGTTGTGTGTTGATAGTGTGATTAGTGAAGCAATTTGTAGAAATGTGTTTAGGTCTCGGTTTATGGCTTTGTCCCCTGTTATGTGTCTTGTGATTTTTAAGGAGGAATAAAGTTTTTGGATAATTGAACTGGTGTGCGCTGGGTGTTTACTATGCTCCTTGGAGACTGGCTACAAACTGCTTTACCTAACAAAAGGAACCTAGTTACCAGGCTTCTCCAGGATCATATTGACAAGCCTATTGGTTTTTACACTTTGAAAAATTTTCATCCAACAATTTTTCTAAATTGACTACCAAGATATCAACAACTGAACACAACATTTACAATCAATAATAAAAATAAAAGCAAAAACACATAATTAACCAGTTTTATCTCACAAAGAAGGTTCTGATTTACGGTTTGACAGCGTGATTAAACACATGTAGAAACAAAACTTTCAAATAATGTAACTTACTATTCAATGTACAACCATCAATAAATACCACTGTAATAAGATATACTATGATGCAAATAAATTATAGATGTAGTCATACGTGTGTCGGTGATAGCGGTCACCAAAGAAGATTACGCTCTGCAACAGGAAGAATGTGCAGAATTAATTAATGCTGCCTAAAGAGACGTGTGATGGGAACTTTTCTAACCTGCCTACACAAAAAAAAAGAAGGGATTTATATCCCAATAAACTCATTTTAGATAGTATCAAAATAAAATATCTTCTAAAAAATGGGATTTATAATTTCCTAGGAATTATTGTAGGTTTTATTGATAGGCAGTACATTTTATAGCCATGAAGTGAAAATTCACATTGAAGGAAACAGCTCATCACAGAGACCAATTTAAGAAGTCAAAGCGGTCTAGGAATTTTATATATAGCATTCCAATGAAGCAGCATATTTCATTTATGTTCAAGTTGGCTCCTAAGTTCAATACATGCACACCTGTACAACATAGCATTCAGTAGGATGACAAATCATGTATTAAAAAAAAAAAAGAAAAAAAAAAAAAATTGCTTACTATGGAATCCGAGTTCAGGATTTGTCTCATGAAGTCCAGGAATAAAGATGCCAGCTCACCAGTGTCTTTTCCAAAGCCACAAGAAATGCGTTTCAATAGGATGTGCAATGCATTGCTGTGTCGCCGGATAGAACTATGGAGAGGGTAAAACATGGTTAAATCCTTTGTCCTGTGAAGATGTAGAATGCATGTTATGGGAGCATCCGAATGCATCATTCAAGATCATAAAATATTGATATACAAAAAAATAAGAACCTAATTTAGAGATATACATATATTCCATGTGAAACTTGACCCTTGGAATCTTGAAGCAAATTTTCCCTACCAATGCCCTGCCAACTTTGAGCATTTTGCAAACTCTAGCTTTAAGTCATCTGTCCTCAAAAATTTATTTTTTTATATTTATAAATCTTTACGGAGGAATCATGCTTTCACGTAAAAACAAAGGTAATATAATCGTTGACAAAGATCAGTCAGGTGAGCATTATTCTGAAATTTAGCGTTAATCATACATGCCACAAAAACACACATAAAGAAAGCAAAAAAAAAAAGAACATACAAAAAACGAACAACTGCTATTGTAAGGGAATTGAGCATTGGACCAATAACAGAGCCTGAATCACTGAGTCTGATTAGCTAGTAAATAAGAACATCGAGCATGAGAGGGCGACAGGGATAAATGTTTAGATTAAGGCTAATAGACAGGGACCTGAATCCACAGATCATACATTGTTCGAGAGCATAAACCATGGAAACCATATTTTAGTATATTTCTCTAACATTGGAGGAGTTTTGTTGTAAAAGTATCTTTCTGAAGATGCCTGATAAGATATTTGAGACAAAATCGCAGACCACTTAGGAAGTAACTGTTTTCCCCAGTACCTAGCCATGCCGATTTTAATTGCTAGAAAAATATTACTGTATAGATAATGGGATAAATGATCTTCAGAAGGAAAATCTATATGAAAAAGAAAGGTGTGAGATGGTAGTTCATACGAATCATCAAGCAGTTTTCTCAAGATTCCCATTAGTTTTATTTTGATATCCTTCAGTGAGTCACACTCCCACCAAATATGATATTGAGTGCCAATTCCATTATTACAACGCCAACAAACATTAGTATGTACATGGGCAAATTTGTTTAACTGATCTGGAATAAGATACCAACGATGAGTTACTTTATAATATTGTTCCTGAACACTGATGCAATGGGTAGCTTTTCTGGTAATTTGCCAGGCTTTTAACCAAGCATGCATATGTAGTGAAATTATACCTTCCTGTTCCCATTTATGTATATACACTGCTCAAAAAAATAAAGGGAACACAAAATTAACACATCCTAGATCTGAATGAATTATTGTCTTGCATTAGAAGGAACCCAGGGCCAATCGCACCAGCATATGGTCTCACAAGGGGCCTGAGGATCTCATCTCGGTACCTAATGGCAGTCAGGCTACCTCTGGCAAGCACATGGAGGGCTGTGCGGCCCCCCAAAGAAATGCCACCCCACACCGTTACTGACCCACTGCCAAACCGGTAATGCTGGAGGATGTTGCAGGCAGCAAAACGTTCTCAACGGCGTCTCCAGACTCTGTCACGTCTGTCACATGTGCTCAGTGTGAACCTGCTTTCACCTGTGAAGAGCAGAAGGCGCCAGTGGCGAATTTGCCAATCTTGGTGTTCTCTGGCAAATGCCAAACGTCCTGCATGGTGTTGGGCTGTAAGCACAACCCCCAGCTGTGGACGTCGGGCCCTCATACCACCATGGAGTCTGTTTCTGACCGTTTGAGCAGACACATGCACATTTATGGCCTGCTGGAGGTCATTTTGCAGGGCTTTGGTAGTGCTCCTCCTTACACAAAGGCGGAGGGAGCGGTCCTGCTGCTGGGTTGTTGCCCTCCTATGGCCTCCTCCACGTCTCCTGATGTACTCGCCTGTCTCCTGGTAGCGCCTCCATGCTCTGGACACTACGCTGACAGACACCACAAACCTTCTTGCCACAGCTCACATTGATGTGCCATCCTGGATGAGCTCACTACCTGAGCCACTTGTGTGGGTTGTAGACTCCGTCTCATGCTACCACCAGAGTGAAAGCACCGCAGCATTCAAAAGTGACCAAAACATCAGCCAGGAAGCATAGGAACTGAGAAGTGGTCTGTGGTCACCACCTGCAGAACCCCTCCTTTATTGGGGGTGTCTTGCTAATTGCCTATAATTTCCACCTGTTGTCTATCCCATTTGCACAACACAAAGTGAAATTGATTGTCACAGTGGAAAAGAACCCTGCGAGTGTTATCCTCTCCCGATCTACCAAACATGAAGCCGGATTGGTCTGAATCAAATCTGGCATTATCATATTCAATCTCTGTGCTAATATTTTTGAGTAAATTTTAATATCCAGATTGATCAGGGATATAAATCTATAACTAAAAACACTCGCAGGGTCCTTGGATCGTTTTAAAATTGGAGATATAGTAGCCTCCAACATTTTGGAAGGAAAAGACAAAGTTTTGCCTATTTAGGCAAACAAACGAGTCAGTAAGGGGGAAATGACCGTTTCCAGGACTTGATAGAATATCACTGAGAACCCATCTGGACCAGGGGCTTTGCCAAATTTCAAATGAGATATTACATTAGAGATTTCAAGTATTGAAAGGGGTTTATTTAACACTTCCAGCTTTGACTTTGAAAGTTGAGGTAATTTTAAATAGTTTAAAAATGGTCTCATCTCTACCTTAACTTTTTTAACTTCAGGTAGATTAGATCCAAAACATTTTTTTATATGTTTCTTTAGCCACTTTTTGAAATGTATTTTTTTTGAGAGGACAGATGGGACTTTTGTTTGATACCAGATAAATATATATAATATATAATCGTTTAGCATGAACATTGTTTCTTCTCGGTTTGCCTAAAATATTGTAGATAACAAAGGTAATAACAAAGAGTAATACATTTGTTCTTCTGAGCATTTGCTACTATTCAGATCATTTCATGCAAGGTACTACGGGTCTACTTGTTTAGCACAAATTGTTGCCAAAGCTTGTAGTAAAGCTTGTTGTTTATTCCAATATATTTTCCCGCACATATTGCATTGTGGCAGAGTATTTTGCAAAGTAAGTATACATTAATATACTTTACAATCTCCTAGAAATCAACCACAATTTATAGACTCAAACAACAGAACAGAGCAATCACCTGAGAGTATTGCCTTGATGGTGAACCCCAGTTCATCCTGTGCACAGGACGGTGACGTTATCGCTCCTTGTTCTGTGCGATTGAGGAAGCAGGGCAGGCTTATGGCATCGTTATCAGCCACTGCCTCCCATTAATTGTTCCCCTCAAACTATGAAATGCCTATATCTGTGACATGCATATTTCTATTCATATAAGCAAAGCTAATACTGAAAGAAACTCTCTCTCTCTTTTTTTTTTTTTAATGAAAGTTGCCCTTTAAGTGACAGGACTATTTGCACTGACAGTTCTGCTCTTTAGAACATATTTTAACCCAATTACTAATAAAAACGACAGAGATGTTAAGGAGAGCCCTGCAGAGTACACAATGTGATACCCACATAACTGGCCTTTTATGGACAGCATGTATGCATTACAAGGCTGGGCTGGTACTTAAGGGGTTAAAAGCAGCATGCGACAGTTAAACACCCTAGAAGACTGAAAGCTTTGGCTCTGATATTACCACACAGGAAGAACTTGCATGCACATAAAAAAGCACAGACTATTTTATACCAACACCAGGAGCATTATTTTCTAACTTTGGCATCTTAAACAATATGACTTCTAATGGTAAACTTACTTCTTCAAATGATAAAAAACATAGTCGTGTTCTGAAAGGAACATCATGGTTCTGACACAGGTGAGTAGAGAGGTAAAACTGCTGTCACTGTTGATTAAAGCCTCTATCAAGCTGTTACAGATGGAGGGCAGGATATCTTTACTTGGTAAAGAATTGGAAAGTCGGTCCAACTCTGACACATTTAGCTCTATTGAGCTTGGTAAAATAAGAGCAATATCCTAAAATAAGACGAAAAAAAAAAGAAAAACTTTTTAAAACGGTTTAGTATGACAACTTAAAACCAATTTGTAATTGCCATTTTGGAATATGGTACCAATAATTAAATATACCACCTGAATAAAATATATGTATAAAAAAAAAAAAAAAATAACCTACTACACAGAGCCTAACATGAACATTACAAACGAACATGTGTCCAAGAAAACCGTTGTAGAAAAATATTATGCGAGTATATGCCTATAAGTTTATTTTAACGTACCTGGTCACAGAGATATTGCACAATGGATGCTACATATTCCGCACACTGTTGTTGAATGATGTTGTCGCTGGAAGATTTCATCAGAGTCAGAAGTTCCTGGAAAAGTTCAAGGTAGCGCTCATCCCCTTTGCCACCATTTATCAGGTGTAATATGGCCACTTTGCATGCTCTGTAAGAAGCCAGCGAATCGAGGAGAGCAAGCAGACGAGCGGTCTGGCCAATAAACTGCTTTTCCTTCTCCTCTGGACCACTGAAACAATAGTATGTGAAATAGAAGACAACAGCATAAAATATACATTATCTATTATAATACATAACTGACAGAGGAAGAATGTTTGAGGAGAAAAAAAAAATGAATAAAAATGATCAGATATGAAAAGAAAAAAGTCTTTCAACAAAGTTGCTACCGCACTGTGAAGCAGGATGGAGTAGCACAGCACAGAATTATCCATTATGCTCAATTGCCATGAACAATCAGAAAGTGGAGTTAAAATAAACACATTCCTAACTTGCCTATTCCATAAGAATTGAATACAATACCTTTGAAGCTCTTCTACAATCAGATCCAGTACTGTCCGCATGATCAGCAAAGCGGTAGGTGAAGCCAAATCACATAGCTGGATGCAGATGCGTCTGATAGTATGCTGCAGAGGTTGGCAAGATGTCCCAGAAATGGCCCTCACAATATCCTGCAAAAGCTTTGAATGCACATGTAGATGCATACTCCATAGTTTTCTAGTGTTTAGGGCCACTGCAACATCCCCGGGTTCAATAAGCTGAAAGGCAACACATGACCTACTCAGAGAGGTTGGCAGCTGAACTTGAAATCTTCACGTAGAGAGCAAATAATAGATGCTTGTATGAACTGTCAATTTCTACACACGTCCCATTATGTACACTTTCTCAGTATCCATAGCTACACTTAGAGCAGTAAAAACTCTGTAAAATTCAGCATATACAATGAACAAATATGAATGGTTTTAAAAATATAGAGAACAATTTTTCATATTTTTAGTAACAAAAATTGCATGACATGTCTGCTTGCATGATGGTGATTTGTATCTGTTTAATACATCAGCTTCCACATATACACAGAGTAAAAATATATATATGACAAAAGAAACAAAATGTCACATTACCTGGGTGGTTTGCATGGGAAGCGGTAGGGGCAGAAGTTCTGATAGTATGATAAGACCAGAGAAAAAGCCTTCTGGAGCTTTTAAGACAGAAGAAAGAACTTCTTTAAGCATCAAAGACCAAGTGTTATTGGCCAATGTTTCCTCTGATATAGTCAGCTGTTCATTAACGCCTTGGGTAAAAGTCAACAGGATGTCAATTATATCACCCTGGATCTTCTGCTCCTCTCCATCCAGCCTTCCAGAGAGGGGGATAGAGCACAGCAACATGTGCAAAGTAACTAGGGTAGATGGGACCCTCATGTCTTTAAACTCAAAGGAACCACCCCTCAAAAGTTCAGTTAACATGGTCTTAAGTAAAGTAAGAGTGCAACGAGCCACGGAAATGGTGATAGCTCTGTAGAGTGTGGTTCCAAGGTTGACATGAAGTCTCCATGGTTGGATAAGGATACCATTTAGCTTCTGCAGGATACGGATGAAAGTATCCAGGCCTTCAGCAGAAAAAAGTTGAATAACAGCAAGGTTCCATTTCAGGTCTTTCTGCTGGCCTGCGATGTCAAAAACAGATCGTAAATGCATTATGTAGGAGTTCTTGCAATTAGCAGATTGGAACAGTGAAAAACACAGCAGTTGTGCAGTAAGCGAAGCACATTTTAAAGACCTATATGTAGCATGACCACATTTGTTTTCAACCAAGGACATTTCAGTAACAAATAGAGAAGGCATTTACAAATTACATTGTTGGTATATATAAACTATGTGTACTGTTTAGAAGCCAAACCCCTTTAAACTCAAGAATAGACAAACAACATGTCTGATTATCAATTACCTTCAACAGGATTAGGAGGACATGCAACATAACAAAGAATTCGAAGAGCAGTCAGGAGACCAACACCTTCCGGTGTCATCAGGTTGTCCAAGTTCTACAAGAAAATAAGTAAATAGTCAGGCATAATAAAGCTCTATACATAAAAAGGAAGACAAAAAAAACAAACAGCCTGTATCACAGAACTAGAATTATAAAACAGTATTAAGAAGCCATAGCTATAAGTATTCTTGATATATAGTGATGTCCCGAACGGTTCGTGAACTGTTCGGCACGAACGGTTCGCGCGGACTCCAGTCAGCTGACACATTCCAGCCAATCAGCAGCAGACCCTCCCTCCCAGACCCTCCCACCTCCTGGACAGCTCACTAAGAATGCTGCTGATTGGCTGGAATGTGTCAGCTGACTGGAGTCCGTGGCAAACCGTTCGTGACATCACTATTGATATATGTTGTTGAATCTTTGACAAAATGCTGGATTGTAAAAAACAAATTAATTCCCTAATCTGACAGATTGCCAACTCTCCTGGCACTGACTGCAGAACTCTGTACAAGACCCATTGGCATGAAGCCTTCAAAGTTCTACCAGATGTAAATATTAGTCAATGGTTAATCACTGCGTAACAGGCTTGGAATGTAATGATATAAAAGGGTGTGCTAAGCCTCTCATTATAAAAGAGTTAATGAGCGAAAATTCTAATTTTCAGCTCAATTGAAGTTGGTTCTTTAAGAATGTATGGATTTTCCCCCCATAGAAATTACTAATGCACAGTAATAAATACATATCTGTACTGCTTTGACCTCAGAAAGAAAATGTCATACATTCATAAATACAATTTAAAAAGATATGATCTACAAATCAACTGCACACTCGCAATTTTAAAAAGTAACTTGAATTTTTTTTTAACTTTTACAGAATTGTAAACACCACGAAAACGTTTTTATTTTTACAGCATGCATATGAGAATAGGAGTCATTTAAGGCAGGACTTTGTATAAAATCTAAGAAGTCACACATATGACTGTCAATCTGAGCAAGTTACACTGCAGTTTGTTGAACAGAAAACGATAATCATGTCTTGATTAAGCTCAGTAACCTGTCTTTTAATGCTTTCATGGTGTAGCCTACGCATACCACCAGTATATTCATTAACCCTTTAAGGACTAAATGTTACACTTTAGAAAAAAGGGAGGGTTGCACTCAGTCACAAGTTATTTAACGCAGGGTGCTACTGAGCATGGGTCAGCAAACCCCAAGGAATCCGTATAAGTGAAAAAAAATCTCAGGCACTCACTGTGATCGCTTCCTTTATCAAGCTTGATAAAGACCTGGTTACAGGTCAAAACGTTGCAATAAATCTGCCTGGAAGCGATTACAGTGAGGGCCTGAGATTTTTTTTTTTCACTTAAATGTTACACTTTGTCATCTTCACAATCTGGCAACTAAATATCTTACGGTAATATGAAGTGTACTTTTGAGCTAGCTTTCACAGCTCTATGCAGTCCAGAACGGATTGGATCAATCCACTTTAGATTAGGATCTTTATAGAACAGATTGTTAAGAGAGCATCTGATCAAAGACACTCTTACCCTTTAAACTTTCCCGCATTCTCAATACCCTTCTCAAAATCTTATACACACATCCCCATCTCCATAAGGTTACCAGATCTGGACACTATTCCTTTATGCTGATCATTAGTTAGCGAGAAGCACTGCCCTATTCTATGCTAAATGTTTTTTGGGAGAACTTTCTGATGTTTCCCTTCTGCTGGGCAGTGTATATATTGTGGATTTGCTTCAGTTTCTGAATATAGGCAATCTACTACACAGAATATGAGCCAGGCTGTAAATCCCACACAGTGTGAGATTCATCTGTTGTTAGAAGGTTATACAGTAAAATAGTTAGAACGACCATGCTGGTCAAAAGTGCCAGTCACCATAAAAAACATACTCACCTGCTTTATATAATCAATCAGGCCAGGGATGCAGTTTATCTCAAATCGAATACTTTTTGATGGTTCTAACCATTTGGCAAGCTCTATTAGAAGAAAATGAGGGCACTATTTAGACAAAATTTTAATAAAGCACAATATACACACAATTCTTGTGAAGGAATTTAAAAAAATAAATAAAAAAATGTCAATTTCATTATCATGGTCATGCTATTACGTGAAACATTCAGGAACAATTAAGCAATAATTCCTTGTTCGTCTAATTACTGATTGGTGTATTTCATTTGTAACAGTATTAAAAAGCCTCAAGTGAGAAGAGAAGGGTATCCCAAAACAAATGGCTCCTTGTACAAAATAGCAGGATTAGAAAAACCCTCCAAACTTCCATTTTGATTAGACCTTAAAAAGGAACACTATAGCATTAATAACACAAATGTGCATTACTAACGTTGTAATGCCTTGCTAAACATTTAGGTCGCCTGCCTCCTCTCAAGGAGTGAAAATGTATTTTTAAATAATTTTTTATCCCTTGCCGCGCTGCAGTTTTGCCTCCTTGGATAAGGTAATCAAGATCTACGATCTCTGCCAATCAAATGCTTTCTGTAGGAAACCATTAGGAGGCAAGTGCGCAAAATGCCACACTGCAAAGGTTTACTCTGCTAGTTCTGTGTAAGTGCCTCTAGTGACTAAGCATGAGGCATTTAAAAACTACAATGTAAACAAATGTAGTGTTAATACTACAGGGACATGACACCAAGACCACTTCACCGCAATTAAGTGGTCTGGTGCCTATAATGTCCCGTTAAGATTTCCTTACAACTCTTGGCTTAGTAAATAAAACCAACAAGATTTTAATCGTGAATAGGTCTATATTTATTTCTTTATTACTAGGCTACAAGCTTATCCTTAACATCTGCAACATGGCTGCCAGGTGCCTACACAGGCCATGAGATATTCTGAGTAATTTCTAAAAACATAAGCATATGAAAGCCAACACCTACCTTGCAGTTTTATATTATTTTCATCTGCCTTGCAAAGCTTCAGAAGAGAGGCAGAATGACTTTCCAATGTCTGTACATCATTAGAAGTCTGGACCACCAGCAGTACAAGCAGACAGGCATAGTTATAGGCAACAGACTTCTTGGATTTTGTATCTCTGGAAAAAGAAGGTTAATTTGCTAAATATACATATAAATATATATTTTACACTATATGTGGAGCTGTAACAATCACAGATCCTCACAGATAGATAGCAAAAGATAACTATTGGCTGTGGTTTTATTAATTGCATATTTAACACATCATTTTGGCTGTGAGGTCTGGAGGTTACACTTAAAATGTAATAGACCGAGTATCTCTTTATACCTATCTAGATATATATTACTTGTTCCAAGAAATACAATAGTGTAGGAGGAAAATCTCTCCAATGCATTGCAGGCTGTAAAAAGCAAATAAACATTAGACTGGATTATTTACCCAAGAGCTTCCTTAGAGCAAAACTCCATGAGAGTTATGAGACACTGCAGGTTCTTCTCAAGGCTAAAGACATGGGCAACAGCGGACCTCCCGATGGGGTTGAAGCTGATGAGGTAAAGGTTGTGCAGGATTCCCAGGAGATTGGCATGGTCAGCCTCTTCACTGGCTTCACAGTGCTGGAAATGGTGAAAGAGCTCAGAGATGTACTGCAGAGCCTGCGTGGCATGCAGGAGCCAAAGAGCACATGGGTCCTCACTACTTGCATCTGATTGTATATTCTCCTCTTGGTCCTGCTCAGAGGCCTGGCAAAGTGCTCTGGCTATAAGGTTGGTTGACTCATTCTCAAATAATAGGAAAAGAAGACCTTTCTGTGACTGTGTCAGAAACCGGAGTATTTCCCTAAGGGCGTTTACCACTCCAGGATGACAACTAGTTGCAGGAAGAGAGAGGAACAATGTGGCAGACTCCATAAACTGCTGGCTGTGAAGGTACCTGGGAGGAGAGAAGCACACAATACATGGGATCTACAACTACAAAAAAAATATATATATTTTTTTATTAAAGGAGCACTATAGTCAAACTATAAAAGCAAGAAAGACAGGTCCTCTAGCCTTCTTTGTTGCCATTAAAAAAAATCAATTTGAGTGCTTTTTATCATTAAAACTTACCTCTGTTCCAGGGCCGAGATCCTCGGCAAGAAACGTCTCATTTTTCGAGAAGCATCACACTAATTGTAAATAAATATTGTAACCACACACACACACAAACACTATCAATATCTATCCATCTCTATCTATTCATGCATCCATCTACCGAAAATTCAGGATTCCCTTGGCCGAAAACGAATTTTTTCCCCAAATGCAATAGATCAATCTGGAAGGTAGACAAGGGGTTAAAACATAAAATACGTTGGAGGTAGCCAGGGGAAACTGGAGGTAAGACCAAAGACTTGTACCTCTGGCTACCTCCAATATATTTTATGTTTTAACCTCTCTACCTTCCAGATTAATCTCTTGTCTGTATACGAGGGGACAGTTTCTGTGCTAAAAACAAGCCTTTTTAATAAAGCTCACGTACTTACGTTTTTAAGCACTACTTTGGAGGTCTACGGATATTTACAGCTGTAACTTTGTAGAGGAGTATCCTTATAAGGCTAGTACTTATTTATTTTTTGCTCTTCAGGTATATGTGTTCTGTGATCATACTGTCTAGAGTGGATTATCAGTCACAGACAGACACATATTACAGGCTAATTTTGCCCACTCCTATCTCCTGGAAGCATTTCAGGTATGCTAGGTTCAGATTGTCCGCTCTAGTATTTCCGGGTCTGAGCGTAAAGATGGTGGCAGTCAGCGAGCAGTGGCCGGACCAGGGATAGAAAAGGAGAAGCGCCTGGAGCTGGTACTCCAGGGTCCGGCATGTGGAGCCCAGCTCCCCGCGGCTTTCTTCACCCTCTCCCTCAACTACCTGGAGGTGAGTGGGTGCTTGAAGCTGCCGGAGCTGTCAGACAGTCTGGGCCTCCTCTCCCACGTGCAGAGCCTGGTGCTGTGCCGCAATAAGCTGCAGAGCATCCCCCCGGCTCCCGGCAAGCTGAAGGCCCTGAGGGTGTTGAATCTGTCCGGGAATGAGCAGGAGGAGCTGCCAGCGGAGATCACTCCGCTGTCTAAATTCTGCACCCTGAATGTAAGCTGTAACCGGCTGTGGGGCATTGTGCGCTACTAACCAGGCACAATAAGGGTTGAATTTTCGGCAACCGAAATTTCGGTGCATCCATAATCTCTATCTATCCATCTATCCGACTGACACACACACACACACACATTCTCAGCCACTCTCTCACACACTTGCGCTCTCACACTCACTTTTAAAATAAGTGTACTTATGGTTTGGATCCTCCTGCTGTGTCTCCGTCTCCTGCCTGTAAGCCCGAGCCGATGATGTGTGCAGGAGATTTTTATCTCGCACACTGTCAGCTCTGACTGCTGACAGGCTCCGCGTTCACTACAGGACACAGGAGGCGCATTCACAGTGCCTCATGTGTCCCGATAGCAAGTTTGATTTCTTCAGCTTAGCATGAAGACGTCAAAACGTGAGTCCTGCACATCAGGCAGGACTTGACTCGGAAGTCCCTCTGGTGGCCGTCTGAGTGACTGCCACTGGAGGTGTTCATAGGTTCTAACGTAAACACTGTATGTTCTCTGAATGCCAAAGCTACCTTTCTTTAATCGATTCCTCTTTTCTTCTTCTGTCAGGATCTGTTCATTTCTTCCTGTCTGCTCTAGTAATCCTTAAACCATAAGACAAAGTAGGTACTACTTTGTCTTATGAAGGTTTCCTACGCTTGACCAGCTGACTAGCATAGTATGCTTCATTTCCGGTGGTCAAAGCGATTTTCTCACTAGTCTCACCTTTCCTTCGTGTTCCCGCGAAGCCTCCTTTCACTTTTCCTAAGCGTCCTGTCACTTAGACAGAATGCCAGCGAAAATACCGAATTTCATCAACAGAATATGAACAGTTTCTCCAATCGCGTTAGGACGCAATTCGGGACTTTGTTCGGATCGGAATTTCATTTGAATTAATGAAACTCCGATCCTATTCGTGCCACGGCTGCATCTTGCATCCGCTTAGTAGATAGCTCCCTAATTCCCACGGTATCAGGGAGCCATCTACCAAAACACTGAAATACCTAAATAGGTCTTTCAGCCAAACTTATTAATACTAAGTAAAGATTACTTATTATTAGTAAATTCTGCCACTACTCACTATTTCGTGAGTAGGGGCATGTCTACTAAACCGTGAACAGCCTCTTTTTTTAGCGTCGGGTTTTTGTTTTTTTGCGCTTGGTTTTTTAATTTTATTTTCAAAGTACGACGGGTATTATGGATTTAATTTAGGTCCCCCACCCACCGCTCAGGTGTGGGGGCCGAGGGGGAAGGACAATAGGTGCCCCCCTTTTTGTTATTTAGGGTCCTCACCTGCCGCTCAGGGGTGTGGGGGCGAGGGGGGAAGACAATAGGTCCCCCCTATTGTTATTTAGGGGCCCCATCCGTCTCTGGTAGGGGCCAGCAATAGTGACAGGATGTTCGGGAAAAGTGAAAGGAGGCTTCACGGAGGAAAAGTGAGAATTGTGGGGAAATTGCTTTGAGCACCGGAAATGAAGCACACTTTGTTCCTCCACTGGTCAAATGTAGGAAACCTCCATAAGACAAAGTAGTCCCTACTTTGTCCTATGTTTTAATGAAAACTCGAGCAGACAGGAAGAAATTTAGAACAGATCCTGACAGAGGAAGAGAAGAGGAATCGATTAAAGAAAGGTAAGTTCGGCATAAAAGTGCCGCTTTAAGGTCAAAATCAGGCAGTGCACTAAATAGCGAGGATCTCTGGAACTAAAACATCTAAATTGTGCATTTCACCAGGCACTGCCAATCTTACATCAAAAAGAGATTGAAAAACACCTGATATTTTTAATTCAGCTATTTTGGCCTTTGATTTTCAAACACCTTTTTAGTTCTCTAAAATCCCTGTTTCTTTTTAATAAACCCTTAAAGGGACACTGTAGTCACTATAAGCATTTCATCTCTTTGAATTGGCTATAGTGCCTGGAATGCCCTGGCAATGTCCCTCCATTCAGTGTTGCACCATGTTCGTGCAGTATGCCACAAAATAAGAGTCCCTGGTCACCCACAGTCCGGCCCCTTCAGTATGTGTAGCTAAGGCAGAGATTACACACTTCCTTGTTGTCATACCGATTCATACCGTCAGTTGGAACTCTGACAGGCTTAAAGCAGTCAGCTGACACTCTCAGCCAATCACAGCTGCCTATTGCTGCTCAAGCTAATACTTCCTTATTAGCCAAAGCAGCACAGAGGGGATGGATTGCCGGGTACTCTTGTTTAGCATTAAAACATTAAAAGTTTAAAAACTGTTAAATGCTTAAAGAAATGATGGTACCAGAGGACTCCAGACACTATAACCAGTTTAATGAGATGAAGCAGATACAGTGCCTACGGTGTCCCTTTAAAATGTAACCTTTGAGTAACAAATTCAAACTTGCCTGTAGTCACCTTGATAACACAGATATTGAGACAAATTAATTTTCTGTACTTTTTAACCTGAGACTTTATGCCTTTACAAAAACAAATATATTCTTCTGGCTGAGAAACAGCTGCCACTGTCAAATCCAGAGAGCTCTCGCTTTTTTTTTTTTATTGTAACAGAAAATAGTGGGCCTATTATGTGAAAATTACAGTTGTTTGGGACAGAGTAGAGTATGGATGTTTCCTGAAAGGTATAACAAAAAAAAATTAGAGGTCTGGTGGGTCCAAGACATGCTCACTATAGGGTTAATTTCTAATCTCCTGGACTAAATTTGTACTCGTCAATGGCTAGGGGAAATTGTGAGTCCTGATGAAATTACAAATCACGTTACCATCAAGCATATTTCTTGATCTTTAACTGTATTTAAAGCAGACAAATAAATGTGTGTGATGCTCTTAAATACTTGTGCACATCAGAATCTAGAGGTAAACTGAATCCTTAGAATAACTTATTGAAAACATCATTGGACTTAAAGGACCATTCCAGGCAGCATAACAACTTCATCAGAATGTCGCTGTTATAATGCAAGGAGGTCCCAGTCATGTCAACTCTGCCTCCGAACGTCCACTAAATGTTGGAGGCTTTAATCAGGATGCTTTGGAAGTGCTTTCGCCTATGGTCAGAAAGCATCAGCTGATGCTCTCAGCCTATCAGCAGCTCCCTAATTAGAAAAGAGAGAGTGAAAAAAGGTAGACATAGGTGCTTGGGACCTCCCTGCACCAAAACAACTTAATTCCGATAAAGTTGTTATGGTGCCCATAATGTCCCATTAAAGGACCACTATAGTGCCAGGAAAACAAAGTTGTTTTCCTGGCACTATAGTGTTAATAGGTCCCTCCCAGCCTCATGGCCCCCCTCCAGCCGGGCTAAAGGGGGAGGAAGGGGTTAAAATCTTACCTTTCTCCAGCGCCGGGCTCTCTCGACACTCAGGAATCTCCTCCTCTTTCCGACGTCATCGGCTGAATGCGCATGCACGGCAAGAGCTCAATGCTTTCCTATGGACGCTGGTGTCTTCTCACTGTGAAAATCACAGTGAGAAGCGCGGAAGTGCCTCTAGCAGCGGTCAATGAGACAGCCACTAGAGGCTGGATTAACCCTAATGTAAACATAGCAGTTTCTCTGAAACCCCTATGTTTACAGCAGGCAGGGTTAATCCTAGATGGACCTGGCACCCAGACCACTTCATTAAGTTGAAGTGGTCTGGGTGCCTATAGTGGTCCTTCAAGGGCAAAGAGGAATTAAAAAAAAAAATAAAAAAAAATTACTCTTCCAGAATTAGGGGGGGGGGGGGGGGAGGAGGGGCGAATACATGTTTAAACCTACCTCTGTGAATACCTATAGGTTTACTATGCAGTGATTTGCCATGAATTTTTGAAGAGACAAAATTTGCAGGACTTCTTACCGAAACAAGATAGGATAGGGATCGTCTCTTTCAGATGGTCCGGTAATCCGAGCACTTGTTGGAAAGGATTTTACAGGTGGCTGAATCATGGCATGAGGAGCAGTTTCCAGAAGATGTAAAATTTCATTAAGAAAGCCAACCAGTTTTTCCAAGTCTCCTTCACTTATATTAGAGGCCTCTAGAAAATTATCCATATCTATTTGAGCCTCAGCATCATGGTCTAGGACAGATTCTGTGTCTTCGGAGCTGGGAAGAGGCAGTGTGCTATCAGCAAGTTGGTTTCCAGTTTTCTTCACGTCAGAAATGATTTCATAGAAGTGGCATTTCTGAATAACAGCAGAGCAGGCAGTGAACACCCTCACAGTTTGATCCAGTAAAATGAGTTCTAACAGTTTCTGGTAACCACTCTTCCCTTGCACAGAAGGATTTTTTAAAAAGGCTTCCATTCCCTCAGTTGTACTGATGAGGCTGTCCAGTGATTTAAAAGCATTCAGCTTTAAAGAGGAGGATACATGCTCAGCAAAAAGCAAATTATACAGTTTGCTTATGATGTCTCCATTTAGAAGAAATTCTACAGCTCGGGTACCACACTCTGCTAAAGAGGATACCAACTTGGTGCCTGCTTTGAGTTGTCGGACATTTAAGGCTATGGGCTGCTGTAGAGCTAGCTGCAAGTCCAGCGCTTGCATTGCCCAATCAACTAACTGACTAAGATGATCGCGTCCAGGTTCTTTAAGTTGCAAATAACTCAATCCCTTCACAATAAGACTGGGTACCTCTTCTAAAGCAGTAACCCATTTTGCTCCTCTGTCATCTTGATACAGTTCAAGAAGTTGTGTGAGCTTAACAGAAGTTTCTGCAACCTCAGGGCTTTCCTTTTCTAGATCTTGCTCCTGAAGCCTGTAGAGCTCATTCTCAAAAGCAGTCCTGTATGGACAGCTAAAGTACAGTAACGGGCCCAAATCCCTATCATAAGGGTCATAGGCCATGGTGGGCACAGAGGCTAAATCCTCAGGAGTGTAATCAATGTCAAAGCTTGGGTACTTAAATGCTTCACGCTCAAAGTCTGCAATCACATCCTCATCGCTTGAGATCAGTTCATAGCCATCATCTCCTAACAGAGAAAACATGATTAGAAGACATCAAATGAAGGTGTACAAATGCTTATTAAAGATAAGAGCTTTAAGAGAAAAGAACAGGAGAATTTTCTGTGAATTAAAGGAGCAAAGCACAACAGAGTACATTAAATACTTGATCAAACACCATATTCTAACACGTTAAAAAACAGGGAAGACAAACGGAATCTGCAGAAATATTTAGAGTGGAGGGATACGCTATATGACAACGTCACCATCTGGTAGGTATATATTTATAGGGTCATTCCAACCACCATGACCACTTCTGCTTTTAGAATTGGTCATGGTAGTAGGAGTCAGTATGTGCAGCATTTCTGCACATACTGTGATACCTGTACTTTTGTGCCAAGCGCTAGTTACACCCCTTGTCTTTGAATGAAAATAGTTATTTGCGCACAATACCAAATCCCTATGCACATTTAAATAACTGGAGGTTTTAGTATCACTCCAGGGGACACAGGTGTAAACTCACCTGTCACATCAAGGCAAACCTCTAAGGCGAGTCCTACACTAACAATTCACCTTGCTTTTGTATTACACAGCCATGTTACATGCTACTGCCTACCCCATGTGTTCCCTATTAAGAACTAATAAGTATGAGTTTAGAATAATACCCCTTTATATTTCATTAAAGATTTTTAACCAAGCCGAAAGAAGCAGGGTGAATTATTAGAGCAGGACTCACCTAAGAGGTTTGCCTTGACGTGGCAGGTGAGCTTACACTCAAAGTGTCCACTGAAGTGATACTAAAAACCTCCAGTTATTTAAATGTTCATAGGGATTCAGGATAGTGCACAAATAACTATTTGCTTTTGTTTTTATTGTATGTATTGGAGCTGATGTGTACTATAGTCGTTGCCACCCATGAGTAGTGAGAGTTTGAGCACAGGAGTTATTTTTGTATATTTGTTTTGCGTTTCTTCCCTGCAATTGTTTTTTTCTCCCCTCTCTCACTGCATTCAGACCTCCCTGCCTCCTGAAACTACGAATATTGTTATTGTTTTTTTTGTTTTGTTTTTTTAAATTAAAATTCCCCCTTTCCTTTGTTCTACAAACCAGCAAAAAAGACCAATAAATCAAAGGAAAAGATGAAGGGGAGTGCTCAGGTGTAAAGGTCAAATAGCAAAAGAGAGCATGGGAAGATCAGACTTAAATTTTAAGAAATACTGATAAAAAGTAAATGACAAAAATCACTCAAAAATAAACAGAATCCAAAACTATTACAATTGTAAACCAAGAAAAATAAGATATATACAGTCTTAGTGAATATAAATGAGGTATATACAGGTTGTGCTAGATAAAGTAGAAAGATAACAGGCTGTACAAAAGAAAGGGAGATATAGCCTGAAAACTTGGACCATAAAGACAGTAAGTTGGAGAGGCTACCAAATGTCTATTACCACTGTACAGCCTGCTTTGAGTAAAGTATTCAGTAGTAATTGTAGCAATAAAGCTGACAGTGTAGCTGTCAGTAATAACCTGGAGAATCGCAACAATGTTGCTATGCTTAGAGCCTGGAAACGGATACTTTACGCAAAGCTTTTGACAATTTTACAGCCCCATAGGCTGTACAGTGGTAATACATATTTGATAGCATCTCTTACTTTATCTCCCTTTCTTTTGTACAGCCTATTATAATTCTACTTTATGTAGCAGAACATGTAAATACCTCATTTATTTTCACTAAGACTGTATTATACCTTAATTTTTCATAGTTTACAGTTGTAAAATTTTTGACACTTTTTTGCTGTATTTGCAGTCCAATCAAATGCCTTTAACTGAACTGTGTGAAGCCCTGGTGGGATTGAATAGAGGCGGGATCTATGCTCGGTGCCCGATTCCAGGTGAGTAAAACACCCTCTTTTATTGCAAACGAAGGGAGTGTTGGGACACCTAATAAACAGTGCCTAATAGGGCATTATATAGAGAGAAATGCATTTTATAAGAATATAAATAAAATAAATTTTAAGAAAACGTGTGGAGTAACCCTTTAATCTAGACATTATTTAACAAATGTATGAATAAAATAAGACATCTGGATATCGCCTACTCCAATTAAAAGATGCCCACTAAAATGGAGAAGATGTGTGTGCCTAACCCACAGCCAAATTAGCATATGCGGCATGCGTGGGCATTTTTTTGAAGCACATATGTGCATGAGTTATATTTATAGTATTTGCATTAACATGCCAATTACTTGAGGGGGAAAAAATACATTCTAACCAATACACACCATGGCTCACCATGTATAGATTCTGTCCAGAAGGAATAGTGCAGTGAAATACTGACCTTGTGCTGTAGAGTACTCTATTAGCAGCAGAGATCATTATTTGAAGAATAGATTAATTTAGCTTATATGAAACTATGAGCTGCAAATGGGTGTACCTTAACAGCATCTCATCAAGGACCTGCACTGAGCATGTGCAAATACACTGGAGATTAAAACTACATTTACAAAGTCAGACAGTGACCAATTGACCACCTCAATATTTGGGATTCATTTCAAGGCAATAAAATAGACATGGAGTTGCAAAACGCACAGAAATTATACATGTGATGCAGAGATAAAGTATTACAGGAAAGAACCATATATTAGTGTTATTAGGAGACATTTATCAAGGCAAAACTGGGCGCTATTCTGGGGCAAAGCACTAAATAAGCAGCAGACACCTTGGACTCTAATAGGATGGCTCAATATTTAAGAGCAAAAAAAAAAAAAAAAAACACATGGTATGCCTTGATAAATCTCCCCATTAAGTCTAGAAGGTGGCTTATGGGAAGAGTGGTATAAGTAGAAGATGCATGGAATATGCCTTGAGTTCATGGAAAAAAATATATAGGGATAAAAAAAAAATAAAAAAAATAAAAAAAATAAATAAAAATTCCTTGGTTATTTTTTAAACATTCTGACATCATAAAACAAATAAAAGGTGGACACTTCACCAAATCCTCCAGTGAACTCACACATAACTCACCATACATTTTCACAGCGGGCACTTGAAGGAGTGGCCTCTTTTGCATTTTAGGGGAATCTATCACCAACGAGGGAGAAAAAAAAAGTCTGCAAATAAGCGGCAGTACGTGGCCTCTGCACATGGCAGCCACTGATAAGGATGCCTCATACCAGCAGCATGGCTCCAGTATCATATGATAATTACACATTTACAGCAGTGGGGATGGAGTTGGCAGACAAATATTGATGGTATATACAAGTATTTTCTCACAGAGATGAAAAGATGTCACCAATTACCTTCAATTTCCTCATCGTCTCCCTCATCTTCATCATCTTCATCAGCTATACTGTCCTCAGTCTGCCCATCTTCATCTTCTTCATCCTCTTCTTCTTCCTCTGCATTAAGGTCATCATTGTCGTCGTCTTCATCATCATCATCATCTTCATCAACGTCATCTTGACCATCATCATCTTCGTCATCATCAACATCATCATCAGAGTAGGTGCCATCAGGGTGAATGGACACTCGATCAGGAGATATGGGTTCAAAGTAGCCTTCTCTCTGTTCTCCATCATCTTCCTTATCACCACCTAACAGAACAGATACAAATATATTACTCACAGAACTAGAGTTTGTAATCAAAAGCATGTGTTAATTTCTCTGTCCTAAACTGTAATTCAAAATGTAATGTGCTTAAAAAATTTCAGGCAGACAAAATGATTTACAGGTGATGTAATTTGCTATTTTTAAAGAGTACAAGTAAAAATATGCACTAGACATGCTGCAGGTAAATGTTAGAGAATAGAGAAAAAACCCTACGTTAGGGGTGTTTGACCATTTGTGTACCCCATTAAATAAGTGGAGCAGACAGATTGTGCTATAAATTTTTAAAGGAACATTCAAAGCACCTTAGCTGCTTCAGCTTACTGTAGTGGCTTTGATGCAAGGACCCTGTGCCTGAACTCTCACCGTATACATCAATGCGGTTTTCATAATATTTGCATACATGTTTGGAGTCTTAAAAAGATACCCTAGGCACCATAAATCACTTCAACTAATAAAAGTGGTTATGGTGCTTGGAGACAACTGATACAGTCCCATTGTTTGTCATTAAACGGTTTTCGTACACTGAATGAGGGCCCTAGCTGTATGGTTAAAAGGATCTCTTGGCACAAGTTAAGCACTTTAGCTTGCTCTTTTATCATTTTACAAAAGTGCAGATTTAAATAGAAAGTGGCACCTTTTAGGGATCGACCGATATTGATTTTTTTAGAGCCGATACCGATATTCTGTGAACTTTCAGGCCGAAAGCCGATATAATTTGCCGATATTCTGTACATTTACCATTTTGGAAAATAAAAACTATTTCTAAAGGTAAATGCACAAAATATACATGCCACGTGTAGTGGATGCAGTGTGACAGGGGAGCTGTGTGTGTTTGTGTAGTGTGTGTGTTTGTGTAGTGTGTGTGTTATGGATGCAGTGTGTGTTTGTGTAGTGTGTGTGGAGGATGCAATGTGTGTTTGTGTAGTGGATGCAGTGTGTATTTGTCTAGTGTGTGTAGTGGATGCAGTGTGTATTTGTCTAGTGTGTGTAGTGGATGCAGTGTGTATTAGTGTAGTGTGTATATAATGAAAGCAGAGTGTTTGTGTAGTGTGTGGGTAGTGTGCGTAAAGTGAATGCTGTATATACTAAATGCAAAGTGTGTGTGTATATAATGAATGCAGAGTGTGTGTGTATTTGTGTAGTGTGTGTATAGTGAATGTAGTGTGTTTATATAATGCAGAGTGTGTGTGTTTGTATAGTGTGTGTATATAATGCAGTGTGTTTGTGTAGTGTGCATTATATACACACACACTATGCAAACACACTGCATTATATACACACACTACACAAACACACTGCACAAACACACACTGAATTATATAAATACACTACATTATATACACACACTGCACAAACACACACTGAATTATATAAACACACTACATTATATACACAGTGTGTTTGTATAGTGTGTGTATATAATGCAGTGTGTTTGTATAGTGTGTGTATATAATGCAGTGTATTTGTGTGCATTGTATATAATGCAGTGTATTTGTGTGCATTGTATACACACACACACACTGCATTATATACACAGTGTGTTTGTGTAGTGTATATAATGGAGTGTGTGAGGGGGCATTTTTTATTAAATTATTTTTTTTTTTATATTTAAATTAATTATGATTTATTTTTGTTGTCCCCCCTCCCTGCTTGTTGCCTGGCCAGGGAGGGGGGATATGACAGTCCCTGGTGGTCCAGTGGCATTGGCTGAGCTTTGGGGGGGTTACTCCCCTCCCCAGCTCCTCCAGCTCCCCAGTGTAACTCTCGCGGCCAGCGTGTCGCACGGAGCGTTGCCATGGTGATCCATGGCAACGCTCTGACGGCCGCAGGTCTCGCGAGAGTTACACTGGGGAGCTGGAGGAGCTGCTGGGAGGTGAGTAAGCGCTTGATGCCCGCTCCCCCCAGGCTTGTAATGAGCCCGGCGGTCCTAGGAGGTATTATAGGCAATATCGGTATCTGAATTGGCCGATACCGATATTGCCGAAAATACAGAATATCGGCCGATTATATCGGTAAAACCGATAATCACTCGATCCCTAGCACCTTTATAAACAAACATTGTTACACCCACTTAGCAGTCAGGCAATTGGCCCTGTTACTTCCTGGTTGTTTACATTTGAGCTAAACTTAAGGGGCAGACCATTCTCTAGAGCACCTGCCTTGCAAAGACTTCTCATTGTGCTGCATTGGGAAGTCTGTGATTGGACAGCCACAGAAAGTCTGGGTTGTGGAAGAAGAGGGGTGAGCTTGCAAGAGACATGCAGCTCTTGCAAGTTGGTTTTAGATATTCCCTCAATATATAAAAATAAAAAATATGCATAATGGAGTATATCTACTAAATAGTGATTTCTCATTTATTGTATTTGGGCAGTAGAGTGTCCCTTTAAGACAAAGGGAAAGTCCACATAAGCAATACAAATCCATACAAGTGACAGGTGGTAGCAATAGGCTAGGAGTGTTTAGCTGATCAGTGCTGCTCAGGTTAACGTGTAAGCATCAGCCAAAGCAGCAGAGGGAGACAGGGTGAATGAAACCAAGAGAACCTCATGCAAAGTCAAAGCATTTCAGAACACTGAACAATAGGAAGGAGCCAGAGGACTCCAGGCACCCTAATGGACTTAAATAAGATATGAGACAACTTTTAATTGTGCCTAGAATGTCCCTTTAACTCTGCCTACTGGCTCACCACTGGCTATAACCGTACAGATCAAGAAGAGCAAATCAGTCTTTTACACACGCAGAATTGCTATGACTGCAGACATTGCAAGCAAGACTGCTAAACACTGTGCGTACTGTGTGAAAGTGTACACTTATTTGAACAAATGAGGATGTACAGGAGTTACTTCAAAAATGTATGCAGATAATACAAATAAATAAAATGTTTTCATAAAAGAGAAATCAGTATAATTGCATTCAGACAACATGCTTAAAGGAACACTGTAACATTAAAAATATGTGTTTCTTTTCTAGAGTATCCCTAGTGTTCCTTAGATACAGACCCCTCGTAAGAAGAAAGAGGAAAAAAATCCACACCAAACACACACACTGGGCTATAAAAACTTACCATCCATTACCATAAGTTGCCACTCTGCCCTCTGTGGGATTCTAATGCTTCTCATAGAGTAGCAGTGAATCCAACGCTTCTCTAAGCATAACCGCATACCGCATCTTCATGCTGAGAGTGATTATGCTGAATATGAAAACTTTCAAAAGGTGAAGGTCTTAAGGAGAATCTGCCTTTAGTGGCTTTCCAGTCACTAAGAGTATTCTCAGACTAATGTAAATACTGCAGTTTTTCAGAAATGGAGATGTTTTACATTGTCTGAGTAAAGGGACAGCATCCATGTACAAAAAGCACTACATTAATATGTAATGGATTTGGTGATTTGACTGTCCATTTGAACCAGATTCTTGCTGAATAAACTGTTTCAAAACATGAGGAGAAAAAAAATATATAAATGACAACTAAAATATTTACACATTTCATTGAGTAAATAAATTATGCTGTCAGATGAGTCCACTCACTGTACTGTACTTTTTCACACCACAAAGTCACAGACGGAGCAGGGATATTATGTAGCACGTCAGCATGCTCTAAAACCAATATTAATAAAAACCTATTTAAACATGTCGAGGCGTTACAACCATCTACAAACAATTTACAAGAGTTTGATGTTAAGGAATTACTTGATCAAATGTGTAATTATAGTGAAAAACACCTGAAACTGGCATAGGCTCGTCGTCATCATCATCGTCATCAGGTGGTGGCGGCCCAGGGGGAGTGCGAGGCCCCCGTGGCTGAGGCCTAGGTGGACTACCATTGAATTGATCTTCTTTGTCTTCTTCAACTGGAAAAAAGGAGTAAAATAAAGGTAATCCAGTCAGATAATAATGTATCCAAGCTGGCCTTTACAGTACACCTGTCATGCAAATACTACATGGTGTCACCTTACAGACAATATCACTTCATCTATACATTATGCTATCCAAATGGCTAGCAAATGCTTAAAGGGACACTATAGTCACTAAAACAACTTTAGCTTAATGAAGCAGTTTTGGTGAATAGAACATGCCCCTGCAGTCTCACTGATCAATTCTCTGCCATTCAGGAGTTAAATCAGTTTTGCTTATGTTTATGCAGCCATAGCCACACCTCCCCTGGCTGTGATTGACACAGCCTGCATGAAAACAAAATGGTTTCATTTTCAATCAGATCAGAGCAGGAGATAAGGAATTCTAAATTAAACAGAATTTGCAATAAAGGAAGTATAAACATTAAATGACTTTACAGAAAGTGTTTAGGAAGGCTGTGCAAGTCACATGCAGGAAGGTGTGACTAGTGCTGCTAGTGATTTAAACAAGGTGATTTAACTCCTAAATGGCAGAGAATTGAGCAGTGAGACTGCAGGGACATGATCTATACACCAAAACTTCTTCATTAAGCTAAAAGTTGTTTTGGTGGCAATAGTGTCCCTTTAACCAGAATTGTATTTCCAGATGAAAATTGCAGTCTACATCTTTTAGGATAAAGAGTATGTATTCCCACACAGCTGAGGGCAGCATCACTCAATTCACATCTCAATGCTTAACGGTCACCCTTTCATTAGCAATGCCTTTTTAATGGAACTTAAATATTGGAATTAGTGAGGCAGAATGGTTTTAATAGAATTAATTTTACTTCATTTTCATTAATAATCAATAACTTTGCTCCTTCTCCCCACCAGGAGCATTTCTATTTTTGTTTCAATAGTATGGCTGTATACATCATCACTTTTAGCGAAAAATACAACAATCAGATTAAGTATAAATAACAGATTTATTCTGTGTAATCAAACTTTTTGTGAGTCGGAAAGTGCTGAAAAGAATCCCATCTAAACAATGCTTCACTAGAAAGTCATGTTAACACCAGGACCACTACGCAGCTTTTTAGTCAATTTCTAGTCTAATGAAAACCTACTCGAGAAGCTGTAAAATGGGCACGAATGTGCACCAAACGCAGGTATTTATAAATACCCATATTTTGATTTGTGATGCATTATTGCTATATTACATGTAAAATAGGGGTTTAATTCTGGACTGGAGTTCATTTATATTTTGGGAAACAAGGTTTGTGATACAGGTTGGCAAGACACAAATATACAAATCAAATACAAGTAAAAACAATGCAATTCTAAAAAAAACAACAACAAAAAAGACATCATGTACTTCTTTAAAATGTACAAGGAAATATCCAACACTGTTAGAGGCAGTTTGTAAAGTGAAAACAAGAAACTGTAATTACAGTAAGTACCCCCTCCGATTCCACATTTAAATCAACAAACATACTAACCATGCTTTGGGTTTCTTTTCATGACTAGCTGCTGAAGTTGAGGAGGCGGCGGCGGGGGTGGGGGCGGCGGAGGAGAATCCCGGTCATGGCTTATGACAACTCTGTCTACTGATCCATAGATAGCTAGCGTAAGGCAGTTATACCACCCCTTAAGCACCAGGCCATCTGTATTAACCTGATACAGAAACACGATTTGAACAACAAAGCATGCTACTTACTGCAAACGATTTACAACTAGACAAGTCATTTAACATTAATATATTTTCACCATAACTGTATGGGTATCTGAACAAACACTGCAAATCAGGTTTGCATCACAGAGAGTATTTTAAAAGGTTTATGAATATTGTGGGGAAATATTCTGACAATATCAAGAAGAGTAATTTAATATTTACAAGCAAGAACATTTTTTTTTTAAACATGAAAGAATGAATGAAGGCTGATGGCAGACCATAAATAATGGAACACAAACACCAAAATGTATTCAAAGAGTGAGTATAGATTATGTTGCTTCTATTATTACTAGAGTCTCAGCTTTCTTCTAACTTCTGTTTCAAAATCTAAATTCACCTTCATATAATGCAAGAGAGAAATACATTCACTATTAATAAAATAGATATCAAGTCATACCACATGCGTAACACTAATACTAGGAATTTCAGAAACTCATTTTCAATAGTTCCAAACAAGAGACTGGATAGGACGAGAAACCCACACAATTTAAAAAAATAAAATAAAAAATAAATCCAAAATGTCATTGTTGCCGACTACACGTCACAAGGTAACATACTGATTAAATCTTTATATTTGGGACAGCTAAAAGGCACGTTCTGTGAAGTTGGCATTGGAAATAATTCTTACAAATGCAAGCAATACCAGTTTAACTATTTAATAACAACATTATATATTATTTGAGCACAATAAATGACTTAATTTTTTATAACAGAACACCGAGAGCAGCAGCCTTAGTTACCTTTGCATTTGGTCTAAATATGATAGAACTGCCTTCGTCATAGTCCAGACTGTTGATAAAGAAACACAAAGAGGCAGTTAGCACATATATACTTAATAGAGATTGATATTTACCTATTTTAGTGCAACTCACCTCCCCAGTCTGTCAAACACATTCGCACTTGGCTTGCTGACATTATTGAAGAACAAATCCAAATGAAATGTGTGTGGTGAGGTCTCTCTGCAAAACACAAAATGGATTGTCAAAAACATATGGTGTAGGATGATTTCTGTGCTGAGCTAGGAGTTAATAATTGTGCGTAGCTTCTAGAAATATAAATGTAAAAAAAAAAAAAATAAAGTTTAATTTAGGACCTACAAAAGACATGAATCCATAGATATCCTTATAAAACAGTCAAAAGTGAGCCAGCAACCACACTACATGTATCACTGCCCTCTAAAAACATGTGTGTGACAAGCTTATCACTGCTATTCTACTCCACCATATGTAACGGTCCTCTACATACTTATACAACCCAAAAATACATATATATGTAACAAACAACAATGTACACGATAACCTTGTCAAATACGGACAATATGTGCATAGCAAAGACCGAATAGATAGTTACTTTTACAAACCTCTGTTATTTTCTGTTTATTTTATCTCATGTTACTGCGTTACCCTGTAACAATACTTCAATTTTATTGTAACTGCAAAAAGCCATAAAGGAACCTCATGCTCAAGTCATAAAAAAACAAAAAACAAAAAAAAAAAAAAAAGTGAGTCAGCAGTAACATAATTAGAGGTGTAGGGTGTAGAGACATTAATTGTTTAGCACAGCTGTCAAAACATATATTATATATATTTATAACCTGTTATCTGCATCATTTAGGCCTGCTTTTAAAAACTAACTAATGGCTCAAAGCAAAGGATGAAAATACAATTGCACATTATGATTTGTCAAACAATGCATTGTAAAGAAATCCATTTTACAAGAATATTGAGTAAAATTAATATGGTTGACTGAAGGCACAATTGTAGCTGTTGCGATCTAATTCTCTTATGATCCTCAGATAGAATAATTTGTTTAATTAAAAACAACACTAATGTTGTGCTAATACTTCCTCTAAGCAAGCTAGATAAAAAAATATTTGAAGCTTTTAGGGAAGGGTGTTGAGAAAAAAAAAATAAAAAAAAAAGATAATGCTACATGCAGTGAGGACAACTTATAAGAATCAGAATGCACTACAGTTAAAGGGACGCTCCACTGCCAATTTATTTTTATTTTTTAAATAAATCACTGTTTAGTAGATATAGCCCACACGGTTACATGCGTGCATTAATTATTTTTTTTCCACAATTGTGAGTACATCAAAACACATCTGCAAATACTGCAGATCTTGTCTCCCCAGCCCAGAGTTTCTGTGGCTGAACAATAAAAGACTTCGTAATGCAGCTCTATCAGAAATCTTTGCATGGCAGGTGCTCTGATCAATTGCCTGCCGAAGTAACAGGAGCTGTTGTCTGCTTGAAAACAAGGGGGTGTAACAAGGTCAGTTTATAAAACTGCCAATGTCTCTTGAAATCTGCACTTTTTGTGAAAAAAAAAAAAAAAAAAACCAACAACAAAGAGGCCACACACTTCACACACAAAATATTTCTGCAAGCTAAAGTGCTTTAGGGATCTAGAGTGTCCCTTTAAACTAATTAGTTCCCAGCATGAGGTCTCTCAGCTTCCTGATGATGCAGATCCTGATGACACAGGATTCAGGATTGTCTACAATAAATATCCTGCAAACAGCTAATCTATTTTTTTTTTCTTCCATTAAAGGGATACTATAGTGCCAGGAAAACAAAAGCCATTTTCCTGGCACTATAGGTTCCTACGGTAGCCCCCTCATGTGGCACTGAAGTGGTTAAAACCCCTTCAGTCACTTACCTGAATCCAGCACCAATGTCCCGCGGCGCTGGGTCAGCCTCCGCCCGCAATGCTTTCCTATAAGGATTCTATTGATGCTGGATGTCCTCATTCACAGCATGAGGACGTCCAGCGTCAGTTAAGCAACTTTTAGTCTCCTACCCACCCGGAGGTCCCTCTAGTGACTGTCTAGTACACAGCCACTAGAGGTGCAATTAACCCTGAAAGGTAATTATTGCAGTTTCTCAGAAACTGCAATAATTACTTGCTCAGGGTTAAAGGTGATGGGACATTGCACCCAGACCACTTCAATGAGCTGAAGTGGTCTGGGTGTCTATAGTGCCCCTTTAAATTGCTTAATTGCTTTACCATGATCAACAAAATCACTCTGTAAAGTTTTACTTTACATTCCAATGACAACAAAAATAACTGAATTTGTTAAGTAAGGAAAAAACAATGGATAATTAAAGAAGAAATTATATATTTGTCCAGGCATCATTTTTAAATATAGAACTCACCCATATGCCCTGCTGTCTGGTAAGCTGCTATGTGCTCTGACTCCTGGTGGGATGACACGGACTTCATTGATGTATACAACACGTGGAAATCGAACAACATCCACATTGCTACCGTGCTACAAAATAAGAAACATATAGGTAATATATAAAAACAATATAGCAGTGCATAGTATAAAATAAATAAAATATATTTGATTTGAGAATTTTTCAAATTTGATTATATGTGGACTTAAATATGCATCCCCCAGTTGATTTTTGACAATTTATGATTTAATAAATTAACCCAAACTAGGTAGGATAGAGAACCATGTAACTACATGTATACATAGCAATTTTGGCAAAGAAAAAAAAATCTAAATAAAAACAAGCGAACTACTAGTGAAATTCTGATATTGTAGATGCAACAATTTTACTTCTAAAAAGGTGTATGCAATGCTGTTATATTTATACACCAAATCAAGAATTGTGGAGAACTGAAGTGAATCTAAAACAGCTAATTTGAGGAGATAAATAATTCCAGCACTTCTAATTTGACCTGAAATATTCAACTCTCTCAATTTTCTACAATGTAGTGACTAAAGCCCTTTACAAAAAGTTGCTCTCTTCACCCTCTGTATTAAATGAAGCAATTATTTAATACAAAATGCTAAATACAATTTATTGTTATTAAAAAAAAAATAAAAAAAATAAAAAAAAACACAATAAATGGACAAACGTTCCTGTTAAAATTTTGGATCATTAATGGACTATCACTTTATAGATATGGCATAAATATAGTTGCAGAAATTTCTGAGATAAAAGTTTCTTCCAGGTGTGGGACAAGTTTGCCTGCTGCAGGTGTATCCACAAAACAATGCAGAGAAGAGATTATAATGACTAACAACTTTTATTTTATCATGTATTTTATATTGTATTGAATAACACTGGTAATTTTACCACATACCTTCCATTTTCGTATAAATCAAGTTAAATATATATTTTTTTTAAAGTAGACTGTGGCACTCTCACATTTGCAGCCATTAAAAAAGCAACAAAACCTTAAATAAGCACAGTCTTCAGACAGTCAGTCAGTTGTAAACATATTGTAATTGTTTTAAAACACATTTTGCAGAGCTATACAATCACATTTAACAGTAAAAATTAAAATTGGATTTTGGACATTATTCACATGAAGCATTGATGGCTGGAGTAATGGGCTACATTATCCACAACATGCCAGTGGTGGAATATGACAGTTTGCAATTGTGCAGCAGTAGTGCCCATGATGTACAATAGGAAACAGCTGAATAGCCAAGGGTTAACTGTCACAATTATAAATCACCCCAAATCAGTGATGGCCCAAGGGTTTGCTGAGCATCATGGGAAATGTAGTTTATAAACATGTTGGGTGTTAAGGTGCCATAGCTCTTCCAGAGACACAGATCGGGCAGCGCTGGGTTAGTATACAGGCAGCGCTGGGTTAGTATACAGGCAGCGCTGGGTTAGTATACAGGCAGCGCTGGGTTAGTATACAGGCAGCGCTGGGTTAGTATACAGGCAGCGCTGGGTTAGTATACAGGCAGCGCTGGGTTAGTATACAGGCAGCGCTGGGTTAATATACAGGCAGCGCTGGGTTAGTATACAGGCAGCGCTGGGTATAAGTATACAGGCAGCGCTGGGTTAGTATACAGGCAGCGCTGGGTTAGTATACAGGCAGCGCTGGGTTAGTATACAGGCAGCGCTGGTATACAGGCAGTTAGTATAGGTATACAGTAGTATACAGGCAGCGCTGGGTTAATATACAGGCAGCGCTGGGTTAATATACAGGCAGCGCTGGGTTAATATACAGGCAGCGCTGGGTTAATATACAGGCAGCGCTGGGTTAATATAGAGGCAGCGCTGGGTTAATATAGAGGCAGTGATGGGTTAATATAGAGGCAGTGATGGGTTAATATAGAGGCAGTGATTGGTTAATTTACAGGCAGTGATTGGTTAATATACAGGCAGTGCTGGGTTAATATAGAGGCAGTGATTGGTTAATATAGAGGCAGTGCTGGGTTAATATAGAGGCAGTGCTGGGTTAATATAGAGGCAGTGATTGGTTAATATAGAGGCAGTGCTGGGTTACTATAGAGGCAGTACTGGGTTACTATAGAGGCAGTACTGGGTTACTATAGAGGCAGTGATTGGTTACTATAGAGGCAGTGATTGGTTACTATAGAGGCAGTGCTGGGTTAATATAGAGGCAGTGCTGGGTTAATATAGAGGCAGTGCTGGGTTAATATAGAGGCAGTGCTGGGTTAATATAGAGGCAGTGCTGGGTTAATATAGAGGCAGTGCTGGGTTACTATAGAGGCAGTGATTGGTTACTATAGAGGCAGTGATGGGTTAATATAGAGGCAGTGATGGGTTAATATAGAGGCAGTGCTGGGTTAATATACAGGCAGTGCTGGGTTAATATACAAGCACAAGCAGTGCTGGGTTAATATACAGGCAGTGCTGGGTTAATATAGAGGCAGTGCTGGGTTAATATACAGGCAGCGCTGGGTTAATATACAAGCAGCGCTGGGTTAATATACAGGCAGCGCTGGGTTAATATACAGGCAGCGCTGGGTTAATATAGAGGCAGTGATGGGTTAATATAGAGGCAGTGATGGGTTAATATAGAGGCAGTGATTGGTTAATATAGAGGCAGTGCTGGGTTAATATAGAGGCAGTGCTGGGTTAATATAGAGGCAGTGATTGGTTAATATAGAGGCAGTGCTGGGTTACTATAGAGGCAGTACTGGGTTACTATAGAGGCAGTGATTGGTTACTATAGAGGCAGTGATTGGTTACTATAGAGGCAGTGCTGGGTTAATATAGAGGCAGTGCTGGGTTAATATAGAGGCAGTGCTGGGTTAATATAGAGGCAGTGCTGGGTTAATATAGAGGCAGTGCTGGGTTAATATAGAGGCAGTACTGGGTTACTATAGAGGCAGTGATTGGTTACTATAGAGGCAGTGATGGGTTAATATAGAGGCAGTGATGGGTTAATATAGAGGCAGTGCTGGGTTAATATAGAGGCAGTGCTGGGTTAATATACAGGCAGTGCTGGGTTAATATACAAGCAGTGCTGGGTTAATATACAGGCAGTGCTGGGTTAATATAGAGGCAGTGCTGGGTTAATATACAGGCAGTGCTGGGTTAATATACAAGCAGTGCTGGGTTAATATACAAGCAGTGCTGGGTTAATATACAGGCAGTGCTGGGTTAATATAGAGGCAGTGCTGGGTTACTATAGAGGCAGTGATGGGTTAATATAGAGGCAGTGATGGGTTAATATAGAGGCAGTGATGGGTTAATATAGAGGCAGTGCTGGGTTAATATAGAGGCAGTGCTGGGTTAATATAGAGGCAGTGCTGGGTTAATATAGAGGCAGTGATGAGTTAATATAGAGGCAGTGCTGGGTTAATATAGAGGCAATGCTGGGTTAATATAGAGGCAGTGCTGGGTTAATATAGAGGCAGTGCTGGGTAGGCCTCAGTGTCACCATATCCCAGGATAAATAAACACCTATTCTCCCTCTGCTCAAACTCCCCAGGTTCCCCGCCCCATAAAGCTGCCTAGCTCAGCCTGTAAGTCACCATTCTCTCTCTCACCTCCGTGTTCTGGTGTTTAAAAGTGTCCAGGAACAGCAGCTCCATTGCAGAATCCCCCGCCATGTTAGGTAAGGGCGGACAAGCTGGGAGGCGGGGCTTCCGCCAGGAGTGTTCCACTTCCCAGACTGCGGTGCGCTCGGTTAATCGTTCCCCCAGGAGCTGCGCACAATGTGTTCCTAGCTGGGGTGGGTCCTAGCGGGTTCATTGACGTTTCATACAGTGAGGAATATAATCTCACTGCATTCATCCTGGATGCACTGTTATGTACTGAATGTTATATATGTGGGATATGCTCACTGTCCAGATTATATATCTGCATAATGTAATGTTTATGGTATCTCCACAAACTGCTCAGATTACAGCTGAATACTGTCCAGATTACTGTACTAGGTTTTTTCTGCATAATCACACTGTCCTGGGTAATGATATCTCCATCCTATCCCAGCTTATATCTCTGTACTCTCCTGGGTTATGATATCTCCATCCTATCACAGGTTATATCTCCATACTCTCCTGGGTAATAATATCTCCATTCTATCCCAGGTTATATCTCCATACTCTCCTGGGTAATGATATCTTCATCCTATCCCAGGTTATATCTCCATACTGTCCTGGGTAATGATACCTCCATCCTATCCCAGGTTATATCTCCATACTGTCTTGAGTAATGATATCTCCATCCTATCCCAGGTTATATCTCCATACTCTCCTGGGTAATAATATCTCCATTCTATCCCAGGTTATATCTCCATACTCTCCTGGGTAATGATATCTTCATCCTATCCCAGGTTATATCTCCATACTGTCCTGGGTAATGATACCTCCATCCTATCCCAGGTTATATCTCCATACTGTCTTGAGTAATGATATCTCCATCCTATCCCAGGTTATATCTCCATACTCTCCTGGGTAATAATATCTCCATTCTATCCCAGGTTATATCTCCATACTCTCCTGGGTAATGATATCTTCATCCTATCCCAGGTTATATCTCCATACTGTCCTGGGTAATGATACCTCCATCCTATCGCAGGTTATATCTCCATACTGTCTTGGGTAATGATATCTCCATCCTATCCCAGGTTATATCTCCATACTCTCCTGGGTAATGAGAGCTCCATTCTATCCCAGGTTATATCTCCATACTCTCCTGGGTAATGATACCTCCATCCTATCCCAGGTTATATCTCCATACTCTCCTGGGTAATAATATCTCCATTCTATCCCAGGTTATATCTCCATACTCTCCTGGGTAATGATATCTCCATCCTATCCCAGGTTATATCTCTGTACTCTCCTGGGTAATGATATCTCCATCCTATCCCAGGTTATATCTCTGTACTCTCCTGGGTAATGATATCTCCATCCTATCCCAGGTTTAATGATATCTCCATCCTATCCCAGGTTATATCTCCGTACTCTCCTGGGTAATGATATCTCCATCCTATCCCAGGTTATATCTCCGTACTCTCCTGGGTAATGATATCTCCATCCTATCCCAGGTTATATCTCCGTACTCTCCTGGGTAATGATATCTCCATCCTATCCCAGGTTATATCTCCGTACTCTCCTGGGTAATGATATCTCCATCCTATCCCAGGTTATATCTCTGTACTCTCCTGGGTAATGATATCTCCATTCTATCCCAGGTTATATCTCCATACTGTCCTGGGTAATGTTATCTCCATACTCTCCTGGGTAATGATATCTCTATCCTATCCCAGGTTATATCTCCATACTCTCCTGGGTAATGATATCTCCATCCTATCCCAGGTTATATCTCTGTACTCTCCTGGGTAATGATAACTCCATTCTATCCCAGGTTATATCTCCATACTCTCCTGGGTAATGATAACTCCATCCTATCACAGGTTATATCTCCATTCTCTCCTGGGTAATGATATCTCCATCCTATCCCAGGTTATATCTCTGTACTCTCCTGGGTAAAGATAACTCCATCCTATCCCAGGTTATATCTCTGTACTCTCCTGGGTTATGAAATGTGCAGGTTATATCTCCGTACTCTCCTGGGTAATGATTTCTCCATCCTATCCCAGGTTCTATCTCTGTACTCTCCTGGGTTATGAAATGTGCAGGTTATATCTCCGTACTCTCCTGGGTAATGATATCTCCATCCTATCCCAGGTTATATCTCCGTACTCTCCTGGGTAATGATATCTCCATCCTATCCCAGGTTATATCTCCGTACTCTCCTGGGTAATGATATCTCCATCCTATCCCAGGTTATATCTCCGTACTCTCCTGGGTAATGATATCTCCATCCTATCCCAGGTTATATCTCTGTACTCTCCTGGGTAATGATATCTCCATTCTATCCCAGGTTATATCTCCATACTGTCCTGGGTAATGATATCTCCATACTCTCCTGGGTAATGATATCTCTATCCTATCCCAGGTTATATCTCCATACTCTCCTGGGTAATGATATCTCCATCCTATCCCAGGTTATATCTCTGTACTCTCCTGGGTAATGATAACTCCATTCTATCCCAGGTTATATCTCCATACTCTCCTGGGTAATGATATCTCCATCCTATCACAGGTTATATCTCCATTCTCTCCTGGGTAATGATATCTCCATCCTATCCCAGGTTATATCTCTGTACTCTCCTGGGTAAAGATAACTCCATCCTATCCCAGGTTATATCTCTGTACTCTCCTGGGTTATGAAATGTGCAGGTTATATCTCCGTACTCTCCTGGGTAATGATTTCTCCATCCTATCCCAGGTTCTATCTCTGTACTCTCCTGGGTTATGAAATGTGCAGGTTATATCTCCGTACTCTCCTGGGTAATGATATCTCCATCCTATCCCAGGTTATATCTCCGTACTCTCCTGGGTAATGATATCTCCATCCTATCCCAGGTTATATCTCCGTACTCTCCTGGGTAATGATATCTCCATCCTATCCCAGGTTATATCTCCGTACTCTCCTGGGTAATGATATCTCCATCCTATCCCAGGTTATATCTCTGTACTCTCCTGGGTAATGATATCTCCATTCTATCCCAGGTTATATCTCCATACTGTCCTGGGTAATGATATCTCCATACTCTCCTGGGTAATGATATCTCTATCCTATCCCAGGTTATATCTCCATACTCTCCTGGGTAATGATATCTCCATCCTATCCCAGGTTATATCTCTGTACTCTCCTGGGTAAAGATAACTCCATCCTATCCCAGGTTATATCTCTGTACTCTCCTGGGTTATGATATGTGCAGGTTATATCTCCGTACTCTCCTGGGTAATGATTTCTCCATCCTATCCCAGGTTCTATCTCTGTACTCTCCTGGGTTATGAAATGTGCAGGTTATATCTCCGTACTCTCCTGGGTAATGATATCTCCATCCTATCCCAGGTTATATCTCCGTACTCTCCTGGGTAATGATATCTCCATCCTATCCCAGGTTATATCTCCGTACTCTCCTGGGTAATGATATCTCCATCCTATCCCAGGTTATATCTCCGTACTCTCCTGGGTAATGATATCTCCATCCTATCCCAGGTTATATCTCCGTACTCTCCTGGGTAATGATATCTCCATCCTATCCCAGGTTATATCTCCGTACTCTCCTGGGTAATGATATCTCCATCCTATCCTGGGTGATGATATCTCTATCCTATCCCGGGTTATATCTCCATACTCTCCTGGGCCAATGATAATCTCCATCCTATCGGGTTATATCTCTCTGGGTAATGATATCTCCATCTATCACCGGGTTATATCTCCATACTCTCTGGGTAATGATAGCTCCATCTATCGTGGGTTATATCTCCATTCTCTCCTGGTGTGTTATCTCCATCCTATCGGGTTATATCCTGTCTTCTTCTCCTGGGTAAAGATAACTCCATCCTATCCCAGGTTATATCTCTTATCCTCTCCTGGGTTCGCCGATGTTGGGTTATATCCGTTGCTCTCCTGGGTGATGATTTCTCCATCCTATCCAGGTTCTATCTCTCAGCCCTTTCTCCTGGGTAATGATATCTCCATCTATCCCGGGTTACATATCTCGCAATACTCTCCTGGTGAGATATCCATCCCATCCAGGTTCTATCTCTGCTTTTCTCTAGGTTATGAAGTATTGCGATTCCATATCTCCATACTCTCCTGGGTTATGATATCTCCATCCTATCACAGGTTATATCTCCATACTCTCCTGGGTAATGATATCTCCATCCTATCACAGGTTATATCTCCATACTCTCCTGGGTTATGATATCTCCATCCTATCACAGGTTATATCTCCATACTCTCCTGGGTAATGATATCTCCATCCTATCACAGGTTATATCTCCATACTCTCCTGGGTTATGATATCTCCATCCTATCACAGGTTATATCTCCATACTCTCCTGGGTTATGATATCACCATCCTATCACAGGTTATATCTCCATACTCTCCTGGGTTATGATATCACCATCCTATCCCAGGTTATATCTCCATACTCTCCTGGGTAAAGATAACTCCATCCTATCCCAGGTTCTATCTCTGTACTCTCCTGGGTTATGATATCTCCATCCTATCCCAGGTTCTATCTCTGTACTCTCCTGGGTAATGATATCTCCATCCTATCCCAGGTTATATCTCTGTACTCTCCTGGGTAAAGATAACTCCATCCTATCCCAGGTTCTATCTCTGTACTCTCCTGGGTTATGATATGTGCAGGTTATATCTCCGTACTCTCCTGGGTAATGATTTCTCCATCCTATCCCAGGTTCTATCTCTGTACTCTCCTGGGTAATGATATCTGCACACTTTCCTAAGTTATATCTATCCATTGCCACAGAGTATGAGATCTGCACTGTGAGGATGTCGGGGATTACAACTTCTTGTTGCAGAAATCTTCTTCATGGTTGAACATGTGAGCAATTATATCATATGACTGGGTGTGCCATTGTAAAGTTGTATTCCTCCCAAGTCTCACTGTGTGTCCAATTTTAAGGATCAAACCTTTTTTAGTATCCGAATTTTAAACTTACAATTGTGTGTCTGTAAACTTCAGCTAAAATCTTGACAAATTAGTCTGTGTCGATAAGAAATTTCGGTAATGTAGATCATCATGAAGTCAATTAAAGCTACACTGGATGAGAATCTTTATGAGAAC